AATTAATTCCTTGAAAAGATAATTTAATTACAAAATCCTATATAATAGATTTCTATAGTTTTAAAAATAAATCAGGGGTTTTGAATTGATTATATAGAATATATTTAATAACTTTATTTTATATATAGATATTATATTTCTTAATTATTTCTTTAATTATTATTTTTATTTTTAGGAAATATATTTTCTGTTATAATTTTATAAATGTTCTGATTATTTTTTGATATTTGTATATTAATAATTTGTATTATTCTTTAACAAAATCTTTTATTATTCTAATAAAAATATAAGTTTTATTATAAAAATAAATTATTTCTTTTTTAATTATAAATCCTAATTTTAATTCTTTTAGAATTTGTTATATAATAATATTATTCTTATAATAAAATAATAATTATAATTTGATTATATTATTCAATAATTTGAAAATAGCAATTAATTATAATTTGTTATATATTAATATATTATCTTTCTATTTTAATATCATATATATTTTATAAGTTTTGTTTTATAAATATTTTAATTTTTGATTAAGAATATTTATTTTAATATTTTCGTTTTTTTTGATATATAAAATTTTAAAATTATAGATTATCAAGATCTTTGATTATCTGATTTATTATCAATTTAATTCTTTTATTGTAATGAAATAAATCAAATTCTTATAATCTATATATATCTATATTATATATTTTGATTCTTTTAAATATATTCTTTATTCTTTAAATATATTTATTATCATTAATAGCTTTTTATTATATATCTTGTAATTTAATTCGATTAATAATAACTTTTATAAATAATAAATAATTAATTGTTATTTCTTATTCAAATCAGATTAACTCAATACAACTTCTATTATATAATCCGAAGTATTTGTTTTTACAATTATTGATAATTCTAGATCGAAAATTAAAAGAATAAATTTTTAGTAAAACTTCTTTAAGATCTTCGAATATCTTTTGTACTTACAAAATCCATTAAAATTCTCTTTAATTCTTTTTAATGATTTTTGATATTGAAATAACTATCTTAGAATAATCCTTGATAAATCATCAATAAAAATTGACAAATTCTAAGAAGAATTGTACCTCCTTTATATTATTCGATAATTCTTAATTTTGAATTGTTTTTAGTTTATTAAAGTTCATTTTAAAGTTTTCTGAAAAGATTGTATAACCCAGGAATTCCATTTCTGTAACATAGAATTTGTATTTATTAGATTTATATTGAAAATCTACTTTCTTTAAATGTTTTAATATCTTATATATATCCAATATATATTATTCTTCTATTTCAAAGAATACAAGGATATTATTCAAATAATATATACAATAGATATCTAGATATTCCTTTAATACATTATTAATTAATTATATATATATTATTGATATATTAATTAATCCGAATAATATAATCTAATACTTATATAATTTATATCGAATTCTAAATACTATTTTCTATTCTTTACTTTTCTTTATTCTAATTAAATGAAATCTATTTTTTAAATCAAACTTAAAGAAAATCCTTATTTTTCCTAATTGATCCTTTAGTTTTGTAATTAATAAAAATGAATATCGATTCTTGATTATTATATCATTAAGTTTACAATAATCTATATATAATCTTTTAATATTATCTTTCTTGGATATATATAATATAAAATTAATTGTTTGTAAAATTGATTTTTTAATCCAATTCTTTTTTAATATATTATTGATATATTCCTTAAACATTCTTAATTTCAATTTTGATATCTAATAGATTAATCCAAATAAAAACATTTTGTCTTCTTTCAATATTATCTTATAATTTTATAATTTATATTCTAATAAAACCTTATAATTTTTTCTTTTTTCAAATAACTTTTTGTATTTTTAATATTATATCGATATTGATATTTCTTTCTATTTTTATATAAAGATAATATCAAATAATTTTTTCTATTTATTCTTTATTTATATAAAAGATTTATTTTCCTTTATTATTAATAAAGGATCCTAAATTAAACATTTTATATTGATGATATTATTTGCCTTCAATTCTTTATTATATATATTCAATCTTGTAGACTTTAATATATTATAATGATTGCTTTTGTTCGAAAAACTTATAACTTCAATAATCCAATTGATTTTGAGATTATATATCTTTAATTATAATATTCTCAAAATAATCTATTGATTCTCTAATAAAACAATATTGAATTAGATAATCTCTTTATATTAAATTATATTTATCTATATTGAACAAGTTTTCTATAAAATCTTATTATCTAATTTTATTAATTATTTATCAATTAATTATAATTGATATAGAATTTATTTCGTTTAAAATTATATTCCCAAATACTTTATAATTCTTGATGTAATAAAATTTCCTATAACTCCTAAATCGATTATAACTTGGATTTTTTGTTCATTTATTTTGATATTGTAATAAACCTATTTTATTTGATTTACAATATTTAGTTATTCTTAATCTATAATTTTGTTTTAGTTAATTTGATCAATTTGATTGATTTGATCAATTTGATCAATTTAATCGATTTGATCGATTTGATCAATTTTGTATAATTGATTATTTTGTCGATTATATAATAAAGTATTTCTTCTTTTTTTTTTATAAAGAAATTATTTTGTAGTTTCTTTATTTGACAAATGAATTTTATAAAAATCATTATAATAAACTATTCAGTTTATCGTTGTATATTTTGTCAATAGTATTTCTTTTGGGTTTTCTTTAATCAAAAAAGATAATAAAATTCAGAGATATTTTAATTTATATTGATCTATTTTGTTTAGATCTTTTTGATCTTAAGGTATTATATTGATTTCCTTTTGATATTGTTTTCATTTATAATTATCATTTTCGATTATATTGAGGGTAGATAATAATAATACAAAGATAATATTAAATTGATATTTTCCGAATTTGGTTTTCTTATAATAATCTTTTTGATTTTGTAGTTTTTTATTTCGATAATTCTTAAATTGATAATCCGATTTATTATATTCAAAGTATAATTTATTCTTTTGTTTTTGATTTATTTTCTTTTTAGATAATTTATTTTTAAAAATTATATCTAATTATATTAAATCTTTATATAATTATTGATAATCTTGAAATCTTTTTTCGTTTTTATAGTATTTATTATAATCTCGATTTTTATAAAAATTGAAAGATCAATACTTTTTTTAGTATTTATAAAGTATTTTATTTATTTTGATTGATTTTTCGATTAATTCATTCAAATCTTCCTAAATATAATTATAATTTAATTTTAATTTGATTTTTGTTTTGAACTTTTTTTTATAATAATTTATTATAATATTTTCTTTTTATTTTGTAATATTTATATATTATTTGAATTTCATAATATACTTCATTATTGATTTTATTTATTTGAAATTATAAATCTTGAATTTAGTATTATATAATTCGTTGATATTTTCAAATATTCATTATATTTCCTTTTTGAATCTTATAAATATCTCAAAAATGATTTATATTGAATACATTTATTTCTTAAAATTATTCAAATAAATAAAATAATCTTTAAAATAAAATTGAATTTATTTAAAAGTTTCTTTTCTGAAATAGAAAATTATTTAAATATTTTTATCAATATTATAATAGAACTTATTCTTATTAAATTCAAAATAAATCTTAAATTAAAATAAAAAGGTTTTCAATTTTTATCAATAACTTATAAACTTATTAAATAAAACAACTTTAAGAATTTCAATAATAATAATCTTTTTAAGATCCTCTATTTCTTCTATAACAATATCTCTATTTTGATTTATATCTTTTGAAATAATTGAAATTGAATTACTAAATTGAAGGATTTAAAAAGATATAATATTATTTTATTAAATCAATATTTGAAACAATAATAATACTTAAAATATTACAAAGAATACAATCTAAATCATATAAAAATGATCTAAATCCTTGAATAATTTATAATTAAATATCAAATAGAAACTTTAAAATAATATCAATAATTATAATTCATAATTAATAATAAATTATATTAAATAATTAATCTTAAATATAAAGCTTTTATATATATAAAACCTTTTTAATTTATATAGATTTTTATATTTTATAAATTTATATAAATCTACAATTTGTATAAATCTATAATTCATATAAATCTTCAATTTATATAGATCTATAATTTGTATCCTTATATATATAGGATTCATCATATAATTTCTAGGATCAGATTATATATCTGAGTTTATTAAGGGTGGGGAGATTATATAAGACGATTATTATATAAATTTGTATACAAATCGCTTTGCTTTTTGATAAGGCCTAAGCTCATGTGGACAGGTTGACTGTTACCTTGTAACACCGGACCTCTAGCTTTTCGAGAAAGTCTAGTAAAAATTAAAGTTTTAAAAAATTTATAATAAATTTAAATATTGAATATATATCAAAGTATAAATAAAATATCAATTTGTTTTGATAATTAAAAACTAAACTTTTATATTTAATAATAATAATAATAATAATAATAATAATAATAATAATAATAATAATAATAATAATAATAATAATAATAATAATAATAATAATAATAATAATAATAATAATAATAATAATAATAAAAAATTATTATTATTATTATTATTTTGAATTAAATAAGATAAATTAAATAAATAAAATTAAATGATTTTAATAAAGTTAAATAATTCCAAAATTGAATAATTTTAATAAGATTGAAAAAAGTCCCAAATCAAATTTGTCTGAAGTTGTAAGGTTTATACTAAGCTTTTTGTTAGATTACTTACTAGGGTATTTTAAACAAATCAGATTATCAGGATCGGAATTTATTTAAACGAATTTCTCATTTTCTATCATCTACCCCAGGTAAACCTCGTGTACAGCAGTTTTGTGTCGGCAAGCCGACAATAATCACTTATATTTTTTACATCATATTCATCCCAACATCAGAAAGAATAATCTCAAAAAGAATGGTATTTCATATTGCTACAAATATATCCTCAACTCCGCACATCTCTTCTTATCTTGTCCATCCATCACCACCATTTAATCTCACACACTATCAAAACTTCATCCCTGATAGACAACCCCCCGACTTTTTCCTCTACCATCTTCCTCAAACCCACACAATATATTCCCCATCCCAAACTGGTATTTCCTCCAAATCTGATCAACAGGTTCATATTCCTAATCCTATAACCCCTACCCTCGAAAAGACAACAAATAAAAAAGAGAGTAATAAAACCCAGGCATATAATCATATCACTATTTCCATTGACCATTCCAACCCCAGAAAGAACAAGAAAAAAAAGTCCAAACATATATCCCCAATCCATTTCACCTCCATCCTATGAAAGATCCTTCCTTTCCCTTTGAGAAAGGTATCCTATCCTCACTCCTTTTATCAACTTCGGTAATTTAAAGACAATGAATCGAACGAATCTTCTTCAAAGTCAAACAATTCCTCAATATCAAATAATGTAAGAGAATGTAACGGAAAATCCAATCTTGAAAAGGGAATCCCCAAAACGAAAGACGGGAAAGTAAGATCGCTATAACAAATGAAGGTCAACCATGAGACTAAAAGCTCAAAAAGTTCCTCCAATATTAATTAAGAATTTGTTTCTCAGAAAAGTATTCATCATGTTCGTAAAATCCGACACAAAAAAGAAACCAATTCCCCGCGTCAAAATATGGACAGTGTTGAATTCAATATCAAATTGTTTCTTTTGTTCAACAAGTTAAAGTAGAGATCGAATAATCAAAAAAATGGGATCTACCCAAATTGATGATTTGATCATCTTAAAAGATGGAACTTTTACGTTTCTCGACGCTAGTGAGAACAAGCATTGGTGCTTTCTTTTGAACATCAGCCGTTTCAGGCTTCTTTCCACCATTCTTAAAAACAGCAGCAAAACTACCACCAATTTGTTCATCACCAGAAACACTCTCAGCAGTGAATGAATCAACTGAGATGACAGATTTCATCTCAGGAGAATTTTGTCTTGAGCTAGGTCTATTAGAACCAATAGCACCATGTTGAGATGTACGAGAACTTGGTGGACTTGGACGACCTGAAAGACTTCCACTTCCACTACGACCAGAATCCGAATCATTATCATCAACTGAGAATGATATTTCACCATGTTCTGAAACAGGTGACATGCTACCTGATGCACTACCTGGTGCTCTTCTACGTTCCAATCCAGCACGAACAAGATTATGAACAGCACTTCGACGAGTTCGAGTAGCAAAGTTCTTGGAACCTTCAAATTTTGCGGTTGGTTTGGCTTTCAATTCTTCAATAGGTGGGGGACCTCTTGGTTGTCTTACTGGATGTTCACCAGCACGTCCTGCACCTGGAGCAAATCCTACTTGAGTTGGAGTACCTGGGAAAGTAGATTTTGGTAAACCAGAATTTTTTGGACCATCCAATGCAATCTCACCAGAGATAGACATAGCCATCGATTTTGAATTACGATGTCCTCTACGGAAAGCACCAGCGGATGGTGGTGGTAAAGGAGCATGATCTTGTGGTGGTGATGCTGGTTTCTTTGGTGGGCTAATTGATCTGGTGAAATTTGGTGTATCAGATGGTGGTGGTGGGGATACTTGAAATCTTGGTGTTCCAGGTTGTTGTGGTGGAGAATAGCTAAGTCTTTGTTCGTTCAGGGACTCGGTATATTGTTGACCACTGTTATCCATGAAATAGGTTTGTTGTCCAGTCATTGGGTTGTAATAAGAATAAATACCAGGTTGAGCTCCCATGACAGGTGTAATGATTGGTTGCATGTTCTGTTTCATCTGCTGTTGTTGATACATTCCCATATTTTGTGGGGTGATGGGAGGAGTTGAATAGTGTCCATTCAAATTCATTCCTTGCATTTGTTGAGCGGCAGCTTGGACACTCATCAATTGTTGTTGAAGACGTTGTTGTTGTTCTGCCAGATACAAATTCGTAGCCACAAGTTGGGCATACAAATTTGGATCCATTCCATCATGTCCATCATCAATGTGAATTTCAGGTGGCGAAAGAATTTGTTCGGGAACCGAATACATCTGATGTTGATTCATTTGATGATTTCCTTGATTGAATGAAGCATATACGGAGGTCTTTGGTCCATTGTCGGAATATCTGTTAGAGTTCAACCCATTGTTTCCAGTGTTGTGTTGAACTTGAGTAGGTGGAGCAGTTGATGGAAAGTTGGCAGAAGTAGCAGATTTTGGTGCAGTTCTTAAACCTGCAAGTAAATGAGAACGAGATGTTCTTGGAGTTGGTACACCATTATCTTGAGCTTCAAGAGACTTGTTGGTGGGTTCGAAGGAGAGACGTTTAATATTGGAACCATTCGCAGCTCTTCTAGCAGCGAAACCAGTAACTGGCATACCCAAACCATTGTTGGAAGAGAAGTTGTTGTAAGACATCTGAGCAAGACCGCCTGCGTCCATTTTGATGTTTTTATACAATTGAAAGTGGTACTGTGGATTTGAGTTTGAAAGAAGGAATCGTTTGATTCGTGGATTCGTAAATGTCAATTGTCGAAGGGAATGCTATCGATTTGACGGGTTTTTCGTGTAAGGATGGATTATCAGGTCGACCTGAGTGAGTAAAGGACGTAGAGTTGTATTAAATAAATTAAGGTAAATCGAAAAGAGTATTATCGATTCGTAATGTACGTAAAGTTGAAAGATTTTCAATGGAATTATGTTGTTTTGCTTTGTAAAATGTAATTCTTTTAGAAAGAAGCTCGAATGTTGTGGCGAGATGAAGTGGTGTTGAAAGATAGGCAAGCCTTGTATTTCGACACAAGCAACAAACAAATCGCAGAAGACGAGGGTGAATGTGTGGGTGAAGTGTAGAGTTTGATCGAAATGAGTCTTATCGAAAACGTGAAGGGATTTTGTGTAAATGAAGAATAACTTTTTGATGGTGAATCCAAGAAAAGGTTTGATTAATTCAAAGAACAAAAAACCTGGAGAATTCCGAGAACGAGGTGTAGATGAGATGAGATTGAATTTTTGTCGGTCGCGGACTGATAAGAATGGCCTGGCCTTCTTTTAAGTTTTTTTTGGTGACGATGAGGGTGATGAAGAGTTGATGTTCGTGTTCGTTTTTGATGGAATATTACAGAGTATCTATTGAGTTTGTTGTATGTAGTATCTCTATTTGGATGAAGGAAGATAATTGATGAATCGAATCGATCGAAGAAGGAAGTATCTCGAAGGAAGTGTCTCGAAGGAAGTATCTTGAAGAAAGTCAAAAAAGATAACAACAATATCGATGAGTGAAAATATTTGATTGAGAAGGAAGTCTCGAAGTGAAGAAATAAAGCAAAGTTTTCTTAGGAAGGATTGTCCAGTACTTTTAAATTCTTTTCAAGAGAAATAAATAAATGAAATTGGAAAAAATTGATGCGTGTTTTTTGTGTGAAATGTATGTATGTGTGCGTGTGTGGATGTGGAGAAATAAGGTGGATGATGAATGGGTGGATGGATGAGTGGATGGGATGGGATGGGATGGGATGGTGGGTGGATTGAGGAGTTTATGTGTGAATGGTCGAGTGAAGGTAGGTGCGCACAGTAGCGTTTATGGCAGGGAGGGTATGTGGTATATATGTAAGTAACTAAGTAAATAAAGTACCTGGTAATTAGGTTGTTCTGGTTCAAGGTCCAAGGTCCAAGGTCCAAAGTCTGAAGTCCCAAGTCCCAAGTCCCAAGTCCGATATCAAAGATCCAAGGCCGAGAGTAGTAAAAAATGTCAAGGGCTGTGTATAGTGTTGTGGAGAAAAGAGGAAGGATAATCCAATTCAATATCCAATCCAAAATATGCCTTGGATTAATTGAAATTTCAATGTAGAAAAGCTCTGTTCAACCAACAAAGAGCGAATGGAATGAGAGGTAGCAATGGTAGTAGTGGTCTAGTTTTCGATTTAAACGCGCGAAAGGCGAATAGAAGAGACGGATTACGCGGGAACCAAAAGAGAGAAAAGGAAGAAAGAGTCTGTCGATAGATTTGATTGATCAACAGGGGAAGAAAGAAATCCTTTTTGAATTGATATCTTTGATTATTCTCTTCTGTATACGGAGTATCGAGCAGGATTTTGAAAGAGAGATTGTAAAAAGAGCGCATGAGAATGAAAGTGGATCTTTTGACGATGAAGAAAATAAAGAGATGTTATTTGAAGATTCCAAAATGAGAGTCAAGGCAGTGAATGAGTAAGAATCCAGGAAAGGAATGAGATTTACTCTTTTTTTGATGGGTGAAATGAATTAGATCGTCTACTCCGTACTTTTGGACGAATTAGAATGGCGAATTGGTCTTCAAAGTGGAAAGGCAAATGGAAAGGCTCCAATGAGAGAGCAGTAGATGTTACTACGGGTGTACCTAGGTCTCTGAATTTTTGCTTGCATTCCCCCCCCCTGTATAGAAACGAAGCTTTTAGTCCCAGACGTCAGTAACAAGTTTAACTTTTGTATGGCTAGAGCTTTGATGGCTAAAAAATAAACTAGGGTTTGCAATGGTTTGAGTGGCTTAAAGACTGTCCAGCAGGTTTGCAGGGGATATGATCATCTTTTCACGCATATCAGCACTCGACTTTTCCTTATTAGGTCATTGAAGCTATCAAGCATTTCCAAAAGAAGTGAAGTCTTACTTTACCCTTGAGCTTAGGTTTGGGTGAACATGGATCTTCGGTTAGTAGGTTTGATCAACAAAGATACCTTGTCGCACTTGGCTTTAATTTATAAAAAAAGAGCTGATGTGGGGGAATGTCTTTGTCGCAGATTTTGTTAGTTCAACCGATGAAAGTCTTGTCAATTTCTTGTTCGTCACCACTTGAACAGATATGCTGTTGAAGAGAAAAGTTTGAAGAAAACCTGAAGATGAAGAGAATGTTATTTGGTGAGGAACGATGGGAAAAGGGCGGTGTGTGTGGAGGTAAGGAGTTACTCAACATCTAAGATCGAGTCTCGAAGGATTGATTGGTATGAACTGGATGTTCAAATAAGGGAGGGGGGAAGCCTCATTGAGCTAAGAGAATGAGCTGTACGGGTAACCTTTCTAGACATCTAATTTAAATGTGCTAAATACTAAAAGGGAATCATCAAGGCACTGGGGCACCTTTGCTTGACATCTGCTGCTCTGATGCCACGAAATCATATCTACAGGTTCCACTTCTATTCTTGTGAGTCGACTTGATTTCAAAGTTTTAGGCCAAGTTTAAGTCAAGAAATAAGAACACACGCCGAAAATTCCGTGATAGTTCAAAGTAAAATGTACTCTGTCCAGTGGACAAGATTTTTATTGATAATGGATAGAGTCCGGGTACAACGGGTGAAAAGTATAAATATTTAGTCAAGTTTCAAGCTCTTTTCAAATCGGATCCTACGACCGTTTGACGGAACCGAGGGCAAGGGACGAAGCCCATTGCATAAATTTGCATTGAAGTTGTTGTGATGAACCTAATCACAATTATATTCAGCTACTAACTAACCTCTCAAACATATACGGAGTACAAGCTTTCCCTAACCAAAATATCAATATCAATATCAACATCTACAAAACCTGGCCTCACTTGACCTAGACCAATATCTCATTATTTATAAAACGTCGGCACCAATGCCGTCTCCACAGCACTACAACCAAAAAGCGTAAATATCGCGTGGGATGGATAATCATGAAAATCAAATCATCCCAATGCTAAGATCTTACATCCATCCATCCATCCATCCACCCCGACTGGGAATATTAATGTATTGCTGAGCCACAATCTTGTCTGGTGAGTACAGTACGGTGGAGACGATACACGGCTACGCATCTTCGGAGTTAAGTAGTTTCCTACTGTGAATAGGGATACGAATTGGTCTCGACATCATATATATACTAGTTTCAAAGGAATAGGAATCTATCTCCGTACAACGAGCGGCATTTATGATCCTAAAGTAAAGTCTCACCAGTAACCGACCGGTATATGTCATGGATTTCGTCTCTACCTCATGATGATTCTCATCAAGGATCCCTCTAATCGCTATCAATCGAAATTAATATCCATTATCATGATTCATCTTATATACTCTGACTCTGTACATTATAGCCATGTAATAAGTAAGATATAATATGCTCTGCAGGTTTATTATTATCCATCCCCGTGCCTAGAATTGAACAATGCTTGAAAAGATATATTGGAAATATAAGAAAATGCCTGAAAATCTTTGAAAATGCAATCTACCTGATAATAATACAGAGTACGGACTGAAATCAACAAGGAGATACGCTACAGGTTGAACTAATGCCTGTACAGAGTAAAGCCTCTAAAATATATGGGGGAGCAAGCAACTGTTGGAGTTAGTAGTGAAAGCCCAGAAGCCCAACCGTCTACGCATCTACCATATCATCCATACATTCTTCTCCACATCAAATGTACACGAAAGCATTAACGACGCACATGATCGATCAATGGATCCTTTTCTAAGCTTGTGTTTCAAAGCATCCATCGAATCCTGCTGCATATCCCCATATGCATTTTCATACTTTACCATTCATTAATACTCTTACTCTTTCTCTTTCCCTTTCTCTTTCCTAGGCACACAAGCTTCTTCTGCATTCCTAGCTATGAACTAACCTAAGGTTACCTAACCTACCTTACCTATATTCTGAATATATTCTAAGATTGGAAAAACTAAACTTTTATCCAGAGTAGGGTTCTTGTCATAGGTTAACCTACTCTACAGGCATACTCATACTCATATTAAAATTCGTCAACACCGATCGCATAACATCCCCTCCGTAACCAAGCCAAGTCAAACTCCCACTATACCCATCGAAGGTAAAATAAATCCGGCTCTTTAATTCATCCATGTCGACAGGATATGGGAAAAGATACAAATGATGGTTTGATTGGATGCCGCATTTTCTCTCAGGGCTGAAGGGTTCTTTCTTACCAATCCAATCATTGAGTTTTTATGCAACATGTATTTCGCCATCTACCATTGCATTTCGATATCCCTCCATTCCTTCCTCCCTAGTCTAAAAATCGTTTATGCTTGCGAATGAATGAGTTAATTGAACTAATTGATTGATAAATGATCGATCACTAGATTGCATCCTTTCCTTCCCTCTAAGCATATATTGTCATACTAGCGATTCAGGAATAACTGAACTGCATAGATTACAAGTTTAAGAGCTACGAATTCCCATCCTCGTATTCATCGATTCATTCATTCATACATGGTGAATTTCCTTCCCCTCTTCAGGAAATAACTACCATAATCTATCCTATTATCCCGCGTCTACAAACAGGAAAAATACCGAGTCCTACCCTCCCCTCCTCATCCATCCCGAGTAAGAGGCCAATGCACTTCCTCAGGGGTCAAGCACGCATTCCCGCAAACATCAAAATCTTCCTATCCAATGAATTCCGCTTATATATTTAACCTATCCATCTTTAACCCATCCACGGCGCTTAGAATATCCAATCCCGTTTGGAAGATGAATAGTTCGCATTGCTTGTTGTGCTTGGTTTATATTAATCGTTTTTTTGGTTATGGGTTTGGCGAGTTATTGGTTGGATGGATTTGAGGTTTTATTTATCCGCGGGTTGTATATGTATGTATGCATTGCTTATGTAGGTATTGTCTCTGTATCTTTTTTCGGTCATCTTGCGCCTCTGTACGGGTGAGTGAGTAGTAGGAACTGTATGTAGTTCATAGGTAACTAACTTATAGGTAGCCTATCATTCTATCTCCTTTTCTTCTATGCATGCTTTAGCTTGTATTATAGAAGTCCCTAGCGAATAAGGAAGGATAAGATCTAACATTTCCAAGGTTGATTTGCATAATTTATAAGGCCCCGAGTCCGTCGTTAAATACTTATCTACTAAACTGATATTGATTGAATGCCCCCCGACCAGACACTAACATTATAATAAGATCTTACACACTCTACGGAGTACCGTACTCGTATAATAAATCCAAATGAAAGACATATTTCTCTCAGCTCCTCTGATTCCTTGAAATTGACCACCAGCCGGTAGATGAACATAAGGACATAAGGACAGAAAGTGGTCTAATCACGACTTATCACCGTGACTGACACATCCAGTAAGTTACAGTACTCGCAAATTTATTCCACCCACCCAGCCACCAGGCATCCGGTTCATACCAAAGAGAAAAAAAGGGAATTGGTCCAGGCGATAAGAGTTATTTATATCCTTCTTCATTTTTTTCCTTCGTTTTTGAAGAAATTGAGAACGAAAATACAGCCGAAAGATAGATAGAAATTGGTAAGAAACAGAATCAGATTCAGATTACTATGTATGGTAAGTAGATCAATGTCTAATGATCGTGATATAAATACCTACCTTGTATTACATAAATATCTGAGAGATTGAGAAATTGAGAAACATACAAACCCCCGTATACCTAGGTTACCTACCTACCTACCTACCTACCTACCTACCTTATAGTAAGCAAAAATGGTAAGCAAAAGTGGTAAACAAGGCAGAATACGAAAATTCAATACGGACTAAGGTTACGTGTGACATAACGATAATGCGAATCTTTAATGTTCTGTCTTGTTATTTTAAAAATAGATAGGTTCCGGGTAGGGTTGTATGGGCACGGGTACTTGCATATATGTATATATGCATATAAAGCGTGTCGTATGTGAAACACGCGCTTCGAATTCGATGAATCTAGGGATTTCGCTACCGGTACCTTTCAGTCTTCAGAGTAACCAATCATTAATCCGAGGAGTCAGTCACAGACTTCGTTTCTAAAGACATATTGCTCTCTCTCTGTCCTGCTTTCTCTCTGTCTTGCTTGCTTGCCCCTAGAAGCCTGTGGATATAGATATCATATCCGTGCATCCTAGTATACTCCGTACATTACCATTGAGCGCATATATATTAGTGCCCCTATCCTATCCTATCCAAGGGAGAGAAAGCATTCCGAAACATTGCTTAGATAAACAGTGTCTCATATTGATGTATAGGATTATTGGCGATTGAAGATGAGGATTGATATCCTGCGTGCATTATTACCGTATCCGGAAGGAGACCGACCCAACGCCCTATCCGTTCATCCATATATCCATCTATCCACAAACTCAACCTCCCTTTTCGTATACATATATAAGTTTCTCGTTATTTATCCGCTATATAATATCTTACATATATATACATACATATATCATATCCGTAAATTGCATTCTTCGCACCTTCGCAAGACCATGCGTGCTTGGGTTTCTTACTTGTTACCTGGTATACCATGTTCTTGATGTTTTAAGGAGTCAGTCGGAGAAAGAAATTCCGAGCATATACGTAGTTTAAGTTCTGATGGAATACATATGTTTGATAACCTTACTACAGCAGGAAGTTGGTAGATTTTAAGGTTTGTTGAATGAGTAACTTCTGTGTGTATGCAGACAGATAACGTAGATCTGTCTTTATCGATATGAGGATCTGCGAATATATATTGCGAGGATATGTATGATCCATGGGGGTTGGAAGCGAGATTCATCAAGTTCATTAGTTCTTAATTATAAATGACAACTGGGAATTTACTTATATGATTTATGATTTATGATTTTTTTATGTATTTTCTCCAGTCCCTAGGGGGATGGATATATATATCAGTGTCCGTGTTTGCATGCATGCGTGGGGTGAAGTATTGAATGGGTGAATTTATAATCTGGACGTTGGAAAATTTTAGATACGATACCATATGACTCTGCGATGGGGATTTTTGGTACCGAACGTTTGAAACGGAGATATGTTCTTTGTTTATTTTAATACATAAGGTTACGATGTGTTGGATTATTTTTAGATGGATCAGAGGGAGATAGGTTCTGTAGATCATGATGTAAGCTGAGCTGGATAGGAGAGATAGGCCTAGGGAAGGAGGGAGAGGAGATTGTCTGGATGTTTTTATATCCCCGAGTTGGTATTTGGCTCAGAAACATGGTTTTGTATATAAATCGTTTTTCGTGTTGAAGTTTAGGCATCGGATGGGAGTTTTCAGTGAACCTCCTGAAGATGTTACCTTGGATTTGACTCTTCATGGACCTTGTATATCGGCGTTATCTGAGGATATATTTCTAGTTGCTTTACATTAAGATGCTAAGTTCTTGAAGAAAATGTCAATGGTGATGGATTTTACTTATGTGGTGCAGCAATACTATCATTTGATTGACTATACTAGCTCCAAATTAGTTATGAGCACACTAGGATATAAATCATTACAATCTACAAACGTACACTACCTAAATCTAGTATTTTTGTACTTAGATTTGCTATCACAACAAGGCAAATATTATCTTCTCACCGTGGGGCCAGGAGTGCTTTTAAAAATGTCCAACGACAACGGTCCATGGGATTGGTGTTAGAGGGGTTTGATTTTATCCTATTTGTTGGAATGATTCGTTGTCGTCAGCAGAACTTGCTGTCACTGTGGATGTTATACAAATGTGGAATCAAGGAATGATAGATATTTGGCATACGTCAAGCATACGACAGAATTGAGGCTTCGTGGTTTGGTAGTTCCAAATCTTCAGCACATGGCATGAATCCTATGTCTCACCACAGTTGTGCCCATTAGGTTATTTGTTCTTGGAAAATTGAAGTCGATGAATAGTTTTTATATGAAGGCTTGATGCTTATCTGGTAGGTGGTAGGCAAAGTGAGAACTTTGTATGAAAACGAAAACGGGCACGGTTAAGTCACCTCGAAGATTTTGAGCGTGCATCTTAATGACCATCGTGAGGGTATAAATATCGTTCAAACTCTCTTCTATAATTTCCAAGCGAGTGAGACCGCGGGCACTAAATTTGATTAGGGGTAATGTCGAATGTTTGAAACGAAGGCAAAGAGTCATCGGTCTATGTCAAACTTTTGTAGGATTTCCTCGGGTTTTATGGCATTTTTACTTTGTTGTTTGATATATACTGAATAGTACTGTCATTTATTCTCTTTTTAGCCTTATTTTGTATTCTTAATATATTTCTCATCAATCAGTCTCAATTATCATCATTAACCTAAATTCATTATTCACACCTTCCTATTTCCAACGTCCTTCTCTCCTACATACCACATCTTAAAAAAACAAAGATATCTGACCTACCATTCCTCACAACAACATCTACATCGTGTAATGCAGTCTCATGATATCTGAAGAGGAAAATTTCTAATCTTGGGGATGGCTTTAATTTATATAGAGAAGAATTGCCGGGTAAGTGATGCAATGCAAATGTGTTATTTCGTCACATTGCGGCTTTTCTTTTTTTCATCTTCACAATATACTCATTCCGTTACTTACTCACTCTTCCTGCCTTTTGAGACTTTCACCCCACCAAGATTAGAGAGGATTTACACGAGTATTATATATATAAACTCTTCCATATACCCAGCAGAAGTAAGCATGAATGAACGCAAAACCATTAACTATAATGGGGCGGGTGATAATCCATAAGAATAAACATGTACACGTTTTTCAGCTCCTATGCCGGTTTTGGATATAAGAATGACATAAGTATTAGAATTTGATATAATTGATATCGTTATTGTTTTCTATTCTCATTATTATATTATTAAAATATCTTTAAATATTATTTATTTTATAATATTCTTTTAAAGGATTATCAAATATAAAACTATGATATAATAATTTCTAGATTTAATTATAATTATATATATAAATTAAAGATAATATTATGTAGTCTACTTTTATTAAATCTAATACTATATTTTTGAATTACTTTTGATTTAAATTATTTTTTTATATTAAAAACTATTATTTTATTAATTATTAATCTTATAATAAATAGATATAACTCAATAAAATTTGAGATAGAAATTTATTATATAATTATAAATATATTTTGAAATTTTATTAATTGAGATAAAAATTATTAAAAATAAATTATACATTTTTTTAATTATTAATATTATTGTTATAATAGATATGAGATCGAGTTAATTCTTTTACACTTTTTATTTGAACCTATATAATTTCAACCTCAAATTTATTGTGAACCTTGTTTTCTTTATAAATAATATATTATAACATAATCTAATCAGCTTTCTCTTCCAATTCCCCTTCACAATCTGCTATCGGGACGCATGTATCTCGACCTACCTCTTTTACAATATATGAGGCGAGTAACATATTTGAGGTACTGTATAGTATTTATAATTTTGCTCGAAGTTCTATCTTACTTCCAGCACATACGCGACCGTTTCTTTCTGTTCTCAGACTCCTTCCTCTTCTTCCCTCCCTCACTTTGCGCGCTATCCATACACAGCCGTCATCTTCACAGTAGGTGACGATTTCCATCCCGGATACTCATTTTGGACATCAGGAAGCTCCTTGATGTTGACAGGCCAACCCGCTTCATCTTGTCCTAGCCTGTGCTCAGCATAAAATGCCATCTGCACTTCATCCTTTTACGTATCAGTCGTGATATCACGAACCACGTGTAACGGTCCGGTATTTACTCGGTATAAACACAAGGTATTTGGGGATCTCGAAGATCATGTTACGACGGGTATCCAGAGCAGGATGGATTCCCTCGTTGTATGACTAGTAAAGCCTTAATTAGGACCTTAAGTTTAGTAGCTAGTGCAACAGTAGAATCTAAAGCTTAGTCAGCAAGAATAAGGACATGTGACTAAGGAATCCCATTGTAGTGGGATTTCCCATTAAGATGGGAAATATTCCCATAACGATAGGACAGCAAAGAGCAGTGGGACGTACAGCACGAAGGTCCATATAGCCAGAATGGATTTCCTTATTGTGAAGCTTCGTACTCAAGATCATATTCATTAGTATTTCATACTATTAATTATTAATTACGAGCTTTGAGTACGGCCCCTCGGTGCCGGAAAAATGATTCCCCTCGCTGACACACCCTGAATCATTTTTCGAGGCACCTGATTGGTCTCCCTCGGAGCTCGTTCTGCTGGAGGCTTTTTCCGACCACTTCCGACCATTAAGATTCATATTCATGAAAAAGAAGTTCCACAGTAGGTTTTTCAGCCAATAACATCGTACTGGTATTGCCGCCAAACCTAATACCATGATCAAGAAATAGCACAGCTTAAAATCCCTCGGCCGCTCCTCAAATGCCGCCGAGAACTTATAATCCACCGGGATCTTGACCTTCGACAGATTCACCATGACAAACTACCCTCCCTCGGGCATCGAATACGGCACTCGCAATTCATCGCACACAGAAGTGAAGCGGTTGATCTTCAAAACCATACTCTTGCGCGAAGCGTCCCAAAAGCCGAATTCTTCCGCTCGCGAGAATCATACAGCGCAGGCTTCTTGCAAAGGTGCCGGACTGGTGTAACAGATTCTTGTATGGGCTGCGCTAACATATTTGATAAGGTAGGCCGGGCCGATGAGGAAGCCAAGACGCCAGCCGGTGACATAGAAAGTCTTCCCAGCCGAGCAGACGGTCAAGGCCAAGTTGGAGATTTCGGGGCTCAGTGCTGTGTGGTGTGCGTCATGGGTATGTAGGAGAGACTGTCGTATGTACCCCCATCGACAAGCTGCTTCATACTCCCAGAGTCAATGTATGAAACCACTCCAAAGAAGTGAATACTTCGTCGCTTAGGATTAGGATGTAATTCCGCAGTGTCAGGTCTGCGATGACAGAGAGTTCTGACCTAGAGAAGATCTTGCCAACGGGGTTGCGGGGCGTGTTGATGATTATCATCTTTGTCTTGGATGAGATTGTGGCAGCTAGGACGTCGAGATCAAGGGCCCAGTCGTTGGAAGATGTCGTCTTGATAGAGCCCTTCGCTGATGGTTTAAGATGGACGTAGCGTACGATGCCGCCAGCCATTTCTATGTTGCTAATATACTGGTCGAAGAAAGGCTCAAACACAAGACTTCGTCCCCTTCTTCCACGAAGGCCATAATGGCGCTCAGAATTCCTTCATTCACGCCCGTTGTAATTGTCACTTCCGTTTCGGGGTTGATTTGACGCTCAAGAAATTTGGTGTACTCGTTGGCAATTGCTTTCTTTAGGCTAGGTTTGCCTTTAGTGGGTGCATATTGATTGCAATCGACACGTTTTAGAGCGTTTTGAGCGGCCTCGATAATGAAATCTGGTGGATTGTAGTCAAAGAATCCCTGACCCATATTGACGATGGGTTGAACTAGCGAGGCGGCCGTAGCCTCGTTCACCATGGACCAGACATCCTGTTTCTGCCCTGCAGTACGTTCCGCGGGTCGAGGTCTGAAAGTCTCAACGGAACCCATGATTTTGGCGAGATTCAGCCACTCTGCTTTAGATTGATCTGATGATTGTTTAGCCACGAATGCCGATAAAGCGGAGGACAATCTGGTCCCACGGCAAACACTTGACGAATGTTGAAAGATGTATAGCACTGAAGAGAATTTAATGCAATGCAGTTAGAAGCAGGGCCAACGTCGGCATTTCGGCCATTTCTGTAAACATCTTATCGCCCGTGACAAATCTAAAGTACTTCATGACTGGAGATAACGAAGTAGGTATCTAAGATAGATCGTTAGGTGGCTAGTTATGCTAGTCATGTCATTTACGTGCTTTCATGCTCCGGCCACCGCTCCGGCGGGACTATCCTGTCAGACACGGAGGTGATGAGTAGGAAAGGGGCTTTCCACCTGGAATTCATACTGTGCTGACTGACTATCTGTAGCACGATTCATTCGATTTTCGCTTCGCCTCACCCGAGCATTCATACAGCGTCTGGACGTCCACGTAGGGAATTCAGGGGCCATGCATCGCGATAAGAACTCCAGAGAAACTCTCAGACAGGGAATTTTGCTTTCACAGTGCATGAGATAAGTGAACAAGGGATCTATGCGTTTCTAAGCTTCATGGCGATGGACTAATCTCTTATTGGCAAGCTTACAGATACGCTTAATCTTGTTACTCTACTCGACACATCCTCTTCGGATTGTCTGTCGATTTGATCCGTTTCCTCCTACATCCCATAATCGTATGCCTGAGAAAAAAAGACAAATAAGGCAATTTACAGCAACATCATGGCTTGTTCCCTCCTCAGCAGTATACGAGAACAATTGCCATCCTACTCCATCTTCCTCCCCTCCTGATATCGGCCAAACCACTCAGGCTTCCAACCAAGTGTAAAAATTCTCCATACCACGAAAGGTACAAACTGCCCGGCTGCAGCCAATAACGATTCTCTTAGCATGCCGCCCTCCATCATGAACGCTTGCCATACTAGTAGTGGAACAAATAAAAGCTCAAAGACCAGTATGACAAAATATAGTATCTGACGGGATTCAACCGCCTTCTTAGTGTTGGATATAAAGAGGGCAACAGTGGTACCGATGAGGACGTTCGAAGCACCAAATTGCTGAGCAGATTGTAATGCTGTTGTCGTGACTTGAGGAGCAGCAGCTCCCATTGTGTGGAGCAAATAGTGGCGTGGAAATAATACATAGTAGGCACCCACACCAACTGTGACAACTGACTCGAAAGCAAGGGCGGCACGTATGATGTTGCCTGGAGCAGAAGGATCAACTCCTCCTACTCCTCGAAGAGAGGATCTAGATGCGGTTGGTGACATTTTTTTTGCTGACGATGGGCGGGTTGGTGGGTGCAAGATGTTTAGGCAGAGGTAAGAGAGAGGCTTCAAAGTACAAAGAAGCTACGGTAGAAATATTTTTGAGCTCACTAATTCACCATTATATATAGATTTATCGTGGTAGCAGCCTAGGCCTGACGTCGCCCTAATATGGTGACTTACCCATTGCCTAGTATGGCCAAGCCGTCATCATAACGCTATGCTTAACATGATTTCGTGCACTACCGGTTCGCTACCATGCTATTCACCATCCCTGTCATAAATGAATGGCCCCTTGTGACGATTTTTCGCTCCTTTTCAGCCTAGTGTGTCTCACAATACTGTTAAATAAGTTATAACGCAGTTAGGTCCGAAACTCCCGCTCCCGCGGTTTTGTTCTACGGGGGTGAAGCCACGTCACCGCCTTTTTCTGCCCTTAACAACTTGGTGGGTTGAGAAAACGGCCCAAGCTTAGTACGGTCATAACGTTATGTTTAACCCGAAAGGGAAAGGCGCATCGAAGAAGTAAGGAGTCAAAGTTCAAATTTCAGCCCTTTCATCGTCTTCATATGATCCTTATCATGCAAGCACTCACTTGAACTTCGCCTTTCGCAGATTATTTGACATAACGAGAAGCATAATGTCATCCCGACAAATCTCTGTTCCGCATGGCCCGGACCGTCAGCGAATTCTCAACGTGCTCGCCCAGCGGAGATACCGTAAAGAATCCATGCATATCACTTACCATCACATACTCACACTATTCAGGTCAGCGTAAGCGGGAGCGGCTGCACTCTCTGGAAAGGAGACTTGACGCCAGACGGGTCACTACGAACGCTATGTCCGCTTCCGGTGGAGAAATACAGCCTCAGCACCTAATGCAACCTCCGCTTCCGAGGCCAGACAACTCTGGCACGCCCAATGACCTCCTCTATGGTCTGCATCCAGATTCCATGATTGGAGCTTCTAACGCGTCCTGTATGTACCTCGCGTCGCCGTATGAGTCGGCGTGTAATACCTCGTCGGAAATTTCATCACTGTATGTGAACGATCAGTTCGGAATCAACAACCCTCTGCCTTATGGTATGGCCCCTGGCAATTCCAAAGTCGCCCCTCCTGCTGTAGTTATGCTTACTGAATTGGTTTATAGGCAGTACGTCTCAGAGCGCTACGCCAACGGCTGATTCCCAGTTATCAGCAGAACTTCAAGATTTGGAAACTTCCCAGTTCACATTCCTATCGGAGCATGCAATTGAAATCCCAAATCTCAAGACTTTGGAGGTCTCTCTCAGGATTGCACACATGCTTGGGCTTGCGGATGACTTGGTAGACCTCACTATAAACCGGGTCCTAGATGTGTCGAGAATTTCCGTCCCCTTGGGAGACTTGCCCGGAAACTTACATCCAACGGCAGCACAGCTCATGTTGCCACATTATCCAGTGATAGACGTTCTTCCCTGGCCATCGGTACGGACAAAACTCATTTTTCTTTTCAGTCAGCCTGACCAGCTTAGACCGCCAATCGCGAGAGGCTCCACGGCTATTATGCTGCTAATGCATGCTCTTGATGACGAGTCAGAGGGACTCCGCGTTACCTTAGATACAAATGGACATGGATATGATGGAAATAGCTGGGAAGTTGGACAGGCCATCTTCAAAGACTGGTGGTGGGCACTGGATCATGAGATCGTCTCTAATTCAAACCGACTAAGGTCCATAAGAGGGGCCCCCAAATTGCAGCTGCCAATACCATGACAAGAACACTGGTAGGAAAACTATCATAACCGGTGCTATTTTATATGGCACTTATTAGCCGAGATACCGATTTATTGGGAGAGGAGTTGGAGGCAAGGGAGTGCATAATCGCTGAAACCCTTACATGGGCGGTCAAACTTTAGTCCACATTCAGGTTGTACAGCAGATTATTCGATATCACTCCTTCTCAATATTAACTTTGATCTATATGTTACGCCGCTACAATCTCAAATCATATAGAAGCGATCTAAGTATTGATAGAAAGATTATAATAGCTTCTACCAAAGATTAAATAGGAGCTTAATTAAATTAATAACAAATATTATATTATATAATAATTAATAATATGAAATAGTAATAAATATGATCTTAAACACGAAGCTTTATAGTAAGGAAATCCATCTTGATTACGGAGGACGCCTCAACAACTAATGCGACTATAGGGCCTTATAGGGAGGGTATTAGTACTAACAAAGGCCTGTAATTTTTACACCCATCTAACTAGTGCTAACTAACGTTTAGCTTCAACTAACCTCATGATCAAAATATCTAAAGATGGTATCTTAAAAGAACTCAACGATTGTCTTGAACATGACAGAAAAAAGCTTAAATAAAACACCTTTATCTTTATCAAGTGCCAGTATCGCACTGTAAACTCTCTAACCCCGTCATTCCCTTTCCACTAATTATCTTTCCTCTTTCAAAACAATAATAATAATCTCCTCAGGAGACGAAAAAAATGAAAATAAAAAGCTCAAGAAATCCATTCACCTATTCCTACGATCTGACTCACCAGATAAATCCACTTCAATTCTCACCCCTAAACAGGTTCCTTTCTCGCACCACCGACATCATGTCCAGTACTAACACCACTAGTCTCAATTTCATTCTCCACCCACTCCTCATCCTCAAACCTATAAAGCTGAGGTTCAGGTTCACCCTTCCTTCTCAAAATATATTTCCTAGCCCACCAAGGAAATTGCTCTTGAATCTGAAACTTTGCATGTGTTCTAGTCGGTACAGCAAATACATAATCCAATTCCTCAAGAGTCCTCTGTTTAGTTTCAGGAAGGAAAAAGAAAATAAGTGCAAATGCTAGTAGATTAAGCCCGGCATAAAATCCAAATACACCCTGTGGTTTCATAGCTGAGAGCATACGTGGAAGTGTAAGGGAGAGAACGGAAGCCCAGAAATTATTCGTGGCAACGGCCCAGGACATACCGATTTCTCGATGGGAGAGCGGGAATACTTCCGCCGAGTAGGTGAATGGTACTGGTCCTTCTCCGGGGGAATAGGCTATGTCGAATAGGTAGATGAAGAATGCTACCATACCGATGTGGGCTTTAGATGATTCGGGGATAAAGTAACATAAACCTGCAGCGAGAAGTGTCCAGAACATTTGAGGGAAAGTGAAAAGAAGAAGGGTTCGACGACCAAAAGTATCGATTGTCCAAACAGCAGGCCAAGCGAAAATGAAATTGATAAGTCCGAAACCGAACGAGGCAAGAAGAGCACCAATAATGCTTGCACCTGCGTTTTTGAAAATCGTAGAAGAGTAGAAAGCAATAATGTTGACTAATTAGCAGAAATCAGTTAGCAAACCATCGCATAAATTTCCTCGGTGAGATTAAGGGATTAAAAAAAACAAAGAACATACTTCCACACATCTGCTGAGCAATCATAACAATACCCGAAGCCTGCGTCGCCCGTCTCAATCTAGGTACTGTAAACAATTCAACAAACCTCGTAAACATATTCCCATTCTTTGCCAAACCAGATTGTTCCAATAAACGATCCTCATAATCCAATTGTGCTTGAATATAATACAAATCTCTAGCAGCCTGAAGTGGAGAATTTCTCAATCGTAATAAAGATCTGTAAGCTTTCGCAACCCGTCCTTTTTTCAATAACCAACGTGGTGATTCTGGACAGAAATATATTCCAATGACAAGAGGAATAGCAGGAACAAGTGCAGATCCAAATTGTAAACGCCAAGCCAATGCACCGGTATGTACGAATACTAAATTGGCACATGTACCGAGGAAAATACCAAAAGCGGTCCAAACTTGCCAGGACATAACGAGACCACCTCGAATATTTGTGGGAGAATTTTCGGCAGAGAAGACGGGGACAGTTACTTCTTTTAATCCCATTCCTACTCCGAGGAGTACTCGACAGGCCATTAGTTCTCCGTAGGTTTGGGAACATCCCATGCCGATTGGAGCTAGGAGTGAGAAGATCGCTGCGATGAAGATTGTACCTCGACGACCGATGTAGTGATTTACGGGGTCAGAAATCCATGCGGTGCTGTGTTGAGTATGTTGTTAGTATCGGAGGAGAAGAATTGAGTTAATTGAGGGTGTCGTCGACAGACTTGCATAGTAGATGAGATGCTGCGTAGTCGCAGCGAACCATATCATACGCCAGCAATTTGTAAGACGAAAGAGAAATCCGAACAAGAAATACTCACAAAAGGCAGATAGCTATATAAGGCATTGCATTGATCGCACCAATAATCCAAGCATTCCTATCACAGGTACCCTGAGCTTCACAAGTTGGACCTGTATCTGGAATACCCAAAGCCTCTCCAAAAGTAAGATTCGCACCATTTGAACCTATTCAAATTCATTAATATCCTCAGAGTCATAAAGTTCAGTAAGATGAATTTACCTGTTTGATCCCACTATGCGACGAAGAAGTTAGTATTATTTCAGCTGGAGAAAGACCACAGATCATGAAGGTCTAGAAGAAAAAATAACTCACACCCTGAATAGCAGCAGCAATAGAATTCAAAATAATCGTCATATAAAGTTGTTTAGGATGTTTCCAACGATGAGTAACTTCCTCACTTAAAACCCTTCTATCCTCATCATCAAGTTCAACAATTTTATCCGCATGAGAAGGACTTTGAGCAACAAGAGCACCTTTGGTAAGAACTGGAAGTATTTCAGTAATACCATGTTTATTTGCGAAGATTTCGACATCTTGAAGAAGTTGATGTTTCGGGATACCGATGAGAGGATTACGGATTCTAATTTGTGAAGATTAGTGAGAGGAAAGTGAAAATCGATCACCGAAGATAAACATACTCTCCAGTTGGATTTGCGGATAGTTGAGTAAGATCGATTTTTCCTTTACTATTATGAAATTCTTCTGCTTGTGTCCCACTTTCTACTTTTTCGTCGGCAGATGCTATGTCGCCAGTATTGTTGGAGTCATTTATCGCACTGTCATCAATTCTGTCAGTACATTTTGGAGAATTAGTAGCACATAAGTGGATACATACCCTTTATCGTGCGTATTATGCGCACCCGTTCCATCAGCCATTTTGAAGATTGAAATTTTATTTAATCCCTTCAAAATAATACGTGTCTTGAAGACAATTAGTATGTTTATAATAAATTGTGGTTAAAGTCCCAAGACCGAGTACCGTTAAGTTTCTAACAGGATATCGTACAGCCAAGCAGACGAGTGACCAACCATCCAGAAGGAAACCATAGAACAGTACGAAAATAAGTCTTTATCTGAATCAGACGGGAACACAAGATTTCAAGGAAACCATACCTACCTAGGTACTGACAGACAAGATGCATGAGCATACATACAACGCCTTGCAGATGATTCACCATATTGGTAATGTCCGTATCTATATTGAGTAGTTTACGCCTCAAATTGACACAAACTATAGATACCTAATCGTATATGAACTACTCAATATAATCAAAAGTTCAACCTTAGAGCTACCCCGCATTCGAATCCCTGAAGCTGACTGTATCTATCCTAGTATGAATTGTGTTACCTGAGAATAAGACCATCCCTTGGACAACTTCCAAATATTGGTGGGATACACGGTGAGTAGTTTTGTGGCGTGAATAACTTCATCCAATTTGTTACTCGGCTTCCACAATTGAATAACGTGATCATGTGTCACCGGACTTTGTTGGCCGTATAAACATTTATCGTTACATGGCCAAGGTTTCCATAAATGAAGGTGGCTTGCAAGAATTCATTATGGCGAGTTGTTTGGGAATAGCTGCAAGTTATAGATAGTTCCAATACGTAAAAGACGATTCATTGTTGACAAATATCCATACTAAAGTCATGAACAGAAAGAGCTGATTTTTGTCGGTGTGAAGCTTATGGTTGTTCAAGAATTTATTTTTAATCGGCGTCGCGAATAACCCGAACAACTAATTCATCACAAGTGGAATGTAACTTTTGGTACGACAAGAATCGACTGATGTAAGGAAATAAGGTAGATTGCGCAAGGAGGGCGATAAAAAGCAAAACAATGATTCAAATGCATCTGCAACATCTGCAAGGCACCGGTTGAAACTTTCCGAAAACTTTTGGATATACGGAGTAGAAAATTTATTTATGATTGACGGCTGCAATCAGGAACCCCTAGATATAAGTGAGCAGTCAAAGTCCACCAAGATATTCGTGGAACGTTACTCATTCAAAACTACGTGACAGCTGAGCCGCATACGAATGGCTCAGAGTTTTACCTAGTCCTCCAGTTCCTAGTCTATCCAGGAAAGTGATATACTATCCAAATCAAAATCCTAAAATGTATGAGAGAAAGTTTCTGGCACTCTATTCACCATCGTATTCAAAGGTTGCGGCGTAACCCAGAATAAAGTGCATTTCTAATCCCACGTCAGTCCCCAAGGAAGTAATTCAATATACCAACGCTCCGTTAATAATGACTTCCTATACAAAAAAGATGTTCCTGTAGTTCCTAACAAACTGCATCGCTGGGGAATAGTCAGAAAAGTTTGTATCACCATTGAGTCGAAATCCCATAAACCTCAACTCGACCTAGCTATTCCTTCATCCGATACTTGTATCAATACCCTTCCGCATCTCAGGCAGTTCCTGAAGAATCTGCTTCAATGTAGTTAGCTTTCTTCATTAAAAGTCAGAAATTGGTAGACTTATCCCCTACTCGGAGGGGTTGCCTCAATACTTTGGGCGGAAGCATGAGACAACCCAGGACTACCAACCAATTGGCCTGCCCTTAATTTAAATCCCCAAATGCCCTGACATCAACCACTAGATATATCCCCATCATGTACCACTAAAAAAGATATAGAGTCAGACTCATTCAAAGAGTTTGACAAAGTATTCAATGCTACCCATGATAGACAAGCACTAAGCTTTGACACCAACACGAGATGGGTCCCATCATAGACACTAAAGTACTTTTCATCTTCATGATGAATGATCCGACAATAACCCGATTTAGGGGTAAATGACTTCAGGATAATCCTATCATCACATTCCATCATTTTCTCCTCACCAACAAATCATTCCAGACCAAAACTTTCATCGACCCATATAAAAATTGAAACTCTTTATGAAGTGATCATCCCAAATTCGAAATCAGATTAGCCTCGTGCGACATAAACGTTCAAATACCTCAGCGTAATTTGAAAACCCTCTCTCTGTTTGAAAAGTATAGTCCACGGAGATAAGTTTTTGATTCCTCTGCCATAGCAGGGCACAAACGGCCAAAAGACATCAACAAAAGCCGTGATCATCTCTAACAGTTACGTAAGAGGAAAGTGAACAAACATCTTAGAATGTTGTTTCAAAATACCAGCGTCTTCCATCGCCCTAAGGTATGTTATAGAGGAGAAAGTTAATGCGGGTGATCTTTAGTCACATTCAAATGAATGACAAAGCCTATGGCTGATACCGCGGCAATGGTCTTGAGAAATGACTGCGTACATAAACGTACGAAGCATTGGGATGAGAAAGGTTGGAGACAAGATTCACCTCCAAAGGAAGTAGAATACAATGAAAACGGAGTAACTTCACTATTATAGAACCACGTTGACTCATCTCCCTAGATGTTCATGACGAAAATATCCAAAGACTTAGACTTCCGGAGCATGGGTAATACGATTTTCTTCAAATGATAAACATTTGAAGGACAATTCTTCCTGCAATGTTCATTCCCAAGACCACCCACAAGAGTGAGTTTTTGGTCAAGGAAAGTATAAGAACATGCAATCCGAACAGCCTGTTTGTAATCTTCAATAAATATTCTGCTCAGTCTGCATCCTTTGAATAGACCCGTCATGTAATCTTCGAGAGTGTATAGAGAAACCGTAACGATTCGTAATAGCTTAAATGAAGACCCTCATGATAACTTCTCAAGGAAGAACCAGTTCCATCTCAAATTGGCTCTCCTTTCCCATTCCAACTTGCATTATCGTCGAAGACAACCATATTGATCAAAAGCGTCCAGCCAAATTCCCCTGACGAGCGTCCCTGCTGCGGGATCTTACTAGAATAGCTCATAGCAGAAATCCGTTTTATCATCTTTCGACATCTGGACTGTTTTCATCCAACTTTTCGACCTTTTGTACATTCCTCAATCGCGTAACCTTTCGGCTTCACCAAATTGGTCCGAGACAAAATTTCTATTCGGAAAGATAAATTGAAACCGCAAAGCTTTAAACCGGCGATTTATTTAGGGTTAAATTCTGATTCGTATGATTCCTTTCGGAATATCGAGCCAGAGTCTATGGGGTAGACGATATACTTGGTTTGTAGGATGAGAGAGGGTGTTCGAATTCGTCGCATTCAATCGAGGTATTTGGTATCGTAAATGTAAGTTCGATGCTATGTGATATAGGAATCGAGATTGAAGCTCTTCGAGTAGCAATTAACTGGGAGGATGAGGGTAATGGATACTGGAGTTTATTGTTAGCAAAGATTTGCAAATGATAATACAAGAGGTGATGATGTTTTGTTTATGATGATGATGATGATGGGAAAAGAAGAAGATGGAGGTTTCGGTTTCGCGTTCGCGTTTCGCGTACGGCTAAATTCCAACGCGACACGCTAACCTTAGTTGATAAGCTTGAGCCCCTAGCCTTGCCTTAGGCCTTGAGCGACGTGGGTTTGGAGCAGGGAGAGGAGGATTGGGAAGTCAAAGTGGGTGCCAAGTATGTGGATTATGGGCTTCCTGCCACTATTCACTATTCGTATCTAAGAGTCTTACTTTACCCACAATACAAACAGACACCTCTTTAATTCAATCTTATAGGCTCCGTAGTCGCTTCAGACAATGGGACATCTGCATGAATACACCATAGGATACACAGTGATATCTGCAGAGTAGACAGGTTTCCTACTGTGCAATATCTAAACATCCGATGAGGAAAGACAAAATAATGAATGAAGTTAAATGAAAACATAAGCTCAACATTCAAGTTTTCTCGAGAATCGGTCCGGACGAGATAGCCCATCTTTAGGAAATGTCATGTCTCTTCAAATGACCAAGTTTGTGCAGTAACCTTATGCAGAGTGAAATTTCCCCAACGAAGAAGAAATTGCTCTTAAGAAGAACCTCCCCAAAAATAAAAGGAATCCCAAAAGAAGAAGGAATCTCAGTGCCCAAAGATCCACTGTCGTAAAATAGATGTAAAATACTAAAATCGTAAAGTCATGAAAACTGTATGCTAACAGAATCTTCGTTTCTATTAGAAAAATCATGTCGTGTGCCTTCTGGAAGTACTGTACATATGCGCCCAACGTAGACATACCTCCCATGATGCACATATCATCATCCAAGCAAGATTAAGCAGCTAGAAATATCGAGAGCCAAGTCCCTCCCTCTTCTTGGTCTTTTCTTCGGTGGCTGCCCCTCTTTCTCGACCACATCATTACCATCGTCATTAGCAGGTCTCTTCCCACCAACAGTAGGAAAGAATTAACCTCAAACATAATATATACATAATAATTGAGTAACTAGTCACATCACCGGTGATGTTCAGAGGCAAAAAGAAATCAAAGTACCTCCAGCAATTTCTATAGCATAGCTACAACTCCGTCTGGTCTATAGTATCCTTACTCAACTGCGCAATCTGCTCCAACTACTTCTCTACAGGATGATTGCCCAAAACAGCGTGACTGACTTTCTCGCTGAAAATCCTAGTAACTTTGCCGGCGTGTAGTCTTACTAGATCTTCTGAAAATTTACGATTAAGTGTTGGTCAAGTACCGGATATCACAATAGTTTGCCGGATAGACGGTGCCATTCCATCCGAGAAGCACTTGAACATTTTCGGACGGTCGGATCCAGGTTTCTTCTTAGTCTTAGCGTTGTGTTGTCCCGGCCTAGTCTTCTTGGCGGTGACTGACTTTTTGACAATTTCCGCTTCCGGCCTGTATTGTCAATCCTGATAATCACTGTCTATAACAATAAGATTCTTTGCCGATGATCTAGCCCTACTTGGTCGGGTGCTAGCCTCTTTAGAAGCACCCACGCACGACATCCTCATCGTCATATTACAAAACTTTAGCCTTCTCCTTCTTGACTGGGACTCTGCTCTGTGCGAAGAGTTTTCTGTCTTTTGACTAGATTGATCTTTTGCTGATCCTCTAATTTGCGGCTGCTTTGAGTTCTCTGACTATTAATTAGACCTGCGTCTTGTTAGTCTTTCAGCAGGTTGTGCGGGCTGTAGATGCATCAGATTCTCTGACCGTTGATCAGACTGTTCTCTTGTTGACTTCCAAATTTGCGCTACAGGCTGGAAATGCATCGAATCCTCTGCCTGGTAACCAGATGCGCCCCTTGTTGATCTCCCAGTTTGCGGCGCAGGCTACCAATACATTGAGTCTTCTGTCTGATCAGTGAACTGATCATTAGTTGATTTTTCCTTCCGCTTTGCTGGTTAATGCCGCATTAAAGACCTTTCAATTTCTGGAGCCAACTGCTTCCTCCTCGACTTCTTCGTCAGAGCCAATTGTTCTTCGGCCAACTTGTCTGATTTCCCAAACTGAAGAGCTTTTTGAGCCAAGCAATAATCATTATGCAATCGTTGATCTGACCAATTAAAGATACAGGAAGCTTTCTCGACCCGTAATCTGTCCTCCTCTGCCTTACCTTCCCTATCGATTCTCACATTTCTCCCTCTTCTGGTCCTCTTCCGGTGTCGACATCTTGTTTGCAATACAACACGACGGCTCTTTTGGTAGAAATGAATAAGAGGCGGCAGCTTATCAAAGTAGAAAAAGCCAGAAATCATAAAGTTGTGGAAATCAAACGGAGGAACATTATATCAATTGGAAATAAAACCAGGAATTATATTGATCTGGTAGACTCAGAAAAAGATCATTAGGGTATCAAATGAATGGAAGCCAAGAAACTTATGATCTTGTAGAAATCAAAAGGAAAGACAAGAAATCAAGGTATCAATGAAGATGATCTTAATAATTATGATTAGGAGGGCATGCTGTAGAGAAATCAGAATATAAATGAGAAGAAAAGCAAAGAGTGGTTGTTTAAATGCCGATAATATGACTACTTGAAACGCCGACTACGTCATAAGATTAGTCGGGGAAAGCGGATCTCACCGACAGTGAATTGTCCCGTTTCTCAAATTCAATAGTTTTTAATTTATATATCATTATACTATGAAAGTTAAAAAAATTTATATTTTATCTTTGAATAGTTTTATTTTAATAACTTTTTAATTTATGTAAATAATTTATATATAAATATCTTATTAAGTTATAAAAAGTTTAAAATTTTCAGAATTTACATTATATAAGTGATAATTCTATAATTAGAATATTCAAATATTATATCTACAAATTAAAAAATCTATTAATGAATGAAAATAATAGTCTTTGGTGTAAAGAAGTAGTCTAAAAGAGGGGTCGTCTAAAAGCGGGTCAATTCATTTTCCGGGCTTCCGGGGATAATTCGCTTTCCCCGACTACTTGGTAGTCGGCCTTTCAAGAAGCCGACTATTATCAAAACGAATATATCAAATGACGAACGACTGAGAAAGATCTGGACCCGTTATCGTGGCTGATTGTTGAGGTTGGAGATTGGAAATCCAAAGTTGGTGTGAGTGGGATATTGTTTATTTTTGACACTCGGAAGCGGGGCAGAAACCATCTCTGTGCAGTGTGGACGCATTTACCCTAATTGCTTAATTTGGTAGTTTTTATTATATAGGTTTAAGTTTGCGAGATAATAATAAGATTCTCATGTATTTTTGTTGAAGTAAATAGATTGTTGAAAGTTCCGAGATGATTTAGACGAGTATCCCCTAGACTTGAAGGCATGCGACACAATGGGGAGACTTGGAGATAAAATACCGAGGTGATCACGCCGAAAACACGACATCATGTGATTATCTAAGACTTCCTTAGTTCTTACCAACTATGTCATGTGATTATCTAAGATTTACCTAGTTCTTACCTACCACTCCGTGGGCGCCCAGTATTCCAAGTTACTCGTGCGGACAGTGGTGGCACAGCTTCAGTTGCCAGGTGAATGATTAGAAACGTTTATTCTCTAGCGTGAAAACAAATGCTGGAAACAACAAAAACACGACTACAAAATACTTAACACCACACAACCTCGTTCAAAGTTCGGCTGAACTCCATACATCTATCTATCTGATGGACCTTCAAACTTTTGCGTCAATGGGCCCACCTAAATATGGGCCACTATTCCTCTTTTAGTTTCCCATTTTGGGGGATGTGCTGAGAAGTGGAGTGTGAGATATTGGCCGGCAGCCCGAGTATTGATCGGGAATTGATTGACTACCTACGTGGTAGTACCTACCTATTTATCTACTGATGCCTCACATCATTCACTCATCAACACATGCTTCATACTTTATACTTCATACTTCACAAGAAAGCCTTTTATCGCCATCCACCCCGATCTTATCGATCCTTTTCATCTGATCTTCGTATTGCTTGTGTCTCTCTCATACCAGCATACCGATCTTCCCGAATCACAAAGTTCGACTTTGTCTGTTCCCTAAACTTCCGTTTCTCCTAAACAATCCTCCTATCTGGATTGATCAGTCACCACTTTAGCCATGGATTTCCAGCATTCATCCTCCGAAATCAACGGTGAAAGAGATCCGAAGCATGATATTATCGAAGAAGAAGTCGATCTCTATATGGCTTCTTTCAAAATTGATGCGAATGAAAAACATGACTTCTATTATGAGAAAAAGAAGCGTGCCGACGAGTGTCAAGAGGAACACCAGAGGATGAAAAGGAAATCCAATGATGCTGAAAATATTTTACAAATAAAGCACAAATCTCAATTTTTTCAGCAGCTTATAGTGAGTAACTTATAGACTCCCGTTGCTGATGATCGATTATACTAATTTATTTTGTAAGAAAACTGATGTTTCGTCAACACGAAGACTCACTCAGCCTGCATATGTTTTCGAAAAATTTCCCCATCTTCCCCAGGAACTTCAAATCATCATATGGCGCATGGCGGCAGAGGACAAGAATACTGACCGTTATTCTTTTGTGAATTATGGAAACCAGGATGATATTCATAGGCCGTTCCATCGAGGTGTTTCCAGCGCCATAGCAACTAAAAACATCAACTACGAACCGGTAGAGCCGGGAAACAAGCCCTCGGGCAATATATACATCCCAGCTGTACTTCATGCATGTAGGCTTGCGCGGGACGTGGCTGAAACAGTGTACACATGCCTACCGATAGATTATGGTGAGACAACCACTTACGAAGCTCTCTCGCGACAGGCCTATTTTGACCTGGTTAATGACGAGTTCTTATTGCCGTGGAAAATGGTTTTACCCAGGCTTCGGTGGATAGAGCATCGAATTATTGTCGACCTTCTGATCAAACATCACGCCACTAAGGGCCAATGGGAAAGTCTACCAGCAACATTAAGGAAACATGTTGAAAGTTTGTTGAAGATTCGAAATCTCCAAATGGACCTACGTACCTTTTACAACGTTCCTCCTCATATCTGGGCAGAGTTTTCGATGCTTGAATGCTTGACAATATTGATCTCACCAACGAACAGCATAGGAGATGTTTCTGTGCAGGACCGCACTTTCAAGCCCAAGCCTGGTACTAAATTTGGTAAACGTGCTGACTGGATATGGGGCTACTGCTACAAATTACTGAACAGTGTCAAAAAGGATTTCCCCAACTGGAGACATCCCAAGATCAAGGTTCTCCTAATCGACGATCCGGAATGTGAAGAAACTTACGAAGAGGCAAACCCTGAGGAATACGATCAAGTACATCCATCTCCTCCTCCTGGGGATAAATTGCATATTCCATTTCCAGGTTGGCTTGATCATTACCAAACGTTTATCTATCCTACACGGAATAATAATGTGTATCTGCCTGAGAAATCGGAACTTGATGAAGGCGATGATTTTGAATGGTATAGAATGCAGAGACTGCCCAAATTTTCGCTTGAAGTAACAAAGAAAGACTTGCAGTTTGGGCAACAGTGGCCATTTGATGAGTATAATTATTGATGTAAGTGAGGGGTCAGGCTAAGCATAATTGGAGTCCTCATAATCGTCACATCAAAGGAGTTTGAAGTGGCTCGATGTGAGATGTTGTGTCTAGCTAAACATTGGGGATATTTTGAAATTTTCATATTTCTTCTATATTTGCGAATATTTCCTAACACAGGGGGCTCATATATTGGGGGACACGGGCGGGGTAATCGGCGGATCTTTGCAAGATGAAGTAATGGGCATGTAAATGATCATCTGAAGTTTGTCAAGGGAAATAATTTTATTTATTATTTGGGTTTTGGGTTTGGGTGTGGGTCTGGGTCTGGGTCTGGATTTGAGTTTTGGTGTGGATTTGGATTTGGATTTGGATTTGGATTTGGATTTGGATTTGGATTTGGATTTGGGTCTGGATTTCGTTCCGGGGGAATGGAGAGATGATTGATTAGGCAGGTATACTATCAGGGGTATTATAGGGGTGGGGTGGGTCTAGGCATGGGGAAAGGATCATATGATGTTTGTTATGTTGCAGACTGGTCTGTTAGTCAGTGCACCCACTTGATGAATGGATGGGATAGAGACAGGGAGTATTAGTAATAGATGATTCTTAACTTTAACCATTTTGAAGTAATACTAGAAGATATATACTCATCCTCCTATCAAGGACTTTGATATCTCTAATCGTGGTGGTTTTTTCTCACCTTGCGAATCTTTTCTAATGTGTTATCTGTATGTAGATAGTATATATATTTTAATTTGTACACCGACTCATTGTTTCTTCCCTGGTACTATGTGATAATATAAGTTCGTATGATAACTGTTCAGGTTAATTGGAGATATTTTAATCTCGTCACTACTACCTACTGACACATGACGCATGACACATGACACATGACACATACTTTATGCTCCTCTACTATCTAAATTCAAACATCATCACAATTCAAAATATTAATATATTCTTCCACCACCCAACCCATGCAACACCCCATACCCCCACAACCCCACAACCCCACAACCCCACACTCCACCACCATCCCCTACATATCCCTCGTATTCCCATTATCCGACCCCCTCAATTCCAACTCCTCAGCTTTAGCATCCAAACTATTCAATTCATCCTCCTGATCATCAAGTTTATGATAACAAATATAAAACACTATCCCCGCCCCAAAACTCCCACAGGCAAGTCCCACAAACATCCAAAGAATCGTCGGATTACCCACCAATGGAATAAAAGCCTGACATAACGCGAATCCAAACGCATTAGTCAGTAAAAACATAGCTTGCACGAATGATTTCATAGATACGGGTGCTTTGGTATATGCATATTCGAGACCGGTAACCGAAGCGAAGATTTCAGATACTCCGATGAAGATATATGCTGGGATTTGAATGGCGAAATGAACATCGTTGGGTTGGATTGTTCCATCGGGTAAGATGGCAGCAGGACACTCGAGGGGTTTGCCGTAACATGGTCCGGCTTTGTAGATGAGGTGCTGTACGATGGCTGCGTACATCATGCTTAGACTTGCGACGATAAATCCAAAGGTGATACGTGAGATGGGTCGGAATTTGATGTGCAACTTGCGGAATAATGGATACACGAATCGGTCCATCACTGGGACGAGGAGGATAATGGCGATAGGGTCAAAGTTTTGTGATAGATCATTGGGTACTCCGTGGGTATTCATTTCTCCGGCTTGTGAAACGAAGTTACTAGAGAATTGGGCGTAGACGACCCAATAGATGGGGTAAAAGACGAAGACGCGACAGGCTATTAATGCGCGCTTTACTTCTTCTACGAATTGATCGTTCCATTGAGTTGATTGTGGGATCCCGTTTGCAGTTTGATAGGAAGGTTTAGCGGCATCTAATTTTCGGTACTTTATCATTGTTCCAATGACTTTAAATGCATCTGTGATTACTGTTCCCTTTGGTGGACGAACAACATATCTCTTTCTTCCTAAAAGTAGTGTGGCGAATCCAACAAGGAAAACGCATAAACACAAAAGGAAAGCGGACCAAAATCCAATATCTCGTTCCATGTAAGGTGTTGCGAGAAGAGAAAGAGCTCCAATATTGATACACCAATAGAAGATCAAATAAATTCGCTGGACAGTAACGGTCGGATCGATGATTACACGTTCGCCATTCTCGAGTACTTTAATTGCCATGCGTTTACGAGTATATTGGTCGGCAATTAGAGGACTGACGTTGGACTTGATACCTCCGGTTCCAACACCGATGATCAGAATGGCGGCGATGAATCCTCCTAATCCTGCTCCATTTTCAAGTGAAATTGGTAGAGATGTCAGGACGAGGACTAGAAGTCCGACCATATAGACGATGGCAAAGTAGCAAATTGCCTTGAATCGGCCGAGATATTGATCGGCGACGATGGCACCAAAAATAGGGGTAACTGTGAAGAACATGAGCTATCAACACACCAAAAATGAGGACAGGAGTTGACATACAATAACACCACATGGAAAAGAAGACGGTAAGAGCAGTGGCAGTTCGATGTCCAAGGCCTACAAAGTTAGTTAACGGTCATAATGCGAGGAGATTTAATTCTTACCAAGAGCACCTCGGCCCAAAGAACCATCTAATGGTCTTTGAACATAATTTTGAAATAATCCAACGCAGCCATAATATGAGAACCTTTCACATAATTCTACAATGGCGACAAGCCAAGCGGACATGGGCAAACTATCGCCAACTAAGATATTGTCAGCTTTCCCAATCACCTATGACGTGCAATTGCTACATACTGCGTCGTAAAGTTCTTCTTTCTTCATCAGTGGGCTCTTCTTCATTTATTACGGTCTCTGCCCCAAAACTACTTTGTCTTGCATTTGCAGTGAGGGCTATCTCATTTTTGATACTCTCCGTCCGAGCTGGATTTGAAGAGATGGTGTTACCACTCATTCTTGGAGCAGTCTCATCGTGATCCTGCTTTTCTGCTCTGAAAATCAGGTCAGCAGTTAGTCGCGAACAGTTAGGGAATAAATTCTTACTGTTGACCCGACATTTGATATTGTTGTTTGCGAATGACATTAGAGTTTAGATGGATGTGGGAGGCCAATAAATTATATGGAACCTTGACTAATGGGTTGTTGATGTCACTACGTTGGAAAATTGAAGCCAAGATAGGAAATAATCTAGCTTTGTAAGTGGCATGATCTTTTTGGATCTAAGGTTGACAGTAAATGGAAATAGTAAAAATTGAAGAGCAGGACTTGGAAGTTAGAGCCACTATCAGTACTGCTTTGGGATATAATCTACATAGCTTTCGATTGAGCGTCAAAGCTATTACAGAGACTGTTAGAGTTGTGGGTATATATACTATGTAGAACTACCCCAAGCTTGGCTCATGGGAAGTATTAAAGATTGGAGATCTCAATCTCATAATTGCCAATTAGGTAGTGGTAAACCTTGGCGAAATGGGAATTATAGATCGTGTACCTCGAAACTATATGAAAGGCCTTGATGGTAAATTTGTAATGCTAATGAATGAAATGATGTGAAGGAGTAAAGGGGTGAAAGTCGAAAGGAATAATATCGAATTAGTTAGGCTTCACTATGCTCAAACGCGCCCTCCTGAATACTGGAAGAGATACTTCAACCTTTTCTCCCACATCACCTACCCTCAAGCTTCTCTTACCTTATCATTTCCCATCATCCGTCATCCGTCATCCGTCGCTTTTCGCCCTAGTCTACTCAATGAAGATATAATATACACTTATACTTATCTCCATCCCCAACAGATAAACTCGCAACATCCTATTCGCCGACAGAAGTTTAGCTTTAAATTGAACGATACCAAGTATCAAGAAAACCTACGATCATGAATCTAGACACAACCTTAGTCAAGCGGGGTTATGAACGATGATTATACACCATAATTGACCCCACCGATTAGCATTCTGGCAATAGTTGACAGTTGCCAGGGACATAGATTTCTAGATAGGTAGATCTACAATCTGGTATTCCAAAATCTAGATTTTTAACCTGCTGCATCATTCATTTACTACTTTCATGGCTTAACTTTGAAATGGGTAGGTAAAAAGAGACTTCTTGTGTTATAACTACTTTGTTGTTAAGAGATGCACTGAAGACCTTGGTATGGATGAAAACGCATTGTCCTTCTTAATGATTTGTAGAGTTCGATTGAGATAAATAGTATTTCTGTTCCAAGCTTTGAAACTTGTATCTGCAGATCATACTACCATCTGCAACCAACCTGTTTGAACCTCATAGAGGAGTTGCTGAGTAGTGTAAATAAGGTTTTCGTTTGACTGCCAAGGAATGACGGTAATAGCATAACCCCATCGAGAAGCGAACTATTTGCGTCACTATCTACTAACAACACCAGGAGATCTTCATGCGGACACCGAAGTAGAGTGAACTTAAAGATTTGATATACTGAAAGATAGAAGGTGAAAGCTTCTTATTGTAAGTGTGAAGAGAGTTATCTTAGTATTGGAGCTACAAATCCTGATTATATAGTAGACTTATAATCATTATAGGAAATTTATTAATTTTTAATAATTAAGCTTAATAAAAATTAATTGTAAAAAGAACATTAAAGCTATATGTTAGTTTTGATATTTTTATATTAGTATTACAATATATCTTTATACTAGTATAATTTCATATAGAATAATTACATATAATCTTATAATAGAAATTCACTTTCAACAAATATAAAAAAGGTTTGGCCTATACTTGCCCAACCAACAGACTCCATGAGATTTGACATAAGGAATTGATGACAGAACCATACGAGCCGGTCATATGGATATACATCATTACTAGATTTATAAACCAACAATATGAACATTATCACGTACATTAAATCGACGACCAATCACGCCTTTACCCAATATAGTCCCAGCATCCAACTCCCTAGGCTCAACAAGCTCATCTACATTTCCCAATCCCAATCCGAATCCCAATTCCATTTCATTCATATTTTTAACATCCCCTCTATCATGATTTTCACCATCATTAACTTCTTTCCTAACAAAAAACGCTTCCATTTCCACAGGTTCCATATTAACACTAATATGTTTCTTCTTCATCAATTCACAATAAGAACTCGTATCAGTTTTCGAATCATTAGATAATTCGGATTTCAATTGATGTTCTTCGTACCATGAATCTTTGTCGATGTCATCGGCGAGTTCTCTGGTTGTGAGTTGTCTTTTGGTTCGAGGGATGGAGGATAGATGGCGCAGATGCCGGATAAGCATGAAGGTTATGATTATGAGGAGTGTTAGGCCGAGAGTTATACTAATGGCGATGATGATTTTGATTGTGTTTGTGAGGGAGTTGGTTTGATTTGTTTCTGATGGGGTGTTCATCGTTGAAATCGAAGATGGGATTGCTTCTCCTTTCGTAGTCGTTGGGTTTGATGTTCCTGTCGTTGAGCTAGTTTTGCTTGAATCGCTGGAGCTAGGTTGGGTTTTGTTTGCGTTACTTGTGCTGGCAGTAGAGTTCGAAGTAAATTGACCGAGGGTGAATGTGGGACTGTCCACAGATTGGGTATTGTCTGAAGAAACCCAAGATATTTTATAAAATCCTGCGTGAAGCGAATTATCAGGAGCCCAAGGTAATGAATTCCCCGTTGTTGCAACTGTCATTCCTACTGTCAGTCTCTCCTACGAAGAAGGTCTTAATCTGTCGACCTAAAACACACCTCCTATTGATTCTGCACTGGCAAGCGGAATACTTTCATTATAATATTGAATTGGGACTAAATGAAGATTTACAGAACCCGTTGAATCAACCCAGGTGATTGTGAACCGTTGTCCTAACACAGGATTGAAGGCATTGTTCGTGAATCGAAATGAATGGACTAAACTTGCAAACGCAAGCAAAATTAATTGCAAATAAACATTTTGAAGTACCCGCATAGTGTGTACTACACTTCGAGGGAGGGTAGGAGAGCAAAAGAGTGATGACAACAAAGTGTGAAGAATACTTAACTTGTTAAACTTACTTGAATTGCTTATATTTGTTCAGCTATTTAGGATTTTCGGCAACAAGGTCAATTCAGCGTAGTATTTTGTTTTGGAGCCACTTATGGCGGTGCACGAGATGAGAATCCTTTCATGATAATACCATACTAGATGCAATGGCACTATGACATACGTCCCGCTAACCATCCAAACATCACGAAAAGTAAATCATTGTATAAATACATCATATTAGGGATGAATGTACCGTCAGTACCATAAAAGGAACATGGGAAATTACTGAAGTGAGATTGACAGACTACCCTGCTCGTTTATTCCTGAATCCTATGTTCATCTCGTTAATGCGGGGTGTGGACGTAAATAGAACATCTACGGGTCCACAAGGCTAAAATGTAAGATGCTTGATTTAGAGGTTTTGCAGCCATAAGAATTGTACATTAGTGGAGGAAATAAGTAAGACGTCAGGTCACCTCTAACGAGCCTTTCATGGACCTCTGTAGTGCGACCACGGGTGAGTACAAAGAATCCTGAGTGTCTGCTGGAAAAGGGACCGATAGCTGCGACGCAAGAGACATGAACATAAAAACACTAGCAAGCAGGTAATAACAGGGCTGGGGATGACAACAAGATGAGGACTTGCTGGAAAGATTGTCAGATGTAGTCACGTGATATACACATGACATTCCCTGAGACGACATATCTGAAGTTACTCGTCCGATAAATCTAGAATCGCTTCGGAAATTCCTAGAAGATTGAGCCCATTATCAACAGTCTCTTTAGACATTATGTATCCCTAAACTACCCCTAACTTACTCATTATCTGGCCGAGGTGACTTTTGTTGGAATGATTTCAACTGCTGTATAGCTCCCACATCAGATGTTCAGAACGGCGTAGAGAAAAGGACAAAAGTTTCCAGCTCTGATCCTTCCATATATTATGAGAAGTCTAATCCGTATCTTAATAAACTAGCAATAAAAACGTAGAACACTTACACTCGTAGATTCCTACATTCTCACCTAAACTTACCTCAGAAAAACACAGGTACCATTGAGCAAATTCCCACATCATTCAAGCTCGCACCACCTAAACATAACAATATCCCCGCCTGGCTCATATCCATATTATTCCTTGCCTTCCCGACAATCCGTCGTCTTTACATTTTGTCAATTCCCAAGAATTTGAGAAAATAGTTACGAACATGCATATACCAGAAAGTCAAATCAGCGACCCAGCTTGGTATACGTATCACATCAAAGCCATTGAATATAAAAACAGCAAAAATGCCGCTTGAAGCTCATATAACCACGTGAACATTCCAGGGTGATTTACAAATTAAAGAGCAGGATGAAATGGCTACTGCGAGAGTTTTGGTCAAAGCTGGAGGTGAAGGCAGACTGAATTTTCTTTCTAGTCTTATATTTGTAGTCTTACAAGATAATAATGTAATAATGTAATAATATAAAATAAGAAATACATTAATAATCTAATAATAAATCTACAAATAATACATGTAATAAATTTCAATTTCTTATCTTCTCTTAAGTATCTATATCTAAATCTCAATTTATATAACTTATAATCTATAATTTACTATTGATATGTTACGAGGTTTGCTGTCTAGATCACGTGGAAGTGCTCCAGGCTTTCGAGATGGCTTATAACTAGGCGTCAAACAGGGACTTAAATAACAACAATGAATGATTGCAATTCGTAACTGATATTAGATTATATTAAATGATTGACCTTGAACACGAAGCTCTACAGTAAAGAAATTCATCCTGATTATATAGACCTTCGTATTCTGGAAGTCGATCGACTCTCGAAAGTCAGTCGGCTTTTGGATTAGGTAACACTTGTCACATGATCCTATTAGCTAATCGATCGTATGATATAAGATATGTTACGCTGTCGTAACATTATAAAATATAAAATTAAAACTATTATCACTATATAATATAATATAATATATATTTTAATAATAATTATTAATATAAAACAATAAAAGAAACACTATTTAAATAATTAAATGAATAAATATAAAGAGGTAATTATATAATAAGAGTTATATATAGTATGTATAGAAATTATAAGTTTTATATAAAATCTTATCTATAAGACTACCGCAAACAGACACACTTTTAAGACTACTTGGAAGATTCGATAATATTAAGTAGGTACCTATATATATATATTTCTACACATTGTCTTTAAGTCCGGGGGTGAGATTTATCGGAATATTGAATTCTTTAAATATATTTCTTAGTTCTGTATTGTCGGGTGAGGAGCACCTGGTCGGTGTCATGCATGCATGCATGCATATATACATTCAAAGTATTGACTTGACCATTGCTGGTATTGAATATTTGCTAAGCATTGATGTATTATAAATATAAACAGGAGCGTCTCATCCAAACTTTGCACTACTGGTATGTTGGTAAATTAACCAATTGGTTTCCTGAAAAAGATAACAAAAACCAAATAGAATACCTCCAAACCCCAGTCTCAAATCAGAACTCCCATTAATGCATGACATGCGTGCCCAGATGTACAAAAAGAAATCTTAATGTGTGCTTTGAACAATCTCACCACCCCTTCACCAGAACTTATTTAGAAATTATCCGCATCACCAATTAACTCCCGACAGTTCCTCCAAATGGATGACTCTCTCGGAGATCTGCCACCAAATCATCAACATTATGAAGGTATCTTCCCAAGAGTTCCTGTTTCTCCTCCAAAGTTTTCGTTTGTTCACTCTCACTTTGTGCTCTTCTTCTTCCTGCCTCTTCTCGGTTATTGAATGCGCCAGGAAGCTTACTTGGACTGCGTTGCAGCAATGCTAACGAATTCGATGCGGCTGCTGATGGTATTGAAGGGGTTTCGGGCATTAGGTAGAAGTATAGGAACTCAACTAGTTTAAGCTTTACCTCGCGACTTGTTTCCCGAGATTTGAAGATTGAAGTTATTGTTAAAAGACCGTCGAGAGTTTCGAATGTGCGAGTATTTTTAGGTGTCTCGATAAGTGAACAGACGAGCGTGAGAAGGGTTGCGGATTGGATTGCGGGACAATTGACTGGTTCAAGGAGATCGAGGAGATGCTGGAAAAGTTAGTATCATGCATGTTGATTCCTAGCAAGCGCGTAAATTTGATTGATGTACATACATTCATATATAATTCTCTGGAAAATAAACTCCTGGAAGGAGGATGCAATAAAAGAACCCCTTGTATCAATTCCAATGTCTGGATTATCAACATATCACTCTGTCCATCATTACTCTTCCCCATCAATCTATCCAAACATGTAACCAATCGCATAGCAACATTCCATTCAAATCCCTCCTGTAATCTAAAGAATTCTCGAAATGCGGCATCATTAGGTAGTTCATTAAGAGGTTTTCGTGGAGGTGGTTCTTTTCCCGGATCAATAACTGAACGGCGCTTATCAACATTGGACTTTGAAGAATTGGATAGACAAATTTGGGCTAATAGTCCTTCGACCTGTCGGAGACCTTTTCGAATCTTTGATGCATCATAGGAAGAAAGATTATCGAAAGATAGAGAAAGTAAAGCTTCCATCGTTTACTTTTGATTTTGGACGCGTTGGTTGAATGAATGAATTTTTGTCTGGGATTTTGAAAGGTTGCGCAAGTTCGCAAATTCGCAGATCGGTTTAAACTGTACTCGAGTACACTTTGAAAGAATGATAATGTGAATGTGGATTCGAATGTTAATACAAGAAAAGAAAAAGAGAACGTATGGGAAAACGAAAATATTATCTTTTTTTGGCTTCTTTGGGTTAAGAAACACAGCTGAATGGTAGATCTACTATTTGCAACAATGGTCTCGGGTTATAAGATCGTTCACAGGGCAACGAATCCAAGAGGGGAGGGAAGTTTTTCAGGTTCAAGGAAGATAATAACAAGTCTTTACCACTGGGTCGATGGCATTGGTGCATTGGTAAGTGAGTGACCGAGTGGCAGATTCTGTATGTATAGCGCGGTGAAAAGATAATTGAGAAGTGTGGACATGTCCTTTGTTGATCATGATAATGGATAACATGACGTGATAGAATTGTATGAAACAATTTATTCTTTGATGCCTACTGCTCGACAAGATTTTATATAAAGATAATTTATATATAATATTTTATAATATCTTATAAAGATTTAAAAAAAAAAATTGATTTAGCTTCGTTTATACTTCTTTAAAAGTCTCGCCGAGTATATATATATTTACATATTTACATATATACATATATCAAGACCACTCTTTTCTTCATTCATCAGGAATGAATTATCTACAGTCCTCCCATCTCTAACATTATGTTTCTTGATAAGGTTATACTCTCACACGATCAAATGCGATCAGATGAACATACCACTCACCCACCATATACACCACAGACTTACCATCTGCGGAAAGCCTAATCTCAACACGCACGTGAAGAAATCCTGAAGCCGCCGGCCTTTTTTGCACGACCAGAAATATAATGACGTTAAGCATTGGGTAATGAAACGGTAAACCAAGAACCTCAGAATCACTGTATTGTTACATTTTGTTTACGGCTGATACTACTGATTTGATACTCATCGAAATCGCATCCTTACTGTTGCTCTGTTGCTCTGTTATCCCGTTACTCTGCACTGTATATCTGTGAATGGAAACGAAGAACCAGAAATATACAGACAAACAACTTCATTAAATTTCATTCTTCAACGCCACAAATTCATGCAAGGTTACGAATCAATCATTTCAATAGCCTCGTTCTCTGTCGTTTCTTCGTCTCTCAGTTAAAGGGTGAAAATATCTCTAATAAGCAGGGCCAAATGTTTCAAACCAATCTTTCAAATAGAGCTCCTTCCATTATGGTTCCCGAAAACTTTCCTTCTCCAAACGCTATTCCTCCACGAACTTCCTCGACCGGCCATAACAACATCAATCATACAATTTCGAAAGCAGTTCTACGTCCTGTACCTGAAGGCGATTGGATAAGTCAGAGAAATAGTATGCATACCGCACAGTCTTCAGGGACCTTGAATCCTTCTATTCAAGGAGGTTCTGCTCCAGATCCAAATAAATACAACAAGAACGATATGGCATTCCATGGTAGAAGCTCATGGGCGCCAGAGAAGGAGAAGATATTGTTCGGTCCATATGATTATTTGGAGGCACATCCAGGAAAGGACATTAGGAAACAATTGATCGCGGCATTCAATGAATGGTTGGAGGTACCACCGGAGAGTTTGGAAGTTATTACAAAAGTTGTGGGAATGTTACACACGGCATCATTACTCGTGGATGATGTCGAAGATTCATCATTATTACGACGTGGACTACCGGTCGCACATAGCATTTTTGGCACGGCGCAAACGATTAATTCTGCGAATTATGTATACTTTTGCGCATTACAAGAACTTCAGAAGCTCAACAATCCACAAGCGATTACGATTTACACAGAGGAGCTATTGAACCTTCATAGGGGTCAGGGTATGGATCTGTTTTGGAGAGATACTTTGACCTGTCCTACCGAAGATGATTATTTGGAAATGGTTGGTAATAAAACTGGCGGCCTTTTCAGACTCGCCGTCAAGCTTATGCAAGCTGAGAGTAAAACCTCAAGGTAAATACCCCCCTCCCTCCCCACTGGATCTACAAACATGCTAACCCCTGTTTAGGGATTGTGTACCCTTAGTTAACCTCATCGGAATCATATTTCAAATTCGCGATGATTATCAAAATCTTTCTTCTCCTGAATACTCACACAATAAAGGGTTATGTGAGGATTTGACCGAGGGAAAATTCTCATTTCCGATTATTCATTCTATTCGCGCCGCACCGGATAATCTCGTTCTTCTCAACATCCTGAAGCAGAAACCGGATGATGAACAAGTTAAGAAGTATGCAGTAGCATACATGGAACAAACTGGTAGTTTCGAGTATTGTCGAAAAGTTCTCAATACGTTAGGAGAAAGAGTCAAGAAATTGATTGAAGAGTTAGATGATGGAGGGGATAAGGGCAAGGGTGTATTGAAAATTTTGGATAAAATGGCCATCTAATCTGTGGATGTAGAGGATTGGGAACTGGGTTAAGGTATGGTTGAGCTACTTTGATATATAGGGATATCGGAGCATGCTGGCGTATTTGGTCGATGGGTATTCATCTTGAAGGCATATTTAAGGATTGCTACTTATTTAGGTTGATTTATTATTATCTTTCTAGGAAACTCTCATTTTCGTTCCCCTTCAGTTTACCTGTCTGAAAGCTCTTTCAGTTTTTCTTCGTGCTAGTATTCAATTCTCCCTCGTTTATTTATCCATACATGTTGAGGAACACTTCCTGAAAACAAAAGATTCAGACCCCTTAAGATATCTTCCTTCGAGGAAAGTAATACCTACAGCCAGCGTCAACCCAAACTGGGGCTCATATGCTACTTCACAAGGCTGGAGTTTTGAGCTTCGTCAATAAATATGTTGGAATTGCAATATCCAATCTAGTTCACATCTCGAGCTTGGTCTTTGTTTGCGCATTGAGTATACAACTAAGCCGCAATGAGTATGTAAAGTCACATTCTCAATTCTTTTCTATCTCCTTAACTGCGGAATGGGCTCCAAAAGTGGTCTGTGTATATTCCTTGAATGATAAAGCCTAATTGGTTAAAATGAACTTTTGAAGCTTTTTCAAATACTCTTTTAGCAAATCTGCATTTTGAATTTAAACTTAAATTTAGATTTTCAAATTTTCAAATTATTTATATAATTTAAAATGAATGAATATATATTTGTATAATTTCATTTTGAAAATTAAAATAATATTAAATAAAAATTAAAAAATCTTAAGATTTCAATTGATTAATAAGATTTATATTAAGCGAATGAAGTTTATTTTTATAGTTAAAAAGATATAATATTTAGTTTTTGATTTTATAAATAAATATTATTAATATTCTAGACTGATATTTGAAATCATAATATAAGAAGCTTTTTTTATATTTATTAATTATAAGATTTTCATTGTTTTTATTAATAAGAAAGAGTATAATTAATTCGGGGTTAATCACTGTATTTAGAAACTGGCCAGTGAGATTCATTGGGAGAGCCTCGCATCCAATCAAAATAATAAAAGGCTCCCAAGTGGGTTGATGTGAAAAGTAGACTCTATATTTGATCTTTTCCCCAAGCTACCAAGCATATCAAACCCAATTTGTATGCGAACTGATCTTGAGGCTTCGTGCAGTGCGCGCAATCTCTGTTGTAATTTTGGTTCTGCCCAATTGACAATAGGTAGTGACTGCTTCACGCAGTTGCTGCAAATGCATTAATGTCAGTTCTTGGGTGGATTTCCTGCTTGTTGTGCAAGTGCATAAAAATATCCAATCTAAGAAATCCTTCGAGGGAAGGATTCTTTCGAGCCTGTAATACTCGTGTGACAAGAGGGGACGTGTGCGAGTCACAAAATGGGACGACGCATATTTGTGTTCCCTTCGCTCTTCACAAGAATGCTTCACGAGCAATGCGGGATCAGGCTATGTCAAATATATAGCCTCGCTGGCTTCATGCGAATATTAATATCCAATCATACAATGTAGTGTTCAATTAATTCCTGAATACGAGCTGAATATTTTTCGGGAAAAGGAATTTAGTTTGAAATCATTGGCTACGAGGTGAATTCCGTACCCTAATGCCAGTGTCCTTATCACACCGAGTACGAAGTCTTTTACACCTTTCTTCAATTTGGTCAAGAATAGTTGGCGCCAATACTTACGCTTACCGTCTCTAACCATCTGTTTATAATTGCACTGGTAGCCCCCTCCCAGAGTCCTGAGCAATTTTCGATTCAAAAACTCTTTTACTTCATCTACGGCTCCAGTTCAATCGACAATCAAAATGTCTCAGTGCAGCTCAGAGATGGACCTCGACGGCCCCGATGTAGACCAAGAGGCCATGCCTTTAAGGCTTTTATCACTCGGCAAGTTGAAACCTCCTCTTTTGAGATATCTACTAAACGTTTGATTACAGACGGTGGTGGAATTCGAGGGCTATCCGAGCTACTTATCCTCGACGAGATAATGCGCCGTCTCAAACACCAGTGTAAATCTTCTGATGACCTATTACCGGCAGACTATTTTGACATGATGTGCGGCACAAGTACAGGAGGGTAAGTGTTTTCCTTCCTAAAATCTTCTGGCCGGAGGCTGGATACTTACCAAGCCTAGCTTAAATGCGTTGCTGCTTGGACGACTCCGTTTACCTACAACAGAGGCTATTAAATGTTATGCTTCAATAGCAGAGCAGATTTTCAAAGGCAAAAAATCGAAGGCATTGCATGGTTATACTTTTGACGCATCCAATATGGAGCAAGCAATCAAGTCTTTGTTGGAGAACAAATATGGACTGGGTCACGGCGATGACCGGATGCTTATGAATGAGGAAGAAAATTGCGGCGCATGTAAAACGTATGTATCACTGCTTAGAAAATATTTTACGGTAGCACAAGTCTCACTATCTATAGTTTCGTGTGTGCTGTCAGTTCACTCCACGTTGAAGGTGCTCCTACAAAATTTCGTTCATGGTTAGCTGTTAAGGATCAAAGTTACAATTGCAAGATCTGGGAAGCAGCTCGAGCAACGTGTGCAGCCCCTCGACTTTTCAAAAGCATCATGATTGGAGAAAATGGGATCGATGAAGAATTTGTGGATGCTGGGCTCGGCTGCAATAACCCTGTTCAACAAGTGATAGCAGAAGCGCGATCCGTGTTTGGTCCACTGAGGCCCGTCACTTGCATTCTCAGTATTGGTGCCGGGACTCACAAGCCTCTCGGTTTCACGAAACCAAAATCGGCACTGGAGAGAGCCGTTCCATCAGATCTCGTGAACGTCCTAGCAGGTTTGGCAACATCAACTGAAAAGGAGGCTGCCGAGATGGACAAGAAATATAGACACATTCCTGGGATTTATCACAGGCTGAATGTTGGGAGAGATATCGGGGAAATTAAACTTGAAGAGTGGGAGGAGCTAGGCCAAGTCACTGCGCATACGAAAGCATACCTCCGGAAGGATGATATTGATCATCAAATCGATGAAATCGTAGCTGCGTTGGCACACGAGCGTACTCCCAAGCTCAATATTAATCTTCAAGTGCTTGGTAACTAATATCTATCATGTTGTTATGCCATCATTGTGGCTAATGAATTTAGATGGTCGAATACATCATAATCCTGTTACCATTCATACGCATGCCTGCTTTCCGGTTGATTTGACTGATACTAAAGCATTCATAAAACGATCCTGCATGGGCGGAATTGAAGAAAGAATAAACCAGGTGTTACTAAATGGATCGACAGACGCTGTAGTTCTTCATGGAATTGGGGGCTGTGGTAAAACTCAACTTGCTCTTCATTATTGTCGCGAAATGAAACGTACTGGTTCTTTCTTTGCTATAATGTGGATTGAGTGTGGGTCAGAGGCATTGATGAAGGAAAGCTTTCATGGAATTGCGAAATCGATCATGCATGACCACGAAGACAGGATGGAGCAAAACCGCCGTTCCGCCGCTGCGTTAGCTAAGATGCGAGAGTGGAACCACAATCATCCGTGGCTCATCGTCTTCGACAATATGAATAGTCTTTCCCCTCACAACATAAAATCCTATATCCCAGGCGGTGGCTACGGTTTCATCATCATAACGGGCCGTCATCCAGACCTTAGTAGGCTCGGTCACTCTGTGTCTATTGGGAATCTAGATGAAGACGAGGCCATTGAACTACTCTTCAATCACACCGAACATATCAATGGAAGGACAGATGAGGATATCAGACAAGCCCGCGAAATTTGCCGTCTGCTCTCATGCCTTTCATTAGCTGTAGCCCAAGCTGGAGCTTATATTAAGAATAGGAGACTTGAACTCAACGCATTCGCCGAATTATACGAACAGCGACGGGAGGAAATAATGGCTTATTATCCTCCAACCTGGACATATAGAGCACCCAATCCATCGAACCCTAAACAAAAGATACCTCTTACTCTTTTTACTATATGGGAGCAATCTTTCAAGTGCATTAGCGGCGAGATGCTAAACGCGAAGCGCCACTTTCTTTGTATCAGTGCGTTTCTACTAAATGGGACTCGAATGAGCTCAATGCTTTTTCAAAACTGTTTCAATATGGCCACACAAAGACCACGGTGGATGGAGATTTTCAGGGACAAAGGAACGGATAGTTGGAGTCAGAGCAAATTTGAAGGTGTTTTGGAAGAGCTCAGCAATCTTAGTTTGTGCCAAATCGTAAAGAAGACCAAACACGACGAGTGCTTCTATTCTTTTCATCCCATGATCCGAGAATGGGCGCTTTATCGACCAGATCCGCGTACGAGACAGGACCTTGCATTAGAAGCTTTATGCATTCTTCAATATTCGTTGAGGATTTCTAAGGGCGTTTCTATACGCAATTCTAATTCTGGCATTGAGAAAGACATAGAAGCTTGCTTCCTCAACTGGGTAAAGTTTGGAAGTCAGCCCCTCTCGGGAAACAGTGAAATCCCTCATTTCACTTTATTTATGTCTTTATTTTTTGAAGAGAGTGGAAAATACAGTGTGGCGAAAGAGCTAAGAGAAAAAGTTGAAGTTTATTCCCAGGAACATGACCGAACTCTCTACCACCTAAGCCGTCGTCATCTAGCACTTGCGTTAGTGAGATTGCATAGATTTAGAGAAGCAGAAAAAATTATAGGCGGGCTTTTGGAATCTCTCCCGAAAGATCTGTGCGACACTGAGTATGAACTCCAGCTCTCATTAGAACTTTCATACATCTATGTCGAAATGGGCAGAAATACGCCAAATAAAGTTTATAGTATTACTGACGGTAATGACCTGCTGAAAAGAGCCTTGGATATTGAGACGCGTTTTTATAACGGCTGGAGAACCAATTCTGATAATTTATTATATATTCTAATATCATTAGCGTTCTTAAATGACAGGATTCCTTTCAACGAGCATAACACGACCAGACAACGACTAATAGGTACACATACCGAACTGTTTAAGCACGGTAAAGATCACGAGGCAAAAGTGAAAAAACTCTGGTCGGCTAGATCACTTCGGGTGGAGGGGCACTATGATGCTTCCGAGGCCATGGAGGAAGAAATTTATAGGGATAGCTTGAGGAAATCTGGTGATACGGATTTCTTTGCCTTAATATCACAGGCAAACTTGGCGGGGTTTATGGAACGTCGGGGAGACATTGAAAAGGCTTTGGAATTACAACGGACGGTTTTCCGCAAGTTTGAGCAGAAATATGGGGTTTCGTATTTGGCAACTCATGCCCTTGCCATCGACCTCTACCATATGCTTATGGACCATGGATATCGCGAAGAAGCTGATACCATATTTATAAAGTATTACAAGGGGCCAACTTCATTTTATGATTATAGTGATCTGATTCAGTTACCAGAGATCATTCATGTTTCGATCTAGTCAGTACCCGAATCAATTTTCATCCCTCATATTTCATTCAATTCAGCACTCGGCCTCCTTCGTTCGCTTATCCTCTGTGACACGTACTCCATCATCAACAAGACGAGGAAACCGAACTGACTTGATGACTTCTCTAAAACGATAATCTAGTTTGATATATCTTGATAAGAGGGGGGATATATGGTAAGGGAAGAATGTAGCCATCTAATTGAAGGAGAAGCTTGGGCTGCGTAAGGGGGATGAGAAGTATGGTTAGATAGGAGGGTGTACAAGGAGGTTGTATGTGCTTTAAGTTCATGGGGAATTGTTAAGAGATTAAAAATCATATGAATTAAGCCCATTTGAGCAATACAATCATTTCTGATAAGTATTGTTTTCTCTGAATAGCTTCATTTGCACGTGAAAGATTTCCCACTCACTCTGTCAAACATCGGGTTTACCCCGGCTCATCAACCTACCCCACCTTCCAAATTAGAATATCACCTCAAGCCATTTTTTCTCTCTCCTCTTCCATCTTCACTACACTCCCACCTCTGCAATAACATAACATCTCTTTCCACCTTAAAAGAGGAGACATAACATATATCTTCACCAAAATGCCACTTTCATTCCCCATCTTCAACGACTCTCCACAAGTCCTCCAAAAGCATCTTGAACAAGCCACTAAACCACAATATGTGATTTTTTTCGCCTCGCTCAAACCCGAGACTAACGAATCTTGGTGTGGGGATTGTAGAAATGCTGAGGCTCCTTTGAGTCGGATGCTTGATAAGGCTGCTGCGGAGGAGAGGGTTAGGCTTGTTTATGCGGGGTTGCAGGCTGAGTATGTTGTTTATGATTTATTTGATTGAGTGATTGAGGGATTGGTTACCTGGAGATCTAGATCTAGATTTGGCATGGAAAGAGACGGGGAGATTGTGCCTTTTGTTTAACCTATACTATGGTGATGATGATAGCTGATCAAGTCGATTTTTAGATGGAGGGATTTGTCACCCGGAAAGAAAAGTCTTTGGAGGGAGGAACCGTGGGGGATTGATAGATTGCCTACGGTGGTGAAAGTTACTGGGGAGGTGAGTTGTTTGCTGTGGTCCTTATTAAAGTTCGTTGGCTTATTTGTTGTAGAAGTGGGAGAAATTGATTGAGGAAGATTGTTATAATGAGAAGAAGTTGAGTGCTTTTGTTGAGGCATAGTTAGTTGGGTGTATTTATGCAGCAGACAATAGTCAGCAAGTGATTTGTTAAAAATTCATTGATGTAAAGTTTGCGGGCTTCAATTTTCTCCTTTTTTATCTTAGGCCCCAATTGCTTAAACGATTTTATTGTGGAGTGGTTTTCTGTCAAAACCTTTCAGTGCCTATTTTATGGATTAAGAGCGCTTTGAGGAATCTTATGCCCAATTCACCCTCTGGATCCTTTCAATGGCGACTCCGAGTAGTTCTTACACTCTTGTAATGATCGTCTGTCTTTGCTCTGCTCTCGTCTAAGGCCGACGCCATACTAAGATGGTTCTTGTAGGAGGTTAATCAGATAATAAATAATATTTATTATAATAATAATAGTGGAAGACTTAATTGTATTTTAAGTTTTATAATGAAAAATTTGATACATTCTATATTTATAAATAAGATTAATTTAAATCAAATCTTATAAAATCTTTTTATACAATAAAAAGAAATAATATTCAATAATATTCAACTTAAAAAATAAGAATAATTTATATATTTCTATTTTATTTTTATTCTATTTTATTATAAATTATTCTGATATAATATATAATTGAATTTTTATATAATAAATACATTCAATAAAATAGAATAATATTATTAATACATCACGTGATCGTTCGATCATTGGTTCGGCTAATATCATTAAGTGATTTGATAACTTATTAAAGAATCTCATAATATAAATCTCCACTAGAGTGACATGTGAATAGATTGTTATTATACTTAAACAGGGAGTCTAGTGTAAAAAAATCGGCCATTGATTAATGAATACATTTTCAGGAAATTTGAGCCAAGGGTAACTTTCGAGCACTCGCTCGTTTTATTCAAAGCCATTCATATTATAATGGATAAAAATATAATCAAAATATCATTTTCTGAATCTTTCAGATTCGTGCTCCAGTGAGGTAAAATAGAAAACGCGGAATTCTATCATCATCATGATCATGATCAACAATAAACAGTTATTCTCCTCCAATAAAATAATCTATTCTGGTGTTCCATGCTTCAACCACTCCCTCTAGCCTCAAAAATGAAATCACATACCACAATATACAAATCTATAGTTATGTACTTGAACGCCCTGCGTTCAAATCAAATTCAAAGTCCTATATCACAGCTGCAGGTGCGACATTATGTTTTGTATATCCTCACTCGAGGCATCAGGTTCGGATCTGGAAATACTAGAACCAGCATCTTGCGCCTCAATTCCTGACCCCAACCCCAAAGCAGTTTCAAATCCAAATCTTACACTCTTCTCATCCCCGTTTCTATTCATCCCGTCACCCCACCTGACTGGCCACTTCTCCAATCCAATATTCTTCTCCAACAATGGCGAATTCGGAGGCAACTCCCCCATCTTGTCACTATCTACCCCTCTCTCCTTTGCTATCTCCAAAAATCTCTGCATCTCCATCTCACCCACGATCGCCCGATCTAGTATCCACCTCTCAACTAACCAATGACTATTCGTCACAAAACAGACTCCATTTTCCCATTGAAATCTCGAGGGATTTTTTTTATATTCCCTGTTATAACTAGCCAGGATATCATCCGTACAAGTTGCTTAAATACCTAGTTGATTTAATTTATTAAGTGAAATGACGAAAATGGTGCAAAGTTCGTTCTCCTAATCTTGATGAAAATTACGAGACACTATGTATCTAATGAGACGAGCAATAGATGTATGAACAGAGATATAAGGGCTCGGTGTCGTGTTCCCATATGCCTTGCAATGATCCTGAAAGGCTTCCCCATTAATTTGTCTATTTTTCGGTTGATCATCTATCAGACTTTCTTGCCAACCAGAACACCTGATTCCCATATCGGAAGAATAAGGCGAGTGGGATGTTCTCGAATCGTGAACGCGGTAGAGTAGAACATCGGGCTCTGGGGGTGATGAGGGACAATGGACGATTGAGTAAAATACTGGCAAGAGCTTCCATCTCCGCCTTTGCAACATCAATTTCCCATTGGTTTAATAGCCTTACTCGGCGAGTTAAAACGGCGAGTACATCGACGTAATCTACTCGCGGGGAAACTTCCATATCAGTAAGAGTAGGAGTAACACTAGAAGTAACTGTAGTTGAATTGTCGAGGATCGGCGCAGAAGTGGATATGGGGTTGCGCATGATAGGAATACCGCAGAGCTGAGAAATGAAATGTGAAGTCTATTTTCGGTAGAATTCGAATGTTTGATAATATTCGCGGATTTTTTTGGATTGATCATTGAGTTGCTTGCAACGATTATAGAGAAGGCGGGCCGACTGTGTACTTTACTGAATATAAAATAGAATTTTAATTATCCTTCTTCAAATATAAAAAGAAAATAAAAAAAATAAAGTTATAATATCGATTGTATATCTCAGCTCGCGGACAGAAGAACTACACCCAGTAAACACAACTGAATATAACTCTAAAGATAACTGACATACTATATTGAACTACATATAATACCAATCAGAAGCTCGAAAGTCTCGACACATATAAAGATGTATTAGATTAGATGCTAAAAGGTAAATTATCATAAGGTTACCTTCCAAATTCATAGCCACTATTAAAAAGCCCCGGTCTCTCAATAGGTCGGCTATATACATATCTGACCAGACCACCACACATCAATATATATCCCTCCAATATTATCATAATAAAATTAAAATACACAATTACAATTTATAAAAGAATAATCTATTCAATTTAATTTATGTTCCTATACATATAATAATAAATATTTGAAAACAAGAGAATACATTACAATATAAAATTTAAACTTTTATTATTTTTATAAAAAAATATATATAATTAAATCTCTTTTAGATTATTAAAGAATAACTTCTTTATAAAATATAACAAGAAATAAAATTATATCGATAGAAATAAAAATATTTATATATATATAAAATGAACTTCAAGAGAGTTTTAATAATACAAAATGAAAAGTTTTAAATTAATCTTATATCAATAATACTTTTAATAAAGTCTTATTAACTGAGATTAATTCCCTTTATATATTTATATATATACTTCAAAGAGTAGAAAGATTTATTATTTCGCTAGATTTATATTATGTGTTAGAGGTTGAGAAATCATTCATCGTTTACGAGTTGTTACTTTTAATCTTTATTATCAAAGTTTATTTTTCAATTTTACTTTAATCTATTTATTGCTTCAGTTACCCGACCCGACCCTGCGTAAACGCCAAAATCCATCCTTTCCTTTGATATCAAACTCAAACGACCCTATCCATAAACCCTCTTCCACCCACCAACCACAACCACAACCATCAAACCCCTCTACTCCTTATAAATATCATCATCAAACTTCCCAAACCTATCTCTCCCATCCGCCTCGGCATTAACCCATACACTAACACTAGTCCCAGGACACTTAAAAACCCCCCAGCCATCCTTGCCAATAACAACCTCACCCTGTTCCCAACCCAAAACATCCGTCCATTTCTCTCCCGCATGAATCTCACCCACAAACATTCTCTTCTCCCCCGGACCAGCATTACTAATAACCGTCGCACAACCATTCGGTCGATCCCATGTTCCGGATCGTACCCATCCGACACAAGTAGCGTAGTCGAAGTAATCTTCCTGGTGGCCATAAGCGTAGAGTTTTCGGGCGAGGATGAGATTAGGGAGGGCGTTGCCGCAGGAGGGGGGGAACTCGTGTTCGCCTTTTATGCCGTAGAGGTCGCCGTAGAAGATACATGGGTAGCCGTCTACGCGGAGCAGGATCAGGGAGTAGGCGAGGGGTTTGAAGAAGGGTTCTATGGGGGCTTCGAGGGCTTGGTAGGGTTGAGTGTCGTGGTTCATTACTAGGGTCTGGGGTTGTTAGTTTGGTTTTTTGACTTGAAGGAAAGGAATGGGTAGGGAAGAAGGGATAGTAAGGAGGAAGTAGAAGAAGAACTTACAACAGCATTAACTGGTGCGGTTTGAACCAGGGTATTTTCGAATACAGTTCTCAAATCTCCTCCCTCTGTTTTGGATAACTTGCTAAAGTTATAAACCAACGGCGCATCAAAAAGACTAAACTTTCTGCCCATACGATCCAAATACTTATTCATATCATCCAAACTATCCTTCCAAAACTCTCCCACAAAAAACCACCCTTGTCCATATTTATCATTCATGAGCGTAATGAATTTCCTCAAGAAATCCTCACTGAAATGTTTAACCGCATCAAATCTGATACCTTTCAGAGTAATTTGATCTCCTAACCATCCTCCCCAATTCAGAACATCTTGTTCTACTTCGGGATGATTGTAATCCAAATCTGCAAACATGAGATAATCATAATTACCCTTCTCTCCATCAACATCACCATCATCTGCCCAATCTTTTGTTTTATCACCGAGAATTTTATAGATTGCGGTTTTTTCGTTCTCGGCATTGTAATCTGTACCGCTGAAATGATGCCAATGATATTTCTGCTTCGAGTATTTGTCACCACGACCAGGGAAATCGAAACCAAGCCAAGCATCGATTTGATAAGGGTCGGAGATATTTTTTGTGCGATCTTCTTCGTCGACTTCTTGAGCTTCACATTTTTCTTTGTGATCTGCTGCTGCTTTGTGATTGAGAACTTGAGAAGAGGGTATTAGCATATTTGTATTTAAGAAGTCTCTTCAAGTGAAAACATACCAGCATCCCAATAAATTCCAACTCCGACTTCATTCGCTTTCTTTACCATTTTCACCAATTCTTCCTTGGTGCCCCACTTTGTACCCTTTCCTCCCTTTTGGTCGAATTCTCCAAGATCATAAAGATCGTATACATCATAACCATTTCCGGATTGAGAAGAAGCTTTACATCCAGGTGGAATCCACATATTGTCGATACCAGTGGCTTTGAGAGAGGGAATCGCATCGTGAAGTCTTTGCCAATGTTTTTGATCGTCTGGAACATACCATTCGAATGCTTGAAGCATGGTCATGTTTTCCGCCGTGGGTTTTCCTATGGAAGTCAGATTGATTCTCTTGATTCTCTTGCTCTTGAATATCTTGATGGGTGAGTGTTTGCTTACTTTCTTCCTTGATATCCCCCATCTTGATGAATTTCTAGGATAGACTTTCCTTAGGAATGATGATATCCAAAATGATAAATTGTGTAGAATGAGCGTACAGCTATGTAGAATGAACGAGGAAAAAGAGACAATACGTAGGGAAAGCAAGAGAATAAATAATGAATAGAAAAGGAGAATTCTCATAAGAATACAAGAAATCCCACACTTTGAAACTCATGCCCCTCCATTATTCCAAGTAAATAATTCACCCCGCCTGTCTCAAGGCAAATAAGCTTGGAAAATCTCGACTAAGTTCCAATTTTGGCATCTAGCCTTGGTTTTTGGGATGCATTAAGAGGAGATAAGGCTAGTTGGCCCCTGGACTAAAGGTGTCATGACGTCGTTGGGCGGGATTACTTAGCTGAGGATGTTGTTACTTGCATTGACTTTGGAGTTTGGGAATTCGGGAAATCTAGAACGTGATCAAGTATCGAGTATCGAGTATCGTGATAATATTCTGATTTGGAGCTTCGACAGAATATCAATCAACCTTTGGTTGCACCACATGGCCGGTATTGTAAGATGTCAGCAAATGTAAGCACATGTAAGCACATGTAAGCAAGGTCGCACTCATTCGTACGCGTTACTCGCCCGTTTCTATCGGATCGAGCCCTTCACTGGCTAACTGTGCACCATAATTAATTAACATGGCACTCGAGTGTATGTGTACGTACAGACATGGTAGGACAATCGATCCTTGGAGTAATTGGCAACGGTGTCGATACAGATCATCTCGAGCATTTGTGTTACAGAGGATGAATTATGGTGAATTTGTTCGAGCTTCCACGTCTTTTCCATTCATGTTCTTCTCGACAAGAACCATTCAAACCATCAGATAACACACCACAATGAATGAAGCATCGTGAACTTGTGTACTCACCGACAATCCGTCAGCTCAAAAGAATCAACAAACACTTCACTCATTTACCCTGCTGACCTATCCCTCCTGCTATTCTGACAATTGATTTGTTCCGTTATTGTCTTCTCTCAACCCATTCCCACCTTTTTCCCATTTCCATGGCATTTCCCCCAGGATACATGGGATCTTCCATTCATTCCCCCCTACAATATTTACATGGTTACTACGACAACAGACTCAATTCAACCACTCGATTTTCCATTTCATAAACATCTTCCAATGAATTTCAATTAATGTAACTTGGATCTTCGAACGACTGCCTCTTCTACTCTGCTTGCATATTAGCGACCTAATGATATTGTTGTAAATTCTCCCCTGCTATGCTTCTCGTTGCACTTTGTTACACCATCCCATTTCATCCTCGTACCAATCATCAAGATTAAAAACGGCTTGCTGCATGAACCCTTCCGTCAATATTTACCTTCCGATCTTCGTTTACCAACGGATAGAGTCGAGACGAAACTATTTCAAAAGTCGAGGTCAAATGTCACAATCAAATTCCCGTCGACAATCAGATTTTGAGATTCATGAAGATTTCAATTCTACGAACGATATGGTTGAAGATATAGATCTCAAAAAAGTAGGCGGGGAGAATGCGACAAGTAAGGAGAAAGGTATCGGTGAAGTGATGTCTCAGTCAAAGTATCCACAAAGACATGCAGAAGAGAGAATTGAGATGGAAGAGTATGAGGTTGAAGGAGATTCTATATTGGGTCGAGAGTTATCGGAATTACAAGAAGACCATTCAATATTGGATCGAGAGTTATCGGAAGTACAAGAAGACGATTCAATACTCGAGCATGCGAGAACGAAACACAACAAACACGATGATTGTGAAGATTGTAAACACGCCAGAGAGGAGAAGCGCAAACGAGCGATAGCAAGAGAATTACAGATGCAAAACATTGATGCCGAGATCAAAGCTGCTGCAAGAAAGGCTGTGGAGAGTATTGAAAAGGACGATCCTGGGAGGGGTAGGGCTGCGAACGATCGCAATGATTCAATTCTGGGTACACAAAAAGATGGAGGCTACGAACCGAAAGATCATGGTGATTCTCTTTTGAGTGCGCAAACAGCGGAGAGCTACCAGCGAAAGTTATACAATGGGCAAGATGGAACAGACTTGACATTGGATACCACAAAGGCTACATTAGAGGATGATGGAGAAATAGAGGATGAAGACAGTGTTCTCCACCAAGATGTTTCCAGTACCGATGCCGAAACAGAACGTGGGTATCTAGGAGGAGGAGATATAAAAAGTAGGCATAGCAGCTCAAATTACGGGGATGTCGACGATGATGTTTTCAGTAATGGTTCTGAAGAAAGCCGTCGTTTCTCTGTGAATTCTGCAGAGGAAGCACCTAACAAAATCAGTGTGAGTAACAGAAGCTCATGGCAATCAAACCGACAGCCTGATTTGAGTAAAGAAGCTCAACAATTGATTGAACTCAATTCACCTATTGTTGGTGAAGAAGCTTCTACAGAGTCTGTCATCTCGCGGATTCCTAGCGGTATCTCTCGTGCATCTGCGCCGAAAGCAAGAGAATCATCATCTAGTCCTCGAAAAGTTTCACGACATCCTTTTCGTACGCCATCCGATATTCGTGCAATGCAAATGTATTCACCAGCATCTTCACTCTTCTCTACACCTCATTCAGCCAAACGACAACAAAATCCTACCGTTTCTCGTCTCGGTACCCCAGCTGGTTCTCAATACTCCAAAATTCGTACACCAACTCGTTTCAAGAAGAATAGAGAAGAATCCCCACTTGTTCTTTTACATGTTACCGTCCTACCACTTCAATGGCAATATTCCAAGGCCATCGTCGCTCCAGAATTACCAGCAAATCTCTACAACATTCGTGAAGCATATTACCTTTTACAAGAAAAGCTCAGTGATACAATTCTTTCCCGTGGAATATTACTTCCTCATCCACAGGATAGTTATGAATGTCTTGAAGAACGATTCCTCGATGCTTTAGAACTTCCCGTCCGTCCTCGGGCCAAAATCCTCCGGTGTGGTCATTATATTGGACCAAATACTACATCCTCGGATAATGATTCTGCAGATGAGAGAGATAGTGGATTTGGTAGTACAGCTCGATTTAAAAACCGGCCGGAGAAAGTTTGGTGCGACATTTGTCGTCGAGATGTCAGATATGAGGATGATGATCAAGATGAAGATGATAAAAGATTTAATATCAAGATTTTTGCAAGTAATGGATTAATGAGAGCAGGTGCTTGGGCAGCTGCATGGAGGGAAATGGAAAGGGTAGATGTGGAAATTGAACCATTTGTTCAACCTTGGATGGTTGAGGATATGGAAGATCTTATTGAGAGATTAAGAGAAGCAGAGGAGAGGGGCGGCGATGATGATTATGATCAGTATTCTGATGATGATTCATGTGGCGAAAGTCTAGGGTCAGAGGCTCAAAGGCTACATGAGCAAGATCTGGCTAAGGTTACTTTACGTCCGAAGAGGGGAGATGTTGAATCCCGAAATGCTCGTGAAGAGTGGCTTGAAGCTGCTTCTAAAGCTGCCGAAGAAGAGGCTGATAGAATTGCTCGGGAGGATGAAGCATTACGACAAGAAGAAGAGGCGGCTAGAGTCGAAGAGGAAGAAGTTAGACAGCTTGAAGAGGAAGCCTTGCGACTCCATGAAGAGGACGAAGAGGTCCAAAAGTTCGCTGACCTCGAATCCGTGACCTCGAATGTTAATGAAGAGGGCCAAACTGCCGAAGAATTAGGAGCAGAAGCCCAAAAACTTCATGAAGAAGATATGGCTACCGTCCAAGCATTGGAAGAAGAAGCTCAACATATTCATGAAGCAGAAGTCGCTGAACAGAAGGCTTTAGAAGAAGAAGCACAAATAATTTTTGAGGCAGAATTAGCCAAACAAGAAGAACTTGAAGAAGAAGCAAGGAAGATTTTGAAGGAAGAGGAAGTTTCGAGGAAAGCCAAGGAGGAGGAAGAATCCAAACGAAAATTTGAAGAACAAGAAAACTCGACCGAGGATGCACATCTACAGGATATCTATAATAAATCTTCTACCGGTAACCGAGACTTATCCTCCACTTCGATATCTCGTACACCTCCATGCGATGAATCACTCAGCGAACTTTTGGTCAAAGCTGCAAGGGTGGTGATGCGTGATCGGAAAAATGTACTCATTATATTCCTCAGCGTAACAGTTTTGTTCCTGGCATTTAGACCAAATCATCAAAAAGAAATGGTAATGCCAAAATATGCATCAGATATTATCATCCAAAATCATAGGTATGGAGTTGGTCAAAGTGTGGACCAGAGAGGTTATGAACAGCTGAGACAAGCTGCTGCTGATGGGACGTTACGGATGAGGGAAATTGAAAGTTCGATGGAATGGAAAGGACAAGATGTTGTTATTACGAGCTCGATGAAAACTCAGACTCCGGATGTGATGCAAGCTGGGATTGCGGTTGAGAGGCAGAAACAGGTGGTTATGGAAATTGATGCACCTGATGTGGGTCCTGTGATTGAGAAAATGGAAGAAGTATCTCAAATTGCCACCTTTGAAAGGTCAGAAAACATCGAGGCAGTGGCTGGGACACTTTCAATGTCGGGAACTGATATTGATGTTGTCTCGAAAGATATTCCATCATTTGAAACTCCATCGGATCCAAGGCAGAACATTGAAAATTTACCAGTGGGAGCAAGCGAGTCCCAGTCTGGAAAGTTGGACACCAACTTAGAGCTGGATACTCAGTTGTGAGAAATTTCGGTATCGCACACGACAGAAAAAAAGCAGGAAACAGAATATAATTACATCACAGCGAGATGTATGAAAATTCGTATTTGAAGGGCAATACCGAATATGAAATGTTAGGATGATGAAGCTATGCATTGCTGGAGTAGCTAGCGACTTAGCGATAACTAGATGTTTGATGTATTATTTTGGTAGGTAATGTTGATTTTTGTTAGATTAGTTGGATAATGGTTAATGGATAATGAATAAAGGTTGTTTGGCTATGATTTCTATGCTTGTTTTTTTGGATGATGGTGATGGTGATCTTCTGCTGCGGAGACCCAAGGGTGGTGAGTTTAATTTGAAAAGGGAAGACTGTGTATTCGTGTGAAATGTAATGGTTAGCATGTGTCAAAGACGTAGTAGGGAGATAGTAGCAGTGGTAAAATCCTATTTAATTAGAAATTAAGTCTTACAAATATCAAGCTATTGTTGTTGATATAAATTGTGCACAAATGTGAGGTTATGGCTAAACCGCGGAATTTGCTAAAGTCACGTGTGTATATTGAATATCAAGAAACTTTTATGTATATATTGAACCTCCGGTGTAACAACCACCAATAAATATCAAGATCTGATCTGGTCAAATTACTCTCCAAAATCGAAGATGTTCTCAAACACTTCCACTTCCACCTTTCAATGGCTTCACAATGAGACAAAGCCAAAATACACGGTACCAACCTACTACACATCTTTCCAAAAATATGCATACCCATCACCCGTTATATCAAGTGAAGGAAATAACTCTTCGCTCTTCAATCTCTTAACCCCTTCATTCTTTTCCATTTCTTCTTCTTTCCCTTTCATTCAATCCTCGAATCCAAGTCCCGGTTCCGGTTCCGCATCTTCTTCAATCATAGAATCTACGAGTAAACCTCAAGATACTAACGCGAGCAAAAATTGTTTTTTTGATATTACTATTGATTCTGGTAAGACTTTTGTTATTATTATTTCACTCCACCACTCCCGCAATCCCAAAGATTTCATAATTTCTACACTGTGCTAATATAACCACAAAAGCTCCTGCCGGCCGCATCACATTCAAACTCCACGACGAGATAACTCCCCGCACCGCTCGTAATTTCCGAGAATTATGTACCGGTCACCATGGTTTTGGATATGCAGGGAGTCATTTCCATCGTATTATTCCGCAGTTTATGTTGCAAGGTGGTGATTTTACGAGAGGAAATGTATGTACATATTAATATTATATCTCCCATGTGATGTGTAATTGGTGGGAGAAATTGCTAATATGAAATTAGGGAACGGGTGGTAAATCTATCTATGGTAATAAATTCCAAGATGAGAATTTTATACTAAGACATACGAAACCGGGTCAATTGAGTATGGCGAATGCGGGGAGGAATACGTAAGTCCTTTTTTTAATTTTAATTAATTTGTTTTTGATGTCCATGAGTCAGTCGGAAACTGGTAATTGACACTTTAAACAGGAATGGCTCGCAGTTCTTCATCACTACAATTGCTACTCCGTGGTTAGATGGTAAACATGTTGTTTTCGGGGAGGTGGTCGAGGGTATAGAGCTTGTGAAGAGAATCGAGGGGCTTGGTTCTCGTTCTGGTACACCGAAAGTTCGTGTTGCTATTGCTAAGTCGGGTGTAGTTGAGTGAGGAAGGAAGTTGGAATTCTGAATGCTTTGTATTTGTTGCTCCGGCATATGTTCATATGATTAAAAAGTAGTATTATAGAAATCATTATTCTTCGCTACACTCCTCGATGAAATTTTAAAGACGCACTGACATAGACGAAGTTAAATCATTTATTATTCTTTCAAACCTTTGATATTTATTAATAAATTTATAAATTATCTTTATATAAATTCTTATTCAATGTTATCTAATATTAAAAAATTTAAAATTGAATTGAATTGAAAAATTTATTTTTAATAAATCTTCATAACTTTATAATCTTTGAATTTTATTTATTGAAATTTAAAACTATATATATATTTCAAAGTTATTAAAGATTAAATCAAAATCAAAAAAGACTAAAATTATTATATTTAAAAGATAAATTTGTTTATATATCTTTAAAAAAATTTATTAGATATATATATATTTTGTATATTTCTTATAAAGGGATAATTTTAAAAAAAATTAAAATTAAAAATATCAAAAACGAGTATATTATATATAGGTTTTGAATCAATGATTATATTTTATTATCTTTTATAATATTGTTTTTTTTTATCTTCTTTTATATATACACACACACACACACATATATATATATATATATATAATCAATTCCTCCCTATAGTATCCTCATATTCTCATTCACGTATACACTCATCCTTATTTTGTTATCATGTCCACACCAAACCAACCTATCAACCAGCAACAGGCCCTCCAAAAGCCGCAGCAGCAGTATTCGTAAACCTAAATTCCCTCACCACCCTAATAGTCCCCTCTTCTACATCTCCCTCACCCTCCCCATTTCCCCTCTCGTTCTCCCTATTCCGATTCCAGCGATTATGATTTCCTGCTCCCCAACCCGCTTCAACCGTCGTCCTCATATGACTTTTTTCTTTTTTGGGTACCAGATCCAAGCTTTTTAATCCTTCCAGATGTGATACGGACAGCGAGCTATTTTCTTTATAACATTTTGGCACATGCGTGTGCGTATGTCTATACATATCTTCATTCCTCACATCTTCACTTGGTGCGGGACTTTCGGTTCTTGAGCCGAATCTCCCCCTTGTGGGTTTAGGAACCATAATTACTTCATCGTCATCCCATTCCCTAGGTCCTACTTCCTTGATTCGCGAAATGAGGGATAGTCTTTTCCCCCGTGATCTTGATCTGTTGTGATGAGCTTTTAGATCGTTTAGTTCCAAATCCCCGCTATCGTTGAATGATGAGGTGCCTCTATAAGAAGAGATTTTAGTAGATTGACTACGGACTTGTTGGCTATAGCGTTTGATGATGGGCGCGATAATGGGAAGGTTGGTGACGAGGACTGCGAGGAAGGATTCTCGAAGAGACCATTCGCCTGCTGAGGTTGTTGTGCCTAGGGCCTAGATAGGGCGGGTTAGTTTGGACTGGTTTTAGATGTTCATTGTCATGGAAAGGGAAGATGGATAATTGGGATGAATTGAAGGGAATTTGGAGACGGGAATGAGAAATGGAAATGGCATCATTACAGTAGAAACGGAACTTACAGCCAAGAGAGAAACAAAACGTAAAATTCCGAAGATGGTCACAAGAAATCCTCCACTATAGACTACTAGAAGGAAGATTTTTTGAAATGCTAGCATACCCTTTGTGCTAAGAATTGTCTGGATTGTATTAGCCATGGTTTATATGATGATTCGATGGTTGGTGGTCTAAACGTACCGGAAGAGGTATGACCATGATATACATATGTGTCAATGTATTAATAGACATAATGAAAGCCATTTGAAAGGTGGAATTTCCAGGATAACATAGATCTGTGATCTAGCATTAGGATGTTTCCCGAATCGACTCGTAGGCTACTCACTTCTTGGGTCTGGATAAATTTGCCATTGCTTTTTTAATGGCAGACATTTACAAAGTACTGCCAAAATAGCTGATAGATATGTAAGTCCCAAAACCACATATCCTACTGTGATACGTCGCAATGGTCTTTTCTCAGCAGCTGCACTACAGCTTGGTGTTAGTCATTATTCAAATAATACATCGAGAACCGATCTTACAGCAAACGAGCGTAATAGGCAATCCAACAAGCCTTCAATAACCACATCAATGTAACATAGGTTACCCAATCCCAAATGTGAGTTTTGGCTCCATTAACTCGATATAGCCATTCTAGAGAATTGGGGTCCAGAGTCTGGCGTTCTTTGTCGGTCATTCCACTATTCGAATAACCTAACCAGCGGGCTACGAGATAATATGATGAGGTTGTTTCAGCTGTGTATACGAACTATCAATGAAATCAGAACCGGTATCCCACATTCTCCAAGGGCGACGAACCAGAGCGCAGAACATTAAACCATCATCCAACTTTAGTTCTCTCCATCCTAATTTCGAAAGTCTTGCAGAAATTCGTATTGTGATAAAAATGACGGCTATGGCCCAACATGTCCATGCCTCGACGACGAGTTTTGAATTGCTCATATCATGTGGGCAATCTCAGATCCAATGACCAGGTTTTCGAAAGCCTTCAACTTCGTAACACCAATACATTGAGGGTGGCACGGCCGAATCCTATTGTGGACGAAGCATCAGGCAGTAATATATGTAATGAAAGCAAGTTGTATATGGTCGAAAGCTAAAAGACTGTAGAGAGATAACCAAAAGCGAGTGGAGGGGCCGCTGAAGTGAAAGGCAGATTTTATGAAGATATTAAATCCCGTCCTTATTAAAGCAATATTATAGGTAGATGATTGACGAAGCCTAGTTTCTTCAATTCCCTTTCTTAAGAATTGCCACCATTTGGCATATTGACATGGAAGTTCCTGGTCAGTCTGAAAATTGCCTAACCTTGTGTCTCCACGGATTGATAGATTTTACGCAGATCAAGTCTAAGAATGGAACGTATAACCGATTTCTATTCGCTACAGAAAGCCATAAGCAGATATCGTCTCATTATTTCCTCTAGAACATTTGGAAATGGGTTTGAAAGAAGATTTGTTAATGTTTTTAGGTATCACTGGGTGTGTTTTGAATCTATCGTGGCTCGTGCTGTTGAGATATCGCATATCCATGGTATAATTTGTGGAGAGCTGTCATTTGTTCAAGTCCACTTAGATTTTTACATCTACCCATGAAATGGGAATAGCTTCAGATGAAATCATGGGAGCCCCACTTGTCATCGTCCGAAGCCCCGAGCCAATTCTCCTTGCGTAGGCTTTCGATGATGATCAGACGGATGATTGGATCCTATTCCAAGTCCTGAATGATTGATTAAGACCAATCAACGAGCGGCAACATATGAAAGTTTGGAAGAACAGATCATATCGTAGAAGAACTAACTTTCACAGTCTAGCTTGGGAGTTTATGATTGCAGCTGAGTGACGATGAAAACAAGGGGCGTACCTGGATTTGAATTACTCCATAGTACTCCAATTATTCAGCAATATGAACCATCCAGTAACTGCCCTAGAAAGATACCAATGACAAATATAGTGCATGCCCATTTATGATCATGGAGTGTGAAGCCGCTGATAAGTTGATGGGCCTGTCATGATCACCTAACCAAGAACTACTTTCATAGGGCTCATAGAACCATAGTGAGGATACCATCTCAGGGGATCCATCGTTCTTCGCAATACTAGCCTCATTCAGACAAATCCGATAAGCTGGAATCGATCTTGTTGGAGCTCCTTTAATTCTGAAGGACGTTCAAGACGAATTACCCAACGAGCCAGCCATCAGCTGCATTCGTGATTTTTGAGGATTTTATATTAAATTGAGTTTATATGGTTAAAAGCTTGTCGAGTGATTCAATGACAATGACGATCAAAGAAAATCCAAAAGTAGGCTTTTTCCGCAACTTTCATGGTTCAAACGGTTGTGCCGAGCCGCCCAAGAACCAACACGCTGGGTTTTCCTTGCTTGTTTGCAATTGATTTCTGTGCCGTGGTGGGTCTCTGAGGTGTTTGGTATCCGATTGATCCGATCATTAGAATTCAAAGTATTGACAGGCACCCGAAACCTCGAATAAATTTCTCGTCATGTCTGGTGGTCATTGATGAAACCTGTAAAGATTTTCCCTCTTCAACCATAAAAGTCCTAGCACATGATCATCACATGATCGTCACATGATCGTCACATGACATTGGCCCTTCAATTTTTTGTTGCATATCTGATTTGGTGAAGAACCACTTGGCTGAAACTTCCTTGGCTAAACAACTTTCGTTATGAAGACTTACGTCGACATGTCTCAGTCGGGTGAACTACTTACTTAGGTAGTATTCGATGAACATATCGGGTCATCATCATCGCGAAGCAGAAGCTAAGTCAAAACATCTCGTTGCCCGTCGCGCAAGACGCAAATGAACGAACGAACCATGAAGGTTTGGATTAGTTATCATCCATCCATCATCATAGAAAGATCAAAACCTAAACACCAGCATGTTTTTCGCTCGGAACTTTATTCATCAAGTCTGAGAAATGCGCGGTGAGGGTCGAACCTTAACCTTTCTATATACTCGGCGGCAAAGCACAGCGGTGAAGATACAATCTATCTTATGTATACTTCGCCTCAATCATCTATCCATCTCGACCTTCATTTTTCGTCGATAACCTCTTCATCTCTATATTCGACGTCACTGAGGTTACACTGAGGTTGAACATTTCTTCAAAGTTCAAAGATTTAACTTTGGTTTCATCATAAGGCTGGAAACGCTAGAATCCCTAGAATCCCTAGAAACTCTAGAATTTTCTAGCTTTGCCCTTGTGCCCCGTTCCGAAGAGACGTCAGAGAAAAGAGCTTCATGACTCGAGTTTAGACACGCGACTTTTGAGATAATTTTGCGGATGAAACTTTTTGCTTATACAGTTTTTTAAAAGGTTTTTTTTCCTGGGTATAATTTTGTTTTGGTGTTGCGTTGTTTTTAGTCTTTTTGAAATCATACTCTGCATCTACTTTGGACTTCCTTCGACTTGCAGGAATAGGAAGTTGCGTATATACGAGGAACGTCTCCTAAATCGAATTATATCAACAAAAACAAAAAAAACAGAGAGAAAACAATCAAAGTCAAAATGTCAATCGCCGACCCAGAAACTCAGTCCTCATCCTCACCTCCAGCCTCAGCAACCCCTCCTTTCCAATTTCACCAATTCTCGCTCCTCCCTCTCGAGCTCCAGCGTAAAATCTGGCGTGCCCTATTTCCTCCTTCCCGCACCATATCCCTCTCATACAACATCACCTCCTCAGAAGCTCTCTCTTCACCACCACCCATAACGCTCAGTATCTGCTCCGAATCACGTGCCGAAACCCTCCTCCTCTACACTCTAATATATCGATGCGAATTTTCCGGATCCCGTGGGAAAACAGGTGGAAATTGTGGCATTCTTCTCAGTAAAGCGATGAGACAACCAATTTGTATTGATCCCTCAATTGATATCGTTGGCTTTTCCGCCGGAGATTTATGTGGGACGGAAAACGTAAAGGCGAGAAGGAGATTCGTAGAGTGGATGCGATTTTTAGACGGAGTTGATAAGAGAATTTTAAGGAGAACGAGAGGAATAGAGTTAATGGGACTGGATTGGGAAAATACCATGTATGTGCATCTGAAGTATCAGGAGGAGCTCAGATGTAAGGAGATGGGAGAAGAATATGAGGGTCAAGGGGGAGTGGAGTGTTGGGAGGAGCTGAATTATGGGGCCTTGGTTAGGTTTGCAGGGTTGCGTGAAGTGAGGTGTAGATATAAGCATGTGGAGTATATGGGGAATTTTGAGGACCAGTTGAAGAAATTCTTGGGGTTTCATCGGGAGGTTTGGGGTGGAACCGTCCCTTCTGTTAAGCGTGCGGTGTGAATGGCGTCGGTGTAAGATGGAAGATGGAAGATGAGACACGATATAATTTTTTGGAGTCAAGCTGGAAATGGCAAGAGAACCAGGCGTTCTGGTTTATATTTACTTTTGGTTTAGCTTGGTTCGGTTTGCTTTGCGTAGGTCTCATGGTTGGGGAAATATATATATATATATACTCGAGTATATTTCATATTATTTATTTATTTATTTATTTATCTATTTATTGGATGTAGCGTAATTATTAGTCGATGTATGTACAGATAGATACATGTACCTACCTATCAATACATACTTCTCTCTTACAGAACGCTAGTAAAGACGGAGTATTCATGAACATTAACTTTATTGGTACGTCCAATCATTTAGATCGATTTGTTTCGTCATTGTTTTTGTGTGATTTTTTGGTAGTGTGGGCGTTGCACGAGATGGTTCCCTCTTGTAAGTAATATACGGAGTATGTGGGAAACTTAGAGCTATGCAATGGTTACACAGGAAATATTCTGGATGTTGAAAATCAATCATGTTATAATGTCAAAAGAGGAGAAAGAGTTTAAGTAGCAAAACATGCATTATCATTATTCATTTGCTTAGGTTCTCATTATTCATCGCCTCCATTATTCGCCCCCACCATCTTCATCTTATCCTTCGTTGTTCCATTCTCACATGGTCGTTCCATATGTTGCATTCAGTATAGTCCTTCCCCTCGTGATCCCCTCTCCCATCTCATCTCATTTTATCCAATTTACAGTCCACAAGCACTTGGGGCAACCTGGACATAAGAAGCATCGATTCTTCCTAAAGCGACCGCTTGACCACCAGTCAAAGTATCCAGGGCCCTTTGACCAATGTTGAATCCAGCCGCTGCATGATCAATCGCAAGCACATTGATGCTTCTTCCTGCATAACTTAATTGATAGCAGCTTCCACAGCTGGCACTGTTCCATCCGGCGATAGTGGATGCACCACCAATGTTGGGGAAGTTTGGCAAGGATCCTTGGGTGCTGTAACCCTTGGTGAGGAGCCCGTTGCTTCCATCGGAACAGGAGACGACACCTAAGGAACGGGATGCATCATCGTATCCGGTGTCGTAGGAGACGGTGATGGCGAGGGCACTGGTGGCCATGGTGAGGAGGGTGGCGATGGTTGGGAATTGCATTTTGATTGTTGTTTGGTTTGGGTTTGGTGGTTGTTTGGTTTGATTTGTTTGTTGGTTTGTTTGTTGGTGAAATTTGAAGGTCTTGTAGATATCTAATGATACTGTGCAGTGATGATGTTATTCCTCCTCAGCGCACATCAACCCTTATATACATTCTACCCCTCCTTCCAGCCCCATCTCTACCTACATCATTGTCTTTCAATACTCGTGATAGCGGAGTACACCAGCAGCTGTACCGTCAATTACGAGAAAACATCTAAAAACATCACATCGCATCTAAATCATCTGATGCAATGCGTAGTAAAAATGCGGAGAAATAAGCATAAGGTTGAGGCGTTGGAAATCGTATACGGAGTACGAGATGGTCGATAATGCGGGACGATGCCAAGATACGAAGTACCCGCATTTGCTTGGTAGACACCGCTTTTATTCTCGTATTTACTCCATCGTCTATGAGGGGAGCAGCAGGTTATTGTCGATGAATATTCCGTAGCTACCGGTGACGATGATAAACTCAAAGTCTCAAACTCATCAAATCAATAGACGTGCTTACATAAAGCAAGGCCAAGTCTGATTTGTTTGTTACGGCGGGTACAAGAATTAAGAAACCAGCCAGTACCTACGGGATGTAACTATACGAGTTTGGTTGTTCAGAGTAACAAACGTTTGACTCCGTACGTCAGATGGCATCGAATGCATCAAATGCAGCACCATCTAAATATAGATCACAAGTAGCACGCACTGATAAAGCAAATGCCGATCTCCTCGTATTCCAATAATCATTGCACACACTTCATCGATTCTTCTACTATGCCAATGCTCACCAAGCTTAATTGCCTTTGATACCCGTCGCACGGAAAACCAACAGTTTCCGCTTTTTACGATGCCGAGCAACGACTGTCGGACTGTGGCAATATACTCCGTAGGTTGTGTGAGGAGTTGTGTGAGGAGTGGTGTGTTGTGTGTTGTCAGAAAAAGTGGTGAAGTGATGAACTGATGAACTGATTAAGTGGATATGTAGTGGCACGAGAGGCTTTAAGCCACTCAAAAGCCTCTCGTGTTTTACTTTTGGTGGCTGGGCAGGGCATTAACCGTTAGCCGGGTATCTTTCCCGCTTTTTGTGTGACGGAGTTATCGACGGAAACATCAAGATCAAGATCAAGATCAACATCAACATCAACATCAACATCAACACCAACACCAACATCAACATCAACATCAACACCAACACCAACACCAACATCAACATCAACATCAACATCAACATCAACATCAACATCAACATCAACATCAACATCAACATCAACATCAACATCAACATCAATATCAATACCAGCATCAACACCAACATCAACATCAACACCAACACCAACACCAACACCAACAATCAACAACAACACAATGGCAGCGAAAAAGACCCGCGTTTAACATCTAATGCATCTCAAGTCTACCGGTATATCTGCCCTGCCCAAGATTGGCGATCGACCTTCAGTCATCAGTTGAATCTTTCTTCAAGGCTGTCTTCGCAAGATTTCCTATGCTTCACGAGATCCAGTGCTGATTGTCGAAGCGTCATTATGGGCACGAAATAACTTGTATTTTGTATCTACAATTTCCAGTTGAATCTTATATTCTTTTTCTCATCCAAGCCTTTCCTTTTCCTTACTCCACCTATTGATACGCGCTTTTTCTCTAGACGGCACGGACTTCAATCATCCATAACAGAATATCGAACTTTCTTCCCAGTGTTAGACTACGGATTGTCCTTGAAACATTGATAGAATATGCGAGAGTTGGAATTAAGTTTACGGTGAGACCATATCCCATTCACATGGACAATGAGACGAGGAATTCACTCCATCATATCCGTATTGCATTACTTATTCAGTCTCCTAGCAATGACTTTCAATTCATTCACCTCAATTGATCTCGGTGCTACTAAGTAAATCGATGATGGTCTCTCTTAGTTTATCCCAAAGTGTTCGCACTCTATGCACAGGAAGGAAATATCCATCGGCGCGACAATGAATAGTGCACAAACCACCGCCTTTTGAGTCAAACCCTACGTTTTGTCCGCAATACGTGTACAAATTTCTTTCAAGTTTGTTACGATATTTTACGGCTTCGGCTTAATAGATAAAATGTTCATTCTATAATTTCGCAAGGATCTCTAGAGACAGGAAATCGGAGTATATCAACCATGAAAATATACTTGGGGTCAACTTTTCTCAGTATCCCTTCTAACTCTCTTCCGAAACCTTTTGACTAAGTCTCATATACGGCATTCTAAGCAGAAATTATGGTGGATGAAGAGATGCATTGATTAAGCTATACGAGACATGGGTCGCGGAATAGGAAGACTGCAATTGCCAAGACAAGTGACTTGCTTGTGGAGTCGAATATCTCTACTGCGCCTTCAGGACCAGAACGTTGACTTCCAATACCGTGCTAGATGATTGTCCGGAGGCGTGGGCTGAAACCACTATTTTTGCTAGGACGTTTACCCAAATTCGGCACATTTCAAAGCCTTCTCATTTGCGAACAGGAAAACAGGAGTCGTAAAGCATGGCCGCTAGATATGCTCCAGTTTGAGTCGGCCACGGTCTTAGCTGACTTGCATGAAGGGATTGAGCCTGGAAACCTATTCCACGGTGTTCATAGCGATCGAAAAGTGTCTCAAGAATGGTGCCTTAGCGATTAAAACAGCTTTTCTGCGAGGAAGGCAAGCGTCATACTCGCTAGAGCATCATTCCTGTTATTTTTTATTTTTCTACACTGTCGCATCTTCTCCGTTCTCAATATTCATTGATGAATCTCACGAGCTTTCCTCCTACCTCGGACTACACATCCTAGAATCGCATATAAGGAATATCGCGATTGAAGAAGACTGCTTTCACCGAAAGGTAATTTCCAACAATGGGAATTGAAACTTCGCCAGGACTTTCTCTTCATATCAGGTCTTGTCTTAGAATTGAGCCCAGGATTTCCTCCCTCAATAATAAGATTCATCTCTATCAATTTCTAGTGAAGGCTCTTTTTCAAGGGAGTGGAAAATCGCTAGGAAGTAGCTCCTGTCCCAGGAAAGAGGAATATGGAATCTCGGTTTGCTACTTCAGATAGTATGATATATTAGAATGGAACGTCGAGGCTTTCAGGATTGTCATAAGAATGATTCTTGACCCACTTTTGCTTCTGCCTAATTGAGGTCTGCCTTGATGATTCTAGGTGATAATTTAATGTGGGAGGCGATGAGACCTCAGCCGAGAATCGAATCTATATCCTCTGGAAGTGAATCAGGGATAGGTATTGGATCCCCCGTAGTAAAATCTTCATATGCTCATAGATGCGGCGAAATTATTTTCGGTACCGTGGAATTCCTTACTAGGCTCTCTTGATTCCAGATGAAGTACGGAATTCACCATAAATTCCCTTTCTTAGCCGGATTTATCAGCAGCTTTATCGACAATAATTTTACCACGTACGTCCTTTTTAACCTTTCAATTAGCTCCATCGCCGCTCTTTCGATTACCACTTGACTTTTGCATCCACGCCCACGTTCCCTCCTCATCGCAATTGACGGATGGAACTTTGGAAGCTGGAGCGGTACGTGCAATTCTCATCGCGAGCAATGACCTTAGCTTCAGGCCGTGCTATTCACATTCTTTTCTTTCAGCGCAGCAGCTTCATCAATTCCTTAAGGGGAGAAATCTCAACTTCAACGTGGCGCCCATTCCAGTCTCGCAACGGCGAGGCTCCTAAGGACTATACCTGTTACTTCAATGAGATGGCTTCCTTAGCTCGGCAGATAAAGCAAAACCGTCCGCTCTTTTCCGCCTTCTCTGGCTGCCACAAACATGGATACAAAACAGTTGGAGTTTTGGCTTTAACTCCTACTGGGAGCCGGAATAGTCTACCCTGAATGTAAAGACGCAGTGACTGTAAGATAACGGCTAGAAACGTTGAATTGCGTCGCAACAGAGTCCAAAGCTTTGTAACTTGAGCACATTGCAGCAAGTTGGTCGTTGGGCAAGAATTGTATCCGAAACTGGGGAGAATATTTGGGTTTTAGTTTTTGTAAAGCTCGACTTTTATGGCTGGCTAGATTCCAGGAGTATCGAGGGCCATAGTTCGGAGTGAAGTTGTTGCCGGCAGCTTGCGGGCAAAATTTGTAGCAATCTAGGGGTTTTTTTTTCAATTACTCATTGCTTTTGTTGAAGTGAGGCGTATTTTATACCTTCTGAGTCCAGCGAGTGCCGGATGAAGTGTTTTGTCTTTCGCCTCGGAGGCATCAAAGCAGATGTCGTCACAGAATTTTGATACGTATTCAAACGCGCCAGTACTCTCCCATGCTGTTTTACGAATATGAGTGCCTACTCGTGGGCTATCCCTGCATCTCTCAAAAACAATGCTTGTTTAGTTTGTTCTTCTAGTCTTGTCTCGCCAATCTTCTTGATAAATACATAAATCTCGAAGCATGCACAACACAAGAGAGATCTGCTTCCCTGTTAACAACACTAGCCAAAGACGAGCTTAGAGATAGGATTAACCCACGACAAGCAATCACGGGTCTGCTGAAGAAGCTGACATTTTACCAGCATAAAGATACGAACTGTACGCTGAAGTGCCTGTGAAAAGCTACCTTTTGATTGGTACTACTCTGACATAACAAAACGGACAATTATCTTCGTAGAATCAGTGTTGGATATCTAAACTCAATTAAATGCTAATACAGCACCAGTAGTGCCGCCAATTATAGTCTCCTCACATTCACATATCAGCTACTAGGTTCTATTCAGACGTCCGAGGACGCCAGGCAGGAGTATTCATTTGTAGCGGAATGGCGGCGATTGATCACTTCATGGAGAAGTGTACTGGATTTGGCTGGTAATCATCTAATTTGCAGTGTACGTGATCGAAGAGGTTTTTCTCGAGTAACTGGTGTTGATCTTCCCCTGGGAAAGGGAAGCAGGCTAGGGAATAGCGATACCATGACATATTCGTTGATCTTTAGATCAAAACCCTTTTTCCAACAAAATTCCAAAGGTATGAAGTCGACAATTATCATCTGGAATAATGTTAGAAATGCCAAGGCTTGTATCTTAGATATGACTATAATATCGGAACCAGCATTAATATTATTAATATCGGTATATATATGATTATAGTAGCTAGCAACAGGACTAGAGGCTCTTTGGAGTTACGAAGAACTTCTTAAGCTTGGTTCTTTGACTTCTTTCATCGAAATCCATCCTACTATATCTCAAGATTCTACAGCATCTACACAATTTGTATAATCCCCGTCCGTTCTCTGGATGAAGGAGCCGGTGTTCTCCACAATACTGTTTTTTCTACCTTGGAATCTTCACGGCACGAGATTCCTCAAGCAACTCTACCAATGATCGATACAATGACCAAGGATCTGGGGCCGCGTACAGAATGTGGAAGTTCCGAATAGATGTTTGGGATGAAATAGGAGGGGCTTTATGATGGAATTTCATGAAGACCTTCACTCCTGGACTCTTCCGAGAGTCTCTTCAGTGATATCTTCATAGTGGGGATACCAAGGTTGCTTTAGTCTTGATTTCGATTGAAGAATTGAAGTGCTCTTTGAATACTCTCTATAAACTTTCAGGGCGGACGGCAAATAACAACGGGCTCATGTATTGTGCAGTAGTGGAGTGTCCTTTAGGTGTTTCCGTGATATGTTTTCGTGGAGTAAATAAGCTAAGATAAATTGTGGGCATATGGAGGATTGATTTTAATGTAAGATTACAAGCTTTTGCCATGATACATACACACAGCAAATGTATGATAGCAAAGTTGATAAAGGTTATGATATGATGTTTAAAGAGATAAGTATGGAACTTCCTCTTCTGATTGAGATGAACTTGATGAAAAAATGAACTCGGTGGGAAAGAATAAGACAATGAAGGATATGATGGATGGCATGATGAATCCGAGATCCAAAATCTCTAAAGCTTAACGATACACGATGCATGATATGTGATGATGGAAACAGCCTTTGGGAAGAGTAAACAACGAAAACTGCGGTAATCTAATCCTACCTATCTGCACTTGACTGAAAAGCAAAGCAAGCAGTACATAATCTGATTCTCCCTTGTCCTATTATACTATATTTAATTGAACATACTATTCTATCCAGCTTCTATATGCTACTCTAAACAGTTATCGACTACGTCCAAGTCGCCTATTATTCTTGAGATACTAAGGATATGGAAATCATATCATTAAGAACCATACATCGTTCCAAAAAATCGCTGATATAGATCCACTTTCCCTTTTCCTTGCTGGTCAAACCACTTGATTTTGGCTCCGATGGGCATTTCTCAGCTACTATTACTAAGAACCCGAGAGAGACATCAAGGAATCGTTACAGGTACGCATAAAACGCTGTGCTATCATCTTCTTTCTGATTTCTTGATATCAAAAACTCAGTATGAGGACTTAGACGCACTTCCTAAACATCCATTGTAACCTTGGTATCGAGATCCAATGCCATGAATTATGAAGCCGGTTTCACTACGCCGCTAGCTGTGCATCCAACTTCCCATCTCTCCAACTTAACAGGTCAAATTCATTTTGTCCCAGCCAATACTGATAGACGATCAGAGCGTCTCTTCGTACTTATTCATCAGTCTTCAATCAGCATCGACAAGATCATTTTATCTTTGCACATCACCGTACTTTCCAACCCTCAGCACCCCAAACTCAATGGACTATAACGACAGTACTCGCACCACTTCTCTCTTTCATGATCTCCAAGCATTAGAAATTCCATATCCACATTTACATCTCTTGAATCCGAATATCGACTCCGACAAGTGACTTCTTAATAACCTACATAACGACAGGGATTCCAACAATACAGCGTAGTTCTGCGAATCTTCTGACACATGATGATGTGATGGAAAATAAATTGCAGTGAATGATATAAAGAAGATTCTGTTTACTTGCGAAGTTTTATTTTCTTTGAAGTATATTTATTTCTGCCACAAAGTTCTTTGAAACACGCGGATGGAGGGTATGATTTCGAAGTTTTCAGTCGCTATTTCTTAAGTAAAGAAAAGGTTAGAATCAGATTAGCAAGACCTTTTGAATAAATCTGTAAGAGACTCAACACTGAACATTACAGCCTCCACACACAACAACTTTCCAGAAGGTAACCGTGTGGCTAAGACTTTGACATGCTGAACTACCGGCATATCCCCACCGGTATCTTTTAAATAGACGGTACTACACCGCTGATGCCCGCCGCCTTTTTGTCTCCTCTGACGTCTGACAATCCTCATCCGTCATGCATATAATTATCCCTCCATTTCAACAACTTATCAGTAATCAAATCATCAGAAATAAAAAACGGATCTCAAGACTCCTAACTCAAACCACGCGATGAAATATCAAACCAAATAGAAAAAACTGACCATGGAAGTTTCAACCTTAGTTGACTCGATCCCAATAAATAACTCATGAGAACTTCCGCCATATTAAGTATACTGTACTTCATTTATAGCACAATGACGAGCCTCAGAACTACACACTTCCTTACAGGTCGTGAACCTTTGGAGCAGCAGGAAAAATATCTCGCATATATAAAATGCTGAGAAGATTTCCCTACCAAGGTGTATATATTTTCCGAAGTTCCCTAAAAGTAAACAATCTTACAAAAAGATCCACCTAGAGTGAAGACACACTGGCCCACTAAATGATCTAGACGATTTTTCAGCAGAGTACATTTCTAGAATACATTTTAGGTTAATTATTGAGTTCTGAAAGTATAAAGGCGGTGATTTAGCTAGACGATGGATTAGATTGTATTATATTGTGAGCGAGGGCATTTTCAATGTACACGTTGAGGCGGTGATGTAAGGTTAAATAGACCAGGCTAGACCTAGACCGTTCACTTAGCAGCTGACATCTACAGAGTATCCATCTCTCCTCTCCACAATAAGGTTTCTAGAACCCAATCTGAAAACAGTACTCGGTAGATAATTCTGCCCTCTGAGCACTTTTATTCCTCAAGGAACAATCTACAAACTACATCTCCTAATCGATTCAGAATACCATCAACAACATGTACAGCAATTCCAGCACTTAAATTCCGAATCACCGAAAGCATTAACTGCGTACCTAATAGTAATACTTCTAAAACACTTATCCGTATTTATCCGGAATTCCATCGTCATGCCGGTAGTCAGGTTCGCTCGCTCGGCTATTAAACACCCAGGAACCCCCATATGTATGATGTCCGGGGCCCGGATCTTTTTGAAACAGTCGTTAATAATGGACCCTGCCTGCGCCAATAATATAATTTACACTTTCTAGATCCTGACATTGGATGGTGTGGCACTTTGTGTTTATCTGTCTGGACTCTGTCTTGATATTGATATGAACTTACCGCTTGAGTAAGCTAAGCTTTTTTGACAACTCGATAGGTATCCAGAATGAGCTTACCGATGTGGGACTCTTTTCCTTTTTTGTTGGTTTTATGGAGTTATCTGAAATCTTATTTAATTCATTTCGTCTATTTCATCATGTTAAGGTTTGCTTTATTGAATTTCATCCCACGTTTGGAATTCTCGAGTTTTACTCGGTACTCTGCTCACTCTGCTCACTCTGCTCAATGTATACATCTTTACTTCTATAGTAAGTTCGTTATATATATACATCTCTTATTCATCCCCTACCAAACATTCCTTCATCCCAATGCAGCAACCATCCCGAAATTACTATACATCTATTTCCGGCCTCTCAATCCACGATGCGGGGAAGTATCCTAGTAACCAGACACAGTGGATAAAGCTAGAAGTTAGCACGGAGACATAATGTGGATGCAGCCAGGGATACACAGCTAATAAATAATATCAAGGATATAGATTACAAGTTTGTACGCTTACGGAATTACATCTATCTACACGGAAAATAAGAACGTTTTATATATAAAGTAAGTTATGGAGTTGGGAGTCGAGATCTCATTTCTTAATATACATACGGCCGACTTCAGGGTATCGGACCGGATCGGTATACCATTTTCCCTTCAGAAAATTTGAGGGGAATATCTTTCTTCAAGAAGTTATTATATCTGAAGAATGAAAGTACCGTAATAATAACTTGCGCGGAACGGGTGCGTGTTTAGTACAGAGTACCCCTAAATGAATGAACAGAGATCAAGGATCTTTTGTTCGTCGAGAGCTAAGAGTTAAGAGCTAGAGCTACTCCGAATTTCGTATAGAGTTTGTAGATTCAATAATACATAGATAGATAGATGCATGTATTTTTAAGTTTACCTTGGTACTCTGAGTATTACCAATTTGAGATAGATGAACGGCTGATAAACGGGTGATGAGATGAACGGGGATGCAAGGTAAAGAAAGGTAAGGTATACAGAGTGCGTAAGGTCAGGAAGATATGGTGAAATAACCCATGTTGATCTAATGTACGGAGTACATATCAAGATATATAAAACCCATCTCTTTGCACCAAATCCCATCATCCTCATCATCCATCCTCATCCTCCATTCACATCCCCAACTCAAACCCCAAACCGCAAAAATGGTCTCAACCAAAACCCTCCTCCTAGCAGCCTCAACCATCGCCTCGGTATTTTCGGCCCCTGCACCCGTGAGCCCAAACCTCAACGTCCTCGAAAGAAGATTAACTTCTTCCGCTACCGGTACCAGTGGAGGATACTATTATTCCTTCTGGACTGACGGAAGTGGCGGCGTCACATATGCCAATGGAGCCAAAGGAAACTATGCCGTGAGTTGGACGGGAGATAAGGGCAATTTTGTAGGAGGAAAGGGATGGTCTGTTGGAGCTGCACGGTATGATATATTCCATTTTCCATTTTTCATCAATCACATAAACCCTCAAATACACCTCCAAACCAAAACGCAAGCACTAACAAAGCCCCCCCACAACCAGCTCAATAACCTACACCGCAACCTACAAACCCTCCGGCAACTCTTACCTCTCCGTCTACGGCTGGACCACTAGCCCCCTGATAGAATACTACATAGTCGAAGACTTCGGAACCTACGACCCCAGCTCCGCCGCCAAAGAAATCGGCAGCGTAACCACCGACGGCTCAACCTACAAGATTCTCGAAACGACTCGCACGAACCAGCCTTCGGTACAAGGCACTGCGACCTTCAAACAGTATTGGAGTGTTCGGGCTAATAAGAGGACCAGCGGGACGGTCACGACGGCGAATCATTTTGCCGCATGGAAGAAGCTGGGATTGCAGTTGGGAAGTACTTATAATTATCAGATTGTGGCTGTTGAGGGCTATAAGAGTAGTGGATCGGCTAGCGTGACAGTTTCTTAGGTGTGGGGTGGGAGTTTAGGGTTTGTGGATGTTCTTGTGTATCTTGCAAGTAGAGGAGGGAAGGCTCTGACCGCGTAGTAGAGAAGATAAGAGCAGATTTTCGTCTTGTACATATTTTAAGGATTCCGGTCTTTGCCGATCCGATATTGTCAACTATATGGACATATATACTATACCGATCAAGAATATCCCAATATAAACTGTGTGACCATGATATATATTTATTTCATTATTTCATACAAGTACATTTGTATTCATCCATCTCATCAAGTCATCCCAATCTATCCCATCAATCATCAGTCAATTGATCTATCCCTCTCACGTTCAATTCCTTTATTCCTGGGTATATTATCCTTCATCCTTCGTCCTTGATGCCATTTCATTTCATCCAACTTGAATTATCCCAGCATCCCCATCTCCACCCCAACCCAAACACGTCCTTCCATCTAAAGCAAAATTCGCATACCACGCCAACAGGGTATAAGGAGTCCCGTTTTCTTCAAGCTCCAGAAAAAACGCCACGCCAAATTGTCATTCATTTCTCGTTCCCCTTTGCTATTAAGGTCACGAGCCCTGAATCGCAAATGCTCATATGCAATGTTTCCATAACGCCCCCAGATGCAATTTTTCCATCGAATTCGTTCTCGTTTTTTCATATCCCCATAATTCCATCCAAATGCTACATTCCATCTTACAATCGTTGATCATTCCACCTCAGTCCTTTTGATTCGCTCCCCAATTCTCCAACATCTTTCTTACCTCCTTCATAGCCACTGGTTTCGTCATGAAAAGATCAATACCACAAGTCCTCGCCTTCTCCACATCATCTTTACCAGCCAATCCTGTAAGTGCAACCACAAGTGCTTCATTTTTTTTCTTGCCCACCCCAACCTCACCATTTTCTATTGCTCGCTCTTGTCTTGATTTCTCCAATTTTCTAATCTCCTTTGTTGCATCAAATCCATCAAGTACCGGCATACTTATGTCCATGAAAATAATATCATACCCTTCTGACCGTTCCTCAAATTTCCTAACAGCTTCAAGTCCATTTTCCGCCTCGTGGACTGTCGTATAGCCTAACCTTGTTATGAAATGGCGGAGGAGTTTAAGATTTATCATGTTGTCGTCTACTAGGAGCAAGTTAGGGGTAAATGGGTCAGGAGCTGCGGCAGCTATTGAAAATTGACGTGTGCTTGTTTTTGCGCCGGAAGAACCACCTGGTTGGCCAATCTCAGTTCCAACTGCTGCGTTAGGTTGAGAAGCGTAACCAAAAGTCGCAGCTGTGGGAGTAGCGAGTGTCTCATCTGAAGAAAGTTCTCTTCGCGGAGGAGAGGTGTTGCCCCTGGGAGGTAGAGGAAAGGGAAATTCTTTTCCTTTTTCAACAAGAGCGTTTGGAGTTGGTGATTCAATGGCTTTCCGGGCATTCTCGCTATCAGCCGCCATTCGACTATTGTCCAGTACTTCACCCCCATGAGGAGAAATAAGTAGATCCTCAAAGACGTTACTAAGGTCATTAGTGCTCGCTTGTCCCGTATTAGATAGATCAGGAGTGACAGCGTGACCAATCATAGTTGTCGCTCCATCAAGGCAAGATCGAAGTGCTCTTGCGAGTTTTCGTGGACCTACTGGCTTCGCTACCACAGTAACATTGCCTCTAATGCCAGCTTCCGAGAATGAGTGGTTGAACCGTGAAGAGTGTGGCGATAATACTAGTATCGATGGTTTGTGTTTACGAGGAAGTATCTTGCAAAGATTCACGAGAACAGATAAATCCGGAGCATTGGCAAGAATAATATCTGGGTTTGCTGATAATGGCACAATCTTCAAATCATACCAATTCGTGAGAAAGTTCCTGACAGACGCTTGGAGAAACCTTCCCTTCTTCGCAATCACAGGGTCCAACGTGGGAGGATTGAAATTAAAGAGTCCTATTTCACGACCACCTATTTGACTTCGCAATAGTGATATAGATTCATCTGTCTCACGCAACAATGAGGTTACAGCTCTGGGCGTCACCGGTAGCGATGTATCTTTTGGTATTTCGCGAAGAAGTGGTAAGGTTACTCTGACCTCTGAAGGAAAAATAGATTAGCACCGTATCAACATGATATATTTGTGCAGCTGGAAATCTCAGGATTACTCACCAGTACCACGTCCAACCTCACTATCGATGGTGATGTCTCCTTCAAGTAGACTGATGATACTCCTCACAATGGACAATCCTAATCCAGTTCCACTGGAAAGGGTATTTTCCTGGGCAAAAGGGGTGAAGAGCTTCGATCTAAGGAACTCGCTAGATATACCCTTTCCAGTGTCCGTCACAGTCAAGATTACCATAGATCTTGGGGCCTTCTCGCCTCCAGGAGTGGTTAGATCCTCTAATTGGGCCGTTTCCAGCTTAACTCGCACATAACCGTGAGAGGTATACTTCAACGCGTTGCCGAGCAAGTTCATGATGATTCTTCGGAATGCTCCGGGTTGTGTGGTAAAGTTGTAGTCATCTCGGACAATGTCTAAAATGACTGATACTTGTGGAGACTGGCTTGCTGGAGGTGGTATGGCAAGAGATGAAGTTGAATGTCTTTTCGAGTCGGAGGTTTTGTCGTGTATGTCATAAACCATATCAAAAGTTTTCGCCGTCCCATTCTGAAACACGTAACCAGCAAAAACGCTCTCAACCACCTCCTCGCAGAGTACTGCTACATCCACAGGTGCAAACAAATTTATCATCGGCAAATCAGATTGTTGTAAAGCCAGGGGACCAGAATTACTCGATTGTGATACTCGTTTTGCCGTACCTCGACGATTTCTGCGCCAATTTTTCTCAAGACTACTAACCTTAGAAAAGTCTAGAATGTGATTCTGAGAGAAGTTGTCAGCTGCTGTCAATAGAAAGTATCGAAACCAGGGGAAAACTGGGGAATAGAGATGGGGTGTTAGGCATGAGGGGTGACTCACGATGGTATCCAACAGTGTGCGACCACAACTGTCAATTGTCTCAACAAGTTCTTGTGCTAAATTTGGTAAAGAAAGGTCATCCAATATCTCAGCGGATGCAAGTATTCCATGGAGTGGACTCCTCAATTCATCTTAGGGTTGAGATTAGGGTTAGTCTACTTTATGGTAGGATTAGGCGATGCTTACGAGATATGCTTCCGATAAAGTCACTTTTTTTCTGATCAGCAACTTCGGTACTTATGCGAGAACATTCAGCCATGACACTATTGCCAAACGCACTGAGGAACGATAATTCATTCTGCTTAGATAGAATACGAGTGGGTTCTGTTGACCAAACACAGCATGCACTAAGCCAGCGAGAGCGACCAGCATCCCAAAGTGGAACAAACAACAATTGGCGAACACCAGGAAAATGCGTCGACAAAAATCTTGCATCCGCTGCAGCTCTAGCAATCTTGTTTTTCCCTCGCGTCTTGTTCCTGTTTTCTTTCGCAGAACCGCGATAGCCCTTAAGAATTTCATCATCTGATGCTGAAGACATGGATCCGTCCGAGTCAAAAGTCCATAGCTTTCCGCGTGGGTACCGGCGCAAAAACAGGTGTAATGATTTTTCCTCAAACGATAGGAAAGAGTGAGTTCCAGGGTATGCATCACCATTAATTGAAGATGCCTCAGGGGTAGAGAATCCCAAGATTTCTATTTCTCGTGTTGGGGACATGGTCGAGGACCGAGTGAAGGACCTTTCTCCGCCATTCGGGGGTCGCGAAATCGATGATCTAGAATTAAATTCAGTTTGAAAGTCATCGTCACCACTCGTCTGGCTATCAGTAACGAATGATTCTTGATTAGTGGGTTGCGCAGCATCACTGCTGAACCCTTTTTGTGCATCGTAGAATACTGCTCCGCCGTCTACCTCAAATGCCTCTCTGATGAGATTGGAAGCGCGAGAGAATAGCAGCTTTAGAGCCGATGCCTCGGTAAACTCCTCATCGGGGGTATCGGTTTTGCACATGTCATATGGTGATTGCTCAGTTGTCGTAGTTTCTCCAAAGGATGAATGCTGTGTCATGGAATCAATCTCTGGTCGTCCATTGCGCAATAAATCGGGCCGAATAGATGTCAAGCCGGTATCCTCAGGTTGCGTGGGCCCAAGCGAAGTTGAGCTCATGTACCCCTTTTCCTTACCATTGCTAAGAGCAAGTGAAGCAGTACTTGACATTGCAGAATCTTTCGTTGATGATGATTTTGACTTCTGTCGTCTGATACCGGTGTCAGTCTCAAACTGGCCAACAATCTTTGTACCTTCTCCATCTTCTGCCTCCATGTCTGCCTCTTCCAGTTCCGCACGGCCCTCTACGAAAGATGCGAGGCCTCGACTCATTTTCATGCCACGTCGATGTTCTTCCACCTCTCGAGTTAACTCTAAATGCTTCATGACAGTAGTCGCCATTGTGCCCATGAAAGAGATCTCATCCTTGGACAATCCTGGTCGAGCATAACTATCAACAATGAATAAACTTCCGATCGGTATGCCCCGCTTGGTGATGAGCGGAACTCCTGCGTAAAATCTGAGGGATGGAGGTTCGGTAACAAAAGAAAGTTGATTGAATCGATCATCTAGTGTTAAATCATTGACAATAAATGAAGGATACTCTTCTCCTAGTAGTGTTGGGGCAGTTTCAATGGTCCTGTAGCAAAGATTAAACACAATTGACGACTTGACCGCAAATTCAAACTCTGATTTGTCATACCTCTCGCACAATCTACCAGCCTTTGTCACAGAAGTACAGCCTAGCCAAAGCTCATCACCTGGTTTGTGTTTTGTGGCATCCACAAGATCCAAGGATTTGGTGCTTTCTGCAATAAAGTACTGGGTGCCATCATCGATAAGACTGGTGGGGTCTGTCAGCTGCGTAGTGAGCATAAAATTCTCTTCAAAGTTACCTGATCATTGTTCTTTGCGCTCCTAACCTCCAAGATACAAGCTGGCAGAATGCAGTTAATGATGTATCTGGGGAGGAAACTTTGGTCGAGGTTATGTCAGATTGAACTCCTAGCTCTTGATTGCCACCCTCTGCAGGTATTTGAGGGTTTGGAAAACATGATTCGGTATTAATAGAAGAAGTGGGTTGGTAGTACCTGGAAGGAAATAAAAATTAGCAACGCCCTCTTGAATATGAATATGTAGAACAAAATGAATCAGTAACAAGTCTCTTTCCGGACTGGTCTAGAGAGGAAGAAGTGCCGTTTGTTGATTTCCGCGCGACCTGTGAATCTTTTGTGTCTCTTTCCCAAAGTTCTTCATATGTTTGTGCAACACACTTCTATAGTAATCATGTACATACTTGTATAATTCTCTGGCTCTGGCAGCATCGGATATACCCTCAACATGCGAAAGCGCGACTGTTGCTTCTACCGGTGCCATCTGCCCTCCCTTTTACTTGAGTGAATGGCCAGGGTGGGGAAATGTTAAGAATCCGACAGGATCGGGAGAGGGGAGGTGGATGGTTGGTCTCCAGGTACAGGTTGTCGAAGGAAGGAATGTCGGTTTACTAAATGCGATGATGTGATTAGTTTTTGAAAAATTGAGCAATCAGGCATTCGAGCATCCAAGCAAGCATTTGATACTCCTTGACAGGCTTGTGGTAACAGATTGGATGGAAAAGTTTATGGAAAAGACAAGGAGGAGGAGTGTTTACTGACATGGTTCTAAATGTTTGCATGCATTGGTCAGATCAAGCCCCCTCCATTCGATAATATTTTTGACCAGGTATGGCATATAACCTTGACCTGATTGGATTGATGGCTTGGATTAAAGTTAAAACAGTTGATTGAGGAAGGCCGGCCTAAGCAGGATGGTGTTATTTTGGCAGAGAAGAGCAGAGCAGTAAAGATAATTTGTGGCTGGCAATACCTAGTATTATAGAGAAAATATTTGAGTATATACCTAGTAGGTAGGTACAGTCTGCAGACAGTGTAATGCAGATAGTGAAGATAATGCAGATAATGCAGATAGTGCAGGTAATGCAGATAGTGCAGATAGTGCAGATGATGCAGATCAAAATTAGACAAATGAAACTTGAAAAGGATCAAAGTCTTGAGTCTTAAGGCTAGCCTTAAATTTGTACTGTGTTGTGTTGTACAAATTGTTAAATAAATGATCTATGGAAGTGGAAGTTGGAGTAAAAGGGTAGATGGATGGAGTTAGGATACATGAATGGAACTCCAACCGTTTTAACCGGACACAAGGTCTGGAATTAGAAAAAGGGATCGTCATTTGCGTCATAATGCATTGGATCCTGCCGCTATGAGTATCATAAGCGAGAGGAGGGTGTGAGTGTAAGAATGTCAACCGGGTCAATTTATTGATTGAAGAATTACATTCCGACTCTTTCTTCACTTCCATTTTTGATGGTGGATTTGCCAATATACACACACAGAGTAGTAATAGAACACATTCTTCTCTGTCTCCTTATACACTCATTACTTGTCTTACTTCCAACGTCAGTAGATATATCATCAAAACATCATGTCCTTACTCTTCTGTACATCTATATTAATGTCTCTTGCATCTCACACCCCAGGGCCACATCTCAAATGCTTCTAGTCTAACCAGAACCCTACGAAAGATATCCAGATGAGAAGAGACTCCCAAGTGAGAACTAGAACATCAACCTGGGTACAGAACTAACAGGACCCTTGTTTTAGTTTCCTCTTAGCCCGTTCTCCCATTGACAGATGAATCATTGATAAATCTCTGAGACCCTTTCTGCAGCATGAAAAGAAGACTAATTCTGGATGCAAAGGAAAAAAATGAAAAAGATAAGGGTCTATCCTAGAATTTGCAGGTCACGCACGACTCACGACGATAGATTTAAGGAATTTCTCGCTCATCCCCCTGGATCTTACCAATTACCGTTGGTGATATTATTATTAGTCTACATGCATACTCACATGCGACGTGCGCACTTCACTGATCTTTTGTCAGTGCTACATTAAGCTTTCGATGCAGACCGGGAATTCTACAGCTGGTAGTGAGTGACTTTTTTTTGAACCAATCGAGCCGGAGATTCCCAAAAACAGCATGTGGCTATTCATCTACTCCTGTTTTATGCTCACGCTCGCCAAGTCACAAATCCTATTTAGTAGCTACTCTACGTTGCTACTTTCACCATGGCGGTGATATCGTTTGCTGCTGTTATACACTGACTTTACTTTGGCGCTGTGTTTAAAAGGATCTAATTTGTGAGGAGTATTCGAGTATTGTTTTATAAGGATTACCTTCACCTAGGTAGGTAGGGAACTAGGGAATCATCCGATGTGGTAAAGCCTCAAATGGTGCGTCTAGTACGGAGCTCTAGGTTTGTATGTATTTGGCTCCGGAGACGTCCGATTTACCATATCTCTCGTCGCATCACACTTCCACTAATGATACTTATGGTACTAATGATCTTACTCTTGCAGCGAGAGTTTCATCAAATTCAAGTTATTTAACGAAACTCGAAACTATTAATGACTCGGGCAGGACTCAAGATTCGGGACTAAAGGCTTAGGAACGGACCCAGATGGATCTTTATCTACGAGTACCTCCTTGGAATACTTTGGAAAGAATCAAGGTCACCATCAAAGTGATAACCTTTACGTTGAAAGCCTTTGGATATATGTACACATGTATGTACATATACATACGCATGTATATACATATATGAATCAATACATTGCTAAGGATATCTACACTGATGTCAACATTATTAGGGAAAAGGAAAGGAAACCATTTCTCTGTCCTCTATCCTCAAAAGTCAGGTTCATCAATTGCAACTTCTTAGTCATTCTTGCCATCATGCAGATGCCAATTTCACCCCGCTGTTCCCAGATATTTTTTTTATCAATTTTGGCCTCAGGCAATCATTACATCTTCCTTCACAGGTAAGCTCTACATCTTTTACGGAGTTTGCATCAACAAGAAATAGATTTCTTAAGTCCGAAAAGATTCTTGTCTTTCGTACTATTTCATATAAGATCTACAAGGATTTGATTGGCATCATCGCATCGACTGAAAGGGCACGACGTACGTAGAGTGCGGCGATCAAAGCCTAAACCTTATAGATACTACGAAGAAGTCATTATCAGCTTGTTGCCCGCGTCAAAAGCCGGTGTCAAAAGCCAGTGTCAAATACCATCATTACAGTCCTCCGAAATACCGACCTCTTGCGACACAAAGACCTACTCGTCCCATCTCAACACACTTAACCTTGCCACTTACACCAATATCTAGTCGCCAGGAAGTTAAGTGGGTGGGGCAATCAACTACCCAAGTCAAAGTTAACGTGCGCTGCAACAATCGCATATTGATCGCATGTCAATTGATCTTCCGAGTGGCGTGAAAAACATTCTTCAAGACTATTTTTCAAACATTCATCATGCAAACGAATGGAATTTCAGGCAACATGGAGCCTGATTCCAAACAACAAGTCGACTTTTACAATAGTCTCAGTCTCGACAATGCACCTCCAAACCACAATCTTCAAGCGGCTGCACTTAGGAACAATAGTACTTCGGAGGAAGAATCTAGAAAGACAGAAGTTCCACAGAAAGCTCCAAAGAAAAGGAAGAGAGTAGTCATCTCATGTACCGAGTGTCATAGGCGTAAACAAAAGGTTCTTTTTCCACCCTCATTATCTTGCAAAAGATTAATAGTCTGATATCAATTCTAGTGCGACCGTCAATTTCCATGTTCGAATTGTGTCAATCGCAATAAACAAGATGTTTGTCAGTATGAGAATGAATCCGCCAGGAAACAACAACTACTGGATGACCTAAGGTCGTCAGATAATGGAGAATATGGAAAAGGCGCACAGCCCGAATCGGATTCTGTGGCAAAGGTTAGTGCGTTAGGATATGCAAAGTCAAATGGAAGCCATTCAAACACCACACTGGGGATTTTCAAGAAGATAGAGGCCGAGGTTAACGATGGAGCCGCTGTGACGACTCATTGCGTAGCAACAGCAGAGAATACTGGTCTTCGGGAAAAGTACAAGAGCTTAATACGACAATTACCGTCTCGGCCCTACATTGATATGCTTCTAGAGACATTTTTCCGGGAGGTCAATTTTCAGTACTATGCTTTAGACGAGGGAACGTTCCGAGATCACCTCAGAAATTGGAACAATTTATCTTTTGCCACTTTGAATAAAGGACCACAGGAGCTACCCGCAGATTTACAATTCTTTCCCGCTCTTTTATTCCAATGTTTTGCTATGGCCTTGCTATTTCAACCACCAGAACACGACTCAAGTCTGGAATCACTCAAGTATGCAGCAGGAATGTCCTTTGATGATCTCGCAGCCGATTATAGCGACTCAGGAGTAAGCATCTTGACATTACTAGGGAAACGCAATACCACTCTTGTGACTGTTCAAGCTGGATTCGTCAGAGCATCATATTTGAAGTATAGTGGTATGGTTCCTGAAAGCTGGCACTCTTTATCCCAAACCATCAAAGATGCTCAAGAGATTGAATTACATAAGGATAATTACCAACTACAATGTAACAAGCCTGAAGATGGATACGAGCATCTATGGCATCAACAACTTCGAAGGAGAACTTGGCTTGTCCTTGCTCTTTGGGATGTACATATGGCATTGGTTCTCGGCCGACCAACAACCATTGATATGCGTGATCCAAGACCACCTTTTCCTATCGATGCTCCCATACCTGCTACCCTTGAAGATAGACGCAAGACCCCTCCTAAAGAGCGTTCACCTACAGATATGCCAACACCTCTGACGATGCTTTTGTGGTATGTCGAAGTCATGGCACCTCTTTGGGATATCTATTACCTTGAAAAGGATGGACCTCAGGCCAGTGACGCACTCAAGGTTCAGAAGATGCACCTCAATATCAAGCAAATTCATGAGCTATGCCCACCTTATTTCAGAGCCGAAAATCCTGACACAACTTGGGATTCCCATCCTGATTGTTATTGGCTTCCTCCTTGTAGATTAATCTTTCAAAATGGTGGTGCATTTACAACAATGGCTCTTCATAGACCATATATTTGTATCTCGGTTTCGAGTCGACGTTCTGCTCTTGAAGCTGGTTTGGAAATTCTGCGTGTACAGCGTGAGTATTTCAGTTTATTGCAGACGAAACATTACAAAATGTTCAACCTTGTCCTCAATACTTTTGACGCCATCATCCTTTCAGCAGCCATTTATATCCTACATCCATTCGAAAATAGGGATCTGCTTGACAACACCCTACAACATTATGATTGGGCCATGGAAAGGTTTCATACTATGATTGGTCGCAATGCGATTGCAAACACAGCGGCTGGTGTGCTCAAAGCAATAAACATTCGTTTGAAGAAAGCATTGGGAACAACTAAACCTCAACCATCAACTCCATCGGATATTGGATCTAACCCACCATCAACAGTCGGCAGCTCACAAATGGCAAGATCTGGTACTTCTACATCCGCATCACAATCTTACAATTCCCCTGCATCATCCACCGACCCCTCCATATCCTCTACAAATTCTATCAATGGAAGTCATTACAACCTTCCGACAATACAAAACTTGACTTCACCAAATTCAAATTCTACAGCTGCTTGGGAATTCACTGGAGCTAATAATTTGATGCCTCACAATTTTGATCTATCATCGATTGCACCTTTACAACCAATGCATGATCTGATATTTAATGACTTAAGCACGAACCTTGGCACCAATTTTGATTTACCATATCAAGGATTTCCGGAAGCAAATCTGTATGCGCAACCTGAACCTTGGCAATTTGGAGGAGATTTGGGACAAGATAGTTTCTGGGCCGTTATGAATAATTATAATCCTTGAGGAAAGTTTTAGGTGATAGGGTTGAACAGGATATGATTGGGTATGGTAGGGTAGGGTAGAGGTAGATGGTGCAGGTATATACGGATACGGATTAGGTGAATACATAATGTATCATACGGAGTTAATTGTTTCATGACATGACTGTTCATTAATACAAGCCTTTTTACTTTTTTTTCCGCGGCTCATCAGCTGTTCTTGTGCTTTATTGAAATTATTATAATTATTATATTAAATACATCAAATAGATTAATAAAGACTTAATTTTTCTTTATAATTTTTTCAACTTTGATTAATATAATAAAGATTTAAAATATTTGAAATAAATTATGATAAAAAAAATAATAAAATAATTAATCAAGATTTTTTTATATTTATTTTTGATTGTCGACTTACCGATATCAAAATTTTATTATATATAAGATTTATTTAATAAATAATAAAAAATACTTAAATGAAACTTAATTCTAATAATTTAATTGATTTAAAATACTCTTTTAAAAAATCTAACAAAAAACTTACTATAAACTTTATAATCTTAAACAAATCTGATTTAAAACTTTTTTCAATTTAATTTTCTTTAATTTAATTTAAAATACTACTACTACTACCACTAATACTACTATTAATAATAATAATAATAATAATAATAATAATAATAATAATAATAATAATAATAATAATAATAATAATAATAATAATATATTATAATTATAATTATTTTTTTTTAAATAAAGTTTTTTAATTTTCAATTATTAAAAACAAATCAATATTCTATCTACACTTTAATATATATTTAATATTTAAATTTAAATTTTCATTAAACTTTCTTAAAAAGTCAGAGGTCCGGGGGGCGCAGGCCCCTGATATAAAAATTCTAAAAATAAATTAATACAAAATTTAATATTAAGAAATTTATATTAAAATAAAAATAAGGATTTAAATCATTTATTCAGTGTAACATTATACTGGAGCAAAAGCAATAAATGAGACGGAAATTAAAGTTTTAAACTTTTGAAATTGTATAATGGTGTATCACACGGCTTGTCGTGGCTTGTCGTGGCGCACCTGCGTGTATCTATTGTCTTGCTTGAAAATTGGACCCGGCATCTTTTTCGTCCCGATGAAAACTTTTCTTCATTAATCTACAGTAGATTCAGCTAACTTTACTAGGCATGTAAGCTGGGCGTGGGAGGTTGGAGGTATGGTTAGGCTAGGTTGGGTTAGGTTTGGTTGGATATATGATTTATTATCTAGGTTAATTGTCCGATTATACTATACGATTGTGCGGTTATAGGTTATATCTTGATCTTGGTATTGGTATCGGTTTCAGTATCGTGCCATGCGGTCGGGAGTACAATGTACTCACTCGCTTTCGTGGTGTTGTATTGTATTGGGTTGGTTTGTGTTACTTACTTCATTTGGAAAATTGGTCTTGGTCTAATGATAGGGCTTAGAACATGTATATATACATATTCAAAGCGTGGATAGAACACTAGAATACTCGGCAAAGAAACAGGGGACAAGCGAAAATGGAAAGTTTCATTGTTGTGCGTGCACACATTTCCTATTCCGTACGTGCTGATATTGATTGGGAAGGATGATCGAAATGGGATTGTTTAGGTACCTAGGTACGAATGGGTATGGTATGTATGTGTATGTTTAGGTATACGAAGTATTGAACTGGTGAAGCCGCCATTTCTTGGCTAATTATTAGCTGGGTAGATGGCGATTGCGTTGTGAGATGTTGTGTATGTGTAAGATTATGTTTTAGATGCAATGGAATTTGGATAAATCTCGGTCTTTCTTCTATATCGGAGTATCGGAGTTGGTATTTGATATTCGATCTTCGATATTCGATATGTTTGCGTTTCATCTACAGAAACATCTATCTATTGATTGGGAATTGGAAATTGGGAAAGTTCTCTTTGTTTCTACTCTATTTACTTATTTAGATCAATGAGATCTCGATTTTTATATATATTGATTTTGTATTTCATATTATTATTCTATTTTCATTGATTCTGAAAATCGATCGAGATTATCATTTTCGCTCGTGGCTGGCTGTAATGATTCATATATAATATTTATCTGAACGATGATTTTGTATTGATTGATTAATTGGATCATATAGTTTATAAATCCACCTCGATCTTCTTCTTATGAATTAGATTGATCAACCGATGAATAATAAATGTAGTTCATTTATCTATCATTTGTTACTCTCACTCATTCATTTACTGTTTAGAGAACTTTTGGAAAGTACATAACAGTAGATGGATAATCTCAAAAATACTCGGTCTTCTGGTCGTCTCTTATAGGCTGGATTCACTGTTGAGGATGACTAAGGCGTGGTTGTATTGCTTTGATATTACTTTAACTTTCTTCTGGCGCTGTATTGATTTCTGCTTTACTTTGATGGAGGGGTTGAGTTGTATAATTTACTCGGTTTATTCTTCATCATCTTCATCATCATCTCCTCTTTCACCATCGCCCTCTTCACCATCAAAACCTCCAAATACATTAACATCCTCCTCAACATCTCCACTAACTCTCAACAACCCAAGCACAAACACAAAGCCTAATCAATACATATCCACCCCATATGCACAAACCATGAAACTCCTCGAACCACTTATTAATCACTGGGTCACATGTCTGGTGACGATTTTCTTAGTGTATCAGATCGCTTTGCTGGTTTATCGTCTTTGGATTAGTCCGTTAGCGAGGTTCCCGGGTCCGAGGTTGGCGGCGGCGAGTCTTTGGTATGTTCTTTTGTTTTCTTTTTGGTTGGAGGGTGGGGAGGTGGTTTGCAGAGAGAGGAACAGAGGAGAGGGGCGATGTTGGGTTGGGTTGGGAAGATAGGAATATGAAGCGAGAGGAGGAAAGGGGAAGCATACCTTGGATTTATATCTATGCCACTAATCCATATACTAATTATTGATGGATGCTGCATGCAGGTATGAATTTTATTATGATGTTTGGTTAGACGGACAGTATACTTTTAAGATTAGGGAGTTACATGAGATTTATGGTACGTGGTTTCATTTTTCTTGGGATTTCTGCGGATTTTGGTTATGTTAGAGGCGGGGAGAGATTGCTTTGTCCTTTTTCTCCTGGATGATTCGTTTTAGATTCTTGTTTTTATTTTACACAGTTCCCGTTTCCCGGGATCGTTTATGTTAGATGGGAGGAGATTGCTGCGTTCTGATGCCTCCTCAGAGCTTGGTATTTGAAGGTCTCGCTCTTATTTTATATCCTTCGGTCTTTTGATAGATGATCTTTTGATTCCGCTTTTATTCATCTCTTCTTCCTGCTTCTTCCTGCTTCTTGATTTTCCATCTTTCTCTTCACAATATCCTGTCTTTATAGTCCTACCAGTTCCTTTCTCCTCCACCCCCGGCTCCTCCCTTCAAGCACCATACTAAACCTCTCGCCCCTAGGCCCAATAATCCGCATCTCCCCCTACCAACTCCACGTCTCCGACCCCACCTTCTACGAAGAACTCTACTCCCAACACAAAATCCGTCATAAATACACTTACTTCCTTGACCGTTTCCAAGTTCCCGGTTCCGCATTCGGAACTGTAGATCATAAACTTCATCGAGAGCGTCGAGCCGCTCTTAATAAATATCTATCCAAACAAACTATTGGTAAATTGGAACCTATGTTATTGGATATGTTGGATAAATTGTGTGGAAGGATTGAGGAGTTTAGGGAGAAGAGGGAAGTGCTTGATATGAGGATTGTTTATCAGTGTTTTATTACGGATGTTATTACTTTGGTTTGTTTTCTTTTTAATTTCCCTTGCTACATGAGATCATCATATCATCTCATATATATCCACTGCACTTCCTTCTATACACTAACCCGCTACTTTTACTAAAATAATCAACAAGTTAAACACTAACCATCAAATATCAACAGTACGCACTCAATCGTTCCTGGAACCACCTCGATTCCCCAAATTTCTCACCCCTATGGGTGGAAACAATAGCCGAAACAGTCAAATTAGGACATCTTCTCACTCAATTTCCTATCCTTTTACCAATCGCCTTAAATCTCCCGAGATGGCTTCTAAAGCTTACAAAACCGGGGTTTATTCTACTTATGGATTTTCGTAAGGTTAGTTTGATTTTTGCTTCCCTTTCTCCCTTCTCTCCTATCTCATCCCGCCTATTATCCTCTTCCCAGCGCCTCCAGCAAAGAAGAAAGAATCCAAACCTCTCACGCCTCACCTCACCTAACACAACCCAAACCCAGGCGATAGAAATAGACACCAAAAACATCCTCGAAGGAAACTACAAATTCAACCCCGACAAAGGTAATGGACTCGACCAAACAATCGTCCATGCAATCCTTGAATCGGACGAAATACCTCCTTCAGAAAAAGAATTCAAGAGATTATTTGAAGAGGCTTTTGTGCTTATTGGAGCTGGTTCGGATACTGTAGCGAATATGTTGACTGTAGGTTTTGTTATTTTTTTCTTAATGTGCCATTTTTTCTTGTTAGTTTTGTTAGGTGTGGATAGGCTGGAAGGATCTCGTGATGGCCGGGAAGAGAAAGAAGAACTAATAGTTAGTTGCTAACACTTGCGAATTAATTAGAACACACATTTTCATCTCCTGGATAATCCACAACATTTGAAAACTTTAAGAGAAGAATTAAAGTCCGTTATGCCGGATCAATATGCACGAGCTTGTTTGAAAGATCTAGAGGGTTTACCATTCTTAAATGCTGTTGTTAATGAAGGCTTAAGGTAAGTAACCTTATATTATCTTTTTCCTCTTCCTTTCCCCTCTTTTCGAATTATTTTTGTGTATTATTTGCGTGGATGGAATACTAATAAAGTGAAATGAAATGGTAGACTTTCCTACGGGATCTCAACTCGGCTTCCTCGTATCTCGCCGTATGAAGTTATGATGTATAAAGATTGGGAGATTCCTGCTGGTGTAAGTCATATTACCTTTTTTAAGCGAGTATTCTTTTGATATTAAAGGAGACGGGACTTCCACATAGTCTTCCTTGAGTAAAGAAACAAATAAATGAATCAAAAAAGCTAATCCCAATGCAATAACAGACACCCGTCTCAATGACCTCAATCCACATGCATCAAAACCCCACCATCTTCCCCAATCCACTAACATTCAATCCATACCGCTGGCTCACCTCTTCCTCCTCTTCCTCTTCTTTCCCCTCCACACCCACCCTCAAACTCGACAAAACCCACGAAAAGTACCTCGTAGCTTTCAGTAAAGGCTCACGTAGCTGCGCGGGTATAAATCTAGCAAAAGCAGAGATTCTTCTAACACTAGCTACGATTTTTAGAAGATATGAGGTACAGGGACTTGTGGAGACTGATAGGAGAGATGTGGATGTGAAGAGGGATTTGTTTTTGCCGTTTGCGGAGGTAGGAAGAGGAGGGGTGAGGGTTAGGTATTCGTGAGCGGTGGTAGGGGAGTGGTGAGTGGATTGGTGGGAAGTAGGAGACAAAAGGAGTTGAGGGAAGGAGGGAAGGTTGGAGGGCTGGAAATGACGAGAGCCATGTGGAAGTGGAGAAGAGAAATTCAAAAACGGTTAGGAAAATTAAACGAATTAGGGTAAGCTTAATAGTAGCAAAGAAAGATCTTTCCAGGAATGACCGCTGGGAGAAGACAGGAAGAGAACAAACGAAGTGGAAGCGGGGGGAAAAAGGGAAAAATGATTCTGGTGAACGAAAAGTTTGATGAGAAAGAATTAATGAAATAATCAAATACAATGCCTATTTAATAATCGAGAAAAGAAAATACTTAATATCTCTTTATAACTGATTAATAGTTTAATATTTAAACAGGATTTAACTTAAAGTTTTGAAGTTTCTTACTTTATACTAATAGATATATTAGATGTTAGGATAGAAGATTGAATTTGAATTTTGAATTGGTAAATAGAATCCGAAGTAAGCAATTGAAGTAAAGAGAAAATAGAAAATGATATAATCTGATTACTTAGATAATATTATATTACTTCATGATATTATACTCCTCGTTACTGAGATTATAAAGATCGAGGTCATTGTAAATTCATCTCACTCTCTCCCAACTCTATCTTAATCACAAGTGTATACAATAAAGAACATTAGTATAATAATATAATATAGTATTTAAAATTTCATATATTTCTTTCTTTCTTTAAACTCATCATACAAAAGCAAGTTCAGATGCAAATCCTGAATAACCTATATTCATCCTCATCTAATCCTAATAATCCTAATCTACAATTCACCATGTTTAATATCTTCCTTCTTTCCCTTCTCTGAATTCTCCTTGGACTTTTTGATTGCCTCCAAAATCTGTTCTTCAGTAGGCATTTCATCATTTTCACCCACTTTAAATCTAGTAGCTCCTTCTCCCTCAGCTCCCTTTTCTGCCTTTCCATCTGCGCCTTTAAAACCAAGGTCAATAGTTGCATTCGCTTCTTCCGCAGTCGCGGTACCTGTCTTCTTCGATTTCTTAGTCTTTGACTTTGATTTAGTGGCCTTCTTTGGTTTATCGGATTTGGAAGTTGGCTTGCGACTAGATTTGTAGGGTTGTTTCATGCTCTTCATGATAAGTTCTACACCGGCATCTTGCAGTTGTTTTGTCTTTTCTGTGAGATCTTTGATGAGAAGAACAGGGTCAGCTGTGGGTGCAAGCTTTTCTTGTTGTTCCAAGAGCTCGGCGAGCCATTTTGAAATGTTGTCGTAGAGTTCTTGAGGAGCAACGACATCGGCCTCGGTATAGATGGGTGGGTTCATGGTTTCTTCTTCAGGAGGGGCAGTAACTGTGGATGAAGCAGACCCAACAATTTCATCGTCTTCAAGATCGACAAAATCATCAACCGTGATTGTAGATGTTGTTTTAGGGCTTGCCGAGGCGCTAGATTTGGATGCACTGAAAGAAGAATGGGCCTCTGTTTCATTTTTGATTTGCTCTTTAACACCCGCAATGAACGATTTGGTTTGTTCGAGAGCTTCCTTGAGAGCTTTCACATGTTCAGGTCGACCAGCGGTTTCTTCTCTTCGCTTTTGAATTGGTGTGACGATGTCCTTCATTTCCTTAAGTTTGGCCTTGAGCTCATCACGGGAAGCATCAGCACCACCAGAATAGATCCATTCACTTGCTGCCTTGGATTTTCTCTCCAGTTCTGAACGTTCGGTTTCGGTAGAAGCGGCAATGAATTCTTCATTGTCAAGGAAGTCCCTTACTTTATATGTGAATCCTTCCAATTGGTTCAAAGCTTCCTCACGTAAACGACGAGATCTGTCGGAGTCATCGAACGCGGCAATACGATCTTTCATTCTAGTGATTTCAGAGGCAGGAACTTCTGGAATACCTTTGAGTTCTGTTTCATATTTCAATGGAATGACGATCAAATTCTTCTTGCTCTTAGGAGCCTCCTTGTCTTTGGCTGAAGCGGAGGCGGATTTGGAAGAACTGCCAGACGAGGTGGTACTGGTAGATGTAGTAGAACTTTCAGTAGTGCTAGAGCTGTCCACAGACTCTTTACCATCCTCTGATAATGGTGCTTGGTCTTTCTTCCCGAATCCAAAAAGTCCTTTGACGCTATCGACCATACTCTCTTTCTCTACCTCCTCGGCCTCACAATCAACGACAAGCTTCATAATATCCATTTCACCATTAACAGGACTGACACGAGTGCTTAATTTGACTCTGATATCCTTGTTTTCGCACTTGTGTTTCTCTTTCAAAAGAGCCACAGACTCATTCAAGTTTGTAGTAGTGATGGCTTTCAATTGTTTCTCTGCGGATCCTGCTGATACTCTTTCTGATGATGCAACATGTTGATAAAAATCAATGGTAAAATCCTCATGATTGTCGAAAGTGAATTGCTTCTCGGCATTAAGATTAGTGGTTGGTTCATACAATCTTTGATGCCTGTTCTTCTTGTGGATATCGATATACTTAATACCGGCCGCAAAAGAAGCACCATCATAGGTTCGAATTTCCTTGACCCTGAATGAAGGACTAAGTCCGGCACCTCTGAATCCAGCACCAAAAACAGCGGCTTCATCAGCATTGACATTGGTGCGGATTTTATCGGACCCTCCAACAATCTTCTCAAGCTCTTTCTGAACAAAAGGAGTTCTGATGGCACCTCCGTGAAGGATAATAGAATCAAGATCATCAACCTCAAGGTTGACAAGATCCAAAGCTTTCTGAATCACTACACCAACTCGAGTCGCATGAGCTTCAGCGAGTTTTTCGAACTCTGCTCGGCTGATCTTGTATTTGAAGTCAACATCTTCGTAAAGTCCTTCAAAGCCAGCTTGGGTATTGGCATTGGCACTTAGAATTTGTCGCAGACGTTCGGCTTCTTTCCACAATTTCGCAGCAGCTCTTCCATGTGCTTGGACCTTTTCGGCAGTTGCTAATACCTCTTGTGCTTTGGGAGATTCAACAAATTTGGCAATCATATCATCGACGATGACGGCGTTAAGAGAATCACCTCCAAGTGTTCTATCCCATGAGCTGCCAAGGACCTTGACTTCTTGGATAGTCTTGTTGAATTTCCCAACATCCTTCACGGTTCGTCCTTGAAACTTCAAAACTGTAGCTTTTGTAGATCCAGCACCCATATCAAAAACCATGTGGTATTCCGGCTTTCCTCCTTCGCTAACACTTGGGAATGTTCGAGATGTAGCGTAATTAAGACCAACGGCCAATCCATCACTAATCAATTCCAAAACTCGAAGGCCTGCCAAATCTGCTGCCAAAAGAACAGCTCTTTTTTCTTCGGTGGTATAAAATGTTGGAATAGTAAGAACCAAGTCCTTCACTTTGCTACCTGCTAGAGCCTCTGCATTCTTTTGAATGCTCTGCAATTCCATAGCTAATATTTCCTCGACGGCCCATGGCAGCTCATCTGCAGCAAAGGCACCACTTCGGAAAGCTGCTGTACCTCGTGTCTTGTCCGCCTCCAATTGTAAAGCTGGATGCCGGATTCCATACTCTTTAACAAGATCATTGTCCGCGCCCAATCCCAAGAGAGGCTTGAGGTTAGGATAAACATCACCAGGAAATCGTGCAGCCAAAGCCACGGCATCTGAGCCATAAACTCTTTCTGGGTACAATCCGGTAGTTGGGTTTTTCGAAGGCTTAAAAGCTACGGCGGAAGTTTCTTTTCGTCGAGAGTCTTTGGTAAGAACAATTTCGAGTGGGATACCAGGTTTCACGAGGGCTGCCTTGATGTATTCTGTCCCAAGATCAACGCCCAAAACTGCCGATGCAGCCAATGCTGTGGAAGTGAAAATATAAAATAAACATAATATGGCAAAGATTGGAGAAGAGAATATCTTTCCAGAAGAGCTCCTCGAAAGAGCCATTATATGTGGTGGTGTAGCAGAGTTAATTGGTACGAGTGAATGAAATGAATAAAGCGGAGAAATGTAATGGAGGAGGGGGAGGATGAAGGACAATGACAAAGATATATATGTATGTATGTATGTATGTAGTATGTATGTATATCTACTAGGTATTTCTGAAACTACCTAGTAAGCGGTACCGGTACACCTCAAGTAAATGTAAACGTAAATGACATAGAGTAAAATCTGTCCACAATGAATTCCAAATCAAAGTTTAAAGACAAGACAATAAGACTTCATCTATTTCCTATTGACAAGTATTCTTTTCTGTGTTTCCCCCTCGAGATTGATGTTGTTTATCCTTGCACGCATCCTTGGTACCAAAAGAGGACAGCTTTACCATTATTTAATCCTTGAGCTCTGATGTCAAGGCGGGTGAGGGTTGCGGGCGATAAGATGTGTTATCGGCAGATAAGATAAGAGGGAAGGAGATGATGTACGTGTTGAACCTCCGACTTTCCGACATTTGAGTTATTCATAGACCCCTCTACCCCTCCCATCCCATCACCCTTCCTGTGGCAAACAACCTATTTTTGGAATACTCCACAACTAATTGTCATGACAAGAATTAATACTCATTCTCAAATCTAGGTTTATTACTGATTGACACATCTAAATACTTACTTGTGAATCATTCAGCTTTTCTACGGAGAACAGCTTTCAGGGACTATAAAATACCCCTCCATTTAGGAACAGGAACAACAACAACAACAACAACAACAACAACAACAACAACAACAACAACAACAACAACAACAACAACAACAACAACAACAACAACAACAACAACAAGCGACTTACTGACAATCCTGACAAAGTTATTCCTGTCTCTACCCTCTCTTCGCCTCTCTGCCTCTTCTGCCACTCTCTCCGCCAATCCACTAGTCCATCATCCATATGGCTTACTTCAATTCTCAAGCTCTATGACAATCACATAAAGCCACCAGTCATCATTGTGCATATCCCTAGGCTATTATTCGAATTGCCTATTGCAGCCACAAAAATCGAATTCGATCGACAACTACTCATCTTCTATCAGTATTCTATATCACTCGCAACTCATTCCTACTTCTACTTCTACTTCTACTTCTACTTCCACTTCCACTTCTACATCTAACAGAGAGGTCAAATAATTCACTTCACAATGTCTGCCACTCCATTCATTCAATTTCTAGGTCCAACAAACCTTGAAGGATATGATCGCAAACTTCCCGCATCAGAGCAACCCAGTAATATCCCGAAAACATTCCTAGATGCTATGGAAGTTCGAGAAGCTGTCTTCGTTAAGGAGCAGGATGTACCCCTCGAAAATGAATTCGATTCTGATGATACCCGAGCTTGCCACTGGGTCATTTATGCTTCAGTGAACGAAATGACGGAACCAGAGGTTAAAGATGATGATGGAAACATATTACGGAGAAAGAGAAGCAGAACTACATCTCAGCCGATTGGTACAATTCGTCTCGTACCATTTCCTCATCCACCACATCCCGAACCTGGCTCAAGTTACCAAGCTGATGCGCTTGAAACCGCTCCAACAACCGACAGTCCAAATCCACCACCTTATATCGTCGATCGAGCAACTACATATCATGACGGCATCGAGCCATATATAAAGTTGGGTAGACTAGCAGTCGTCAAAGAATGCAGAGGTGCCGGCATCTCCAAGCTATTGGCAGGTGCGGCGATGTCATGGGCTCAACAAAACCCCTCCTATTTCAACCCTTCTATTGCCACAGTTGGAATGGAAAATGTAGGAGCGTCGAGTACAGAAGAAATACCAGTGTGGAGAGGTTTGATGTGTGTTCATGCACAAGAACAAGTTGCATCACTTTGGGCTAAATGGGGTTTCAAGATCGATGATGGAATGGGAACGTGGAATGAGGAAGGAATCAAACATGTGGGAATGTTTCAAAGGGTGAAAACCATGAATGATATTGCACCTGCAACGATTTGAAGGGAAGATTTGATACACAAGAGATACCCAATTGAAATTTTGAGAAGCAATGAGATCAGTGGCTTTGATGATATATTGAGATAATAACTTACAACATGAAGTATTTTTAGCCACATTATCTCTCGATTCTCCCTTGAAAGTTTACACTGGTGGATTATTTTCTACTACTTTTCTTCATGTTCTGTACAATATGCTTTCAAGTCTATGCCAATCCAGATCGGTAGAGTCATGAGATATGGAAATGACTGATGATTTTGGTTTCAGAGAGAAGTCAGTTTGATTGTTCGCATGTGGCATAAGTTTACACGCTATTCGCAACGCAAGGTCTTGATTAGACACTAAAGAGAACAGCATTTGATTCCTTTAAATTCAGTTTAGTTGGTTGCTGAATATGAGAAGGTGCTTTCTTTGTAGGCGAGGCATTGTTAGGTACCAAGTGGTATTTGGCTCAGTTCAAGCTTTGGTCCTGCTTCAGCCTTCCCATAACGTAGCCTTTTGGTCTGCTTTGCAGGCTCTCCTCATCGACTAGCCCATGGTATTTGACAAAGTGGTAGAGCCGGCTATTGGGGCTTGGCTTTGGCATCTGACTCGGAGTTGCTTTTTTGGGAGATTCTCTTTTGCATTGATTCACTGGCTACCATAGATGTGCGAGATCGGTGATCATGGTGCAGCTTGCAAGGTTGTGCAGTATGTAGACTCGTCCTTGCCATATTTCAAAGCTCGAGGTATTTGCCAGCGAATTATGTCAATCCAGAACACGTTATGGTATCAAGCACACAGCGGACACTACCTGGCCAGAAAATTGCAAGTCTGCAGAGATTGTCATTCTCAGACCCGAACTAGGTGCGCTAAATTATCTTTGTTATATGAGGTAAATCATGTGGAGGGAGGTACTCGACAGAGGCCTCAAGGACTAGTCTGACTTTCATCGTTCATGGAGGAGTATTGCCTTGCAGGGATATGGGAGGAACATTTACCACACGCCCTGGTATGGTTTGCAGATGATGAGCATGGGACTGGACCACTTCCACTACGGGGACCAAGCTGGTCATGGGCGAGTAGGAATGGATCGATAAGATACGATAGGATCTACTCCTTTGTTACAACGCCATATGATGACCGTCCGAACCCATGGGCTGCGAGCGATTTCAAATTTCTTGATATTCAGGTTCAGGCAACTACACCTGATTCATACGGTCATTGCGTGGGGGGGGGTGCGATGCGTATCGAATGCGTCAAACTGATCGATGGTACTCGTGTTTCTGATGGGGTGTACCCAGGAAGAACTAGCAAAACCCTTCATATCGGAGACGAGTCTTTTAGTATTAACTATTATTTTGACGATAGGAGGGACCATTCTAAAATATTCCTACCGAAGATTTTCACAAGGATTGTGCAGGAACACTCCGAGGCATTTTATCAATGGACTCCAGAAATTCAAGAAAGACCATCACCTCCTTCAAGTCATGCCAATGGTATACACGGCTGTGAAGAGGGACTTATAGTAGCTCCTGTCATCGGTAGAAAGGGGACTTTCACACTTATAGGAATATATCGAATTCCCGGTTAAGTTGGTACTTTGCAAGCTTTTGAGGACGCCAGAAGTAAGACTGAGTCTTTACAAGAGGATGAGTTGTCATTGTACGAGCAAGTATCTGGGGTCAATGAGGCAGGAAATCAGAATTATGTTATCACTCTCATATAACAACCACTGGTTGACTCCATAGAATATGATTCTTCATATGCCTTGTCTTTTGTTTGCCCCAAGATCTTCAAATTTATGAGTAGACGTCGCACATTCCTATCTTCGTGAATTAGGCCAACGTTCAATAGGCGGGTATTCGAACGCGAAGGCCAATGGCATTACAAGACCACAAAGATGGGGCCCCGAAGATGAGATGACAATGTTCTCCTAGTTCCAGATCACATTATGCGAAAAACATAAATGCCAAGTTCCAAGCACAGGTTCAAAACTCCAAGATCAGGTGAAACATTCAAATGAAGAAACCTTAATCCATCTCGAGCTCTAGGTGAACCAAATGACTTTTTGTTCTTGTCATCGTCATCGAAATATATAGCAACCAAGCTCCAAGCCATAACTGAAACCCCAAGAGAATATAAATGAAGTTATGAACAGCAAAATCTTCCACTAGGAAGGAACACAACGGCGTGTAAGAGATATATAAACGAAAGCCAACATAAATTTTCCTTGCAACATCAACATCAACGCCAAGTCCCAAGACCCTCACTCGAAACACCAAGTCCAGATGAACACTCAAACAAAAGCAAAATATATCAACTTCCACATGTACAGCACCACTAAACCCATCCATCCTGGAAACCCCCAACATCAAACATCCGTGCGCACCCCTTCATCTCCCACTAGGACTTCGACGAGCCAGATTTGGTTATTGAGATCTTTTGAAATCTATATTTATACTCTTTATACTGTTTATGCTCAAAGAACAAACTTTTTATCGATGGGTTTCATTAGATCATCAGATCATCAGATCATTAGATCATTAGATCATTAGATAAGAAGGATATATGTTCTTATTATAGGAAAGACTAGACGGATAGAGATAGATTGGACGGCTTGCCATGCTTTTGCGGGGCTTTTTGTTGTCGCGCTTATGAAATTGCTTTTGTAGGGACTTTTTCGGTTAGTAAGGTTAATGTGATGGATGGGAAAGTTAAAAGTTGATATATATGACGGGATATATATCTGTCCGCGCCCCTTATGTTCTGCCTGCCGGCGCTACTCGTTTCTTGATTTGATACCCCGATTCATCCATCCCTCACTATTAGACATTTGTTCTCGCTAGTTGTCTTCATATTCACTCACTCGATCCTCTTCTAAAAGGAAACACCATCCATCCATCCAAAATGCACATCTCAACCCCCCTCACCCTCCTAACCCTCCTCAAATGTACACCCATTCTCGCCCTCGACTACACAAGCACCTACAACCTCGCCTCCCCAACCCGCTGGGACGCAAACCTCATCGACACCCCCAACAACATCTCCTGTACTATTACCTACAACGATGTTTCTTCTCTCCTCATCCCCGATTCGGATGGTTATCTCAGTAGTCCAATTCCAATCGCTATACCGTGTAGTAATGTGAATTATGTTGCTAGGACTTTGGTCGGGAAGAATAGTTCGGTGATTAGTTATTCGGTGCCGGGGAAAGAAGTGGTTACTTTTTCGACGGGGAGTAGGAGTTTGTTGGGGGATGGGGAGGTTGTTCAGATGGTTTTTGGGGCCTGATTTATGGTTGATGGATTGGGGGGATTGGTTGGGATGTGGAAGGTGAAGGAGAAGGAGAAGAAGGGAAAAAGTGTGGAGGTTTAAAGGGGGGAGTAACCCGACTTGCCTAACACACAAGACAAGAAGGAAGAGTAGGAAAATATTGAAAATATGAAGGAGGTAGTAATGGCAGATAGAGAACAAAAGGCATCCACGAGATCACGATACAAAAATATCTTGATATGGCTCACGCAAACCGCGGAAGAAAAGAGGAAGCAAGGAGGAGAACAAGCAAATACACAATCGAATCCGACAGGATAATAATTCATGAACACACAATTTTTTATACATGTATAACCTTATGTCTCTCTTGCACAATGAATGCATACATAGTTCAACCCAAAGCACGGAGTACGGAGTACCCTTTTTATACTTCTGCATGTATCCATTTTTCCTTTCCAACACTCCCCTGCTCAATAAATACCTACCCTACGGACATATCGATATCGATAACCACAAGGATATCGTTCTCGGCATCCAATCCCTATCCTCCGTACCCCTTTCCCTCAAATCCCTTCTCATCCATCATCCAATATTCTTCCATCGAAGTCACCAGTGGATCTATCTATCTCATCGGATAAGCTAAGCTAACTACCAGCAAGGTACAGCACATCCAGCTGGGTTTGCACAGATCAGCACTTGCTCGGCTATTGAACGTGAAACAAATTCATGGGTGCTGGGATATTTCTATTGGGTAAGAATTGGGAGGTAGTTTTTGAAGACCCCGTTTTTCTTTTCGAAGAATGAGAAGTCTTGTAGGTATTCATCCCCGTTTGTTGGGTGTGCTTGGTGAAGATTACGAGGGTTGGTTTTTCGAGTGCTTTTGACGGTCGGTTGATATCTCTTTCTTGTGATTGGTTGCAAGAACGGAGAATTTGTAGCTTGTAAGATTTGTGTTCGGTGACGGTGAAAGCTTGTTTTCTCCTTTGATAGGACGTTAGCTTTGAATTTTTAAATATCCGTGGTCCATTAATCTCAACTCTTTGCATCGATGTCCTGCCATATCTACACAAATTTTTGTTCCTTGAGACTTCCTTGATTATTGATAAATCATTGCCAACTCGATATTAGACATTAGTATCCCCTCTAGATTATTTTCGCCTGGGTTTGAGCGGTTTCAAAGCGACCTTTATATGCAGCCGTATACAACATTATTACCACCTCAAATCCTTAACTATTCCTTTGGCACAGCTCTTAAATATCTCACTGCCGGTAACTCTCTACCTAACCAATCCTCTCCCTTCCTAATTTCACCACCATTCCTTCCAGGCCCGTCACCACAAACCCACGCTCCCTTCACACCACCTTCCTGCCATCCAAAACAACTCGTAACCTGATGTTTGCGCAAACTTCCTTTATCCTCGGCTAGTAATGTGTAACTAGGTACAACATCTCGGCGTCCAGTCGCCTCTTCAAGTTTTTCGCGTGCATAAGAAGCTGTGATGTGAGGATGCAGTGGAGGCTCAAAATCTGGTGTGAATCTCATGAGTTGTTTATACCAAATCCTAGCTTCTACTTCTAACTCCGCATGGCTCGGTAATGCGATGTATAACGTCTTGATATTTCCGAAATGTCTCAACTCTGGAATTGGACAGAGGAATGAATCACGTGCTCGATGTGTGAGGTACGATTGTGTGAACATTATGTGCTGGATAAGATGGGTTGGAAGCTTCGGGTCCAAGAATGATGTTGTGGCAAGCGAGCAAAAGTTTTGGTGAGCGGATAACTGACAAGAGGGATAATAGTATAAAATGTCGAAGGCGGGATGGAAATATATGGCGCCTAGCTCCTTTGCCGCACCGGGATTGAGGACTGAATAGTTCTTAAGAGCAACTTCACGAGAGGCTCGACAAGTTCGGGTGAGTGGTGGAGGCTGAGATTTGTATTTGTGTGGGAAGTTATTGGAATCATGGTCGGCTTCGATGATGCGTGGAATAATGCGATGTGGATCCAGGGAGAAAGACCAGACTCTGAGTTGAAGTTCGATGGGGAGTTTCCCAAATTGTGAGAATGATGACATCTTGATGTGTTTCCAGAAGTTGTAGAACGAGAATTTGGGATGAATCGAGAGCCTCGCAGACGTATGTATAGTTGTATATAATGAGATGGAGCTGAAAGATGGTTGCGCTCCGATGTCCAATATCTCCGAATTCGTGAATCGTTGGGCAAGTATCACGTTGAACTGACAACAACCAATCCACGTATAATGTGTACAAGAAATACTTATATAGGTAGTTGTACAAGATATTTCAGCCACAGACCGATGTTTCGATATTTTGAGCTTTTAAATCCCCTATGGCTGTGGCAACAGTAAATTCGAAAGCCTGACCGACTTTATTGCTAATATCGCGCGTTGGCAAAAGTGGGACAGGAACTGATTGACAGCACTGTATTTTGTGGTCTAGGGAACTCCATTTAGTAAAAGCACTAATATGTTTGTTATATTACCGGTGAATATAAGAAAATGCGGATGAATATGAAATGGAATTGATGAAAATTCCTGTCAAAGGCTCAAATTTGGCAATGAAGCACTAACAAACCCTCCAGCACCTGAAACCTTATTTAGGCTTTGGAGTCTAACTGCGATATATGGTGAATTTCCACACAATTGACGTGTAAACAATGACAATTGAGATCTTGAATGGGACGAAGGTTGTTGTGGTGTTATTTGTCCTCCCAACGGTTTGTCTTGAGTGTAATGTGATGTGATGCAGTTGCAGTTGCATGAACCAAGCAAGAACGGCCAGCTGATGATCCTTCCAGCTTTACTCGGCGTCCCATAGCTGCTACATAGCCACACAACTTGACATGGCCATAAAGCTGATGTTGAAGGAATTCGAATGCGACCTCATATGACCTACAGGCTCAAAGTAACATATTGACCTAAAGATGCAGCCGAATGGTACTGTAACACAACGAGGCTGCAGATATCTGCCCAGAATTGGACAGCGGGGCATTAAGATGTGCAGCTTTTAAGCTTGAGCCTATTTTCGAGATAAAAAGATGAAAATCAATCTGGGAATGCAAGAAGAAAATAAAAACTTACTTTTTAGTTAGTTAGTTGATCCTTCCGTGAGATGGAAATATCAGTATCGTCGCTACTATTAAAATAAAGAAAACAAAAAGATTTGAGGCCTAGTAGGTTAATCATTTTCATGATAAAGGAGTGAAAAAGGAGGCCAAATATATAAAAGTCCAGGGCTGCATAGACCAACAATAAACCTTAAGACAAATATATTAGTGGAGTTTTATAGTGGAGAAATCACTAAATTATAGACCATTAACGCCTATAACCAGAGATGGTATAGCAAAGACAATGGCATAGGAGTAGCTCCTCCTGTATTTGTGTGATACAAGGTGCCATGGCCAATGATGGCTGATGTAAATGACTACAATGTAAGATTACCATCATATGATCATCCCAATCGATTCTTATTCATCCACCTTCTTTTGCCTGCAGAGCACATGATGTGAATGGAGATGTCCTCTGGTTTTTGGCTGCAGCAACAGCAGTAATATGCAGATTCAATTGATGTTGGCTATGCTATGCTATGCTCTGCTATGCTCTGCTATGCTCTGCTAGGAAGCAAGCTTGGCGGGTTAAGGGGGTTAAACAGAAAGAACCTGGAGTACCGGTACAATGGGTGGCGCCCACACACTTACTCTTCTTGGAATATCAAAAACAAATAGGAAGGAGCACGCCAATCATTTTTGCTCCAGGTGGTGATATCTTACCTGGGTCCCGATCAGAAGGATGGCAAACGATACTGCACTAGTCAGGAATCTAGTCTCATGACAGTTGAGTCAAGGTTCTGGCTTCTGTCATGATGCCTCTTCACGTACAACGACAATTCCTTGGTCGGCGCTTAAATTCTAAGATGTCAGTGGTCTAGATCTTTACTGCTGTACTTGGTACGATTGACTGTATCCTGGCCATCTATAAGAATAAACGACAAGCGCCACTAACAATCTAGTTCTATTGAACTTACTAGCCTATTCTCCTGCGGATAGGGTGGGTTCATTTAATGGAAGGATCCTACTTGGGCCGTAACTGATCGTGGTTGAGATCTACATATTGTAATATAAACAAAGGTAGAAAGGTGGGGAGTCACTTTATTTATATAATTTTATCAATATCTCCCCTCCTTTACACTTTTAACTCAAGATTTTCGTACAGGAGATACTTCTATCGAACCCAAAATGGGTTACAAAATCTTGTCGGAAAAGTTAGGCGGAGGCCTACCACAGTATTCGCGGCTACCACAACAAGAGCAAGACGATGCCAAACTACCAGTATCTAGAAAGATATCACACCCATCGAATATTTTCCAATACATTCGATTGATCATCTATTCATTAGCAGGCATCGCATTTATCACATCTTTTCTTTGGGCAGGGCCCGCTGCGCTTCGTTCATACCTCAATGCTCCGTCTTCCTCATCTGTTTCATCTACCATTACAAATACCTCTTCTCCAACTATTAGTCTCATTATTGCTTCTTCCAAACAAGACCGTGATCCAAACCCATGGACAAAAGAGCTAGAGAAGGATAACTTGGCAATCATCGAATACAATCCCCCGACCTTTTCAAGTGAAGGCTCAGGAGCCCTTATCTACCTAATGTATATATACGAAGCGTACGATAACCTCTCGCCTATTTCAATATTCATCGACAAATGGGAACCGGCAGAGTATGCCTTCCCATTATCCCAAACAGACCTAATCAATCGTCTCGACTTCGCTACCGTACAATCCCGCGGCTACCTTCCCTTTTGCTTCCAGGATGTATCAAGCTCAGGAATAAACGCTTCTGTCATCTCATTATTTCATCAACACTTCCCAAAAGATGAAATCCCAGATAAATTCACGGGCCCTTGTGGTAGATTCGCAGTTTCAAGAGATGCAATTCATTCTGTACCAAGAGAACAATATCTACATCACGCTAATCTACTAAATCAAACACGTGCGACTTCTGACATGGGAAATGAGTGGAATGTCATGTGGAAGTATCTATTTCTTCACGGTGATACGATAGAAATTGCTCCTTCCGAGTCCTTATGTCAAGCTTGGGAAATGTGTCTAGATGAAGGAGAATGGAAGAATCTCAACAGATTATGGAATGAAATGGAAACAGCAAGGGAGAAACTGGATTTAATGAAGCAATTGGGGAAAACATTTGATCTGAGTGAGGAAATCCAAGCATTAGAGCATGATTTGAAGGAATTGAAGTCTGTGGTGGAAAATGCGAATGGCCTTAATGTTGGAGGTTAGTTCAATTATTATAGTGCGCTGTTCTTCATGTATTGAAGTATTAAAGCCCAGATACCCAAGCTTGGAAGAATTTAAGTAGTAAAAAATTTCGAATAAGTAAGCTCCTGATAAAACTACATCAAAATATATGCAATACTGTCACATGCTGTATGAGCAATCTGCATGAGATCCTTCGTGTGAAACTTCCTCACCACATGTCTAATTTACAGACATAAATCTCAATATCAAACATTTTACCTCTAAATATAATCTAATTAGTAAGTTCTACAGGAACCAATACTCACCACTATTTAGTTTTCAAACCCCCAAGAAATCATCTCCTCATCCCAATCTTTTTGATCTTTCTTATTGATTCCCCATTTCTACTTCCTTGATATATATATATCTAACTAAGTAGAAGAATAGATAGATAAATAATATAGCCCAAGATCTCAAACTCTTCACTCCTTTCTAATCCTTTCTATAATTTCTTCTTCTTCTACTTCTACTTCTAGATTTACAGGATAAAGGCCCCCCATATACACAAAGCCCAGCGGGTCTTTTCCTCAAACGATGCTTTATAGCGACCTCATCCGCACTTCAGAATCCACCATCACCCGCACCTCTCATCATCATTATGTATAACCTTACGCTAACTAAGTAATGACATCGCAATTATATTTTTTGTTTACCCAAGCAGCTTGCAACACTTAAATATAAGTTCTGATTACCCAATGAGCTCTTGATCTGTGAGTAGTGAATCCGGGCTTTTGTCATTTCATGGCGTGGTTGTAGATATGAATAAATAAAATCTTTGAAGGGCGTTCAATATATATATTTGAACCATAGGTTCTAATCACTCCGCTTAATTTATACAAAATGTTGAAGTGAGTAATTTATGGGTGATATTTCAGATATTCTGTGATATCGATGTTGCGAGTTTTATGAGTAAAGTATCATCGACAAAACACAAAATCCTCCGACATAAGATATATTTCGATATTGAAGTATCATTAGGAAAAGAACAAAATCTCATTTCATATAACTTATAAATATTGCACAATTTAGCTGGAGCAGGTATTGTACTTAGTATCGCTAATTACGTATATCCCAAATCCAGGAGCTCATAACCTTTGAAAAGTACTAGGTATTTAGAGATTATGGAGAGATGTTTCGCTAGATACTATCCGAGATACTTTGGCGGGTTTCAAAGATAAGGGACTTGAGAGTCTAGAGCCGTATGTCAAATGTGATGAAAAGTGTATTTGATGCGGTGATGACGACAATGCGGAATGTCTATCAGTTGGCTGTTGTTGGAGTGGGTGTTACCTGCGCGGCTTATGTTTCTGGACTATGAGTGAAGTGGGAAAGGGTTAATTTGCAGCCGGAAATGGAGGGAATAGGAGATGTGGTGTTAGTTATGAGGAGGTTGTTTGATATTCGTGGATTTTATGTTTACTATTGTAAGATTACCCTTGTTCAGTTTGTCGGGACGAACTGGATGTTAGTCTATGAATAAAGTCTTAGGAGTTTGTTACTGGCAATTACATGTACTTTTAGTCTTACCTTAACCATTGAATTGAAACAAATGCAGAATTTCAACCCAAGCTTTCCAATTTTTAACTGTTTCCAAACGTTTCTCGGTAAAATGTTTTATATATTCACATGGAAGTCACATCATATTGCTCCCACTTCATCAGTATCGATAATCCCCATCCCCCTCCTCCTCCTCCAACCACTCAATCATATGTCCCGCACCTTCCTCCTCACCCCATTTCTCACATAAAAGTCCCCCCAACCACACAAATCCCACCTTCTATCCAATCTCTTTCCCTCAGATCAACTAGCATCCAATGACCCACAGGAACTCCCCCCTCCCTCCCCTCTCTCTCCAAAATAAATGCAGCTAAAAACCTCCCAATCTCTTCCCCTTGATATCCTGGAAGTAATCTTACAACGATTGTAGTATCAACATACCAGCAATATTAGCTCCTGGGAACTGAATCGGTGACAAATAACATTCAGTATTCTATTTGCATAAACCGAGTGTGAAAATGCAGTAGTATGTATGCAAGCTTACTTTCGATGTAGCGCATCTGGTTGTATAAAATTATAGACTTTGGTTACAACCGTGAACATAGATGGATCGTGGATATATATATATTTCCACGATCGATATATCCATGCTTTCATTCAGAAAATTCTAGATCATCGATCCCTGTAGGGGTATCCATCTCATCCGCGAAACTGACATCAGGAGATCTAAACTCCGAAAAAAAGAATTACTAGTGTTAAAACCCTAGGATTTAAATACGTACACGATGTTGTGATAGTTTGTAAGACTGATGTTCTTGGATATTTTGGATATTGTGCAACGTGAGGATTTAGATTAAGATGTATGTTTATGTACGGTGCTGGAGCTGTAGGCTCCGATGTCGATAAGGAGCATTTAGTTTAAGTCGGAGAGCGTCTCCAGGCGGAGAGTGAAGGGTCAGAAGGGCATTTTGTATTCGCGGATAGTTATTTAGTTTAGAAGGGGGGGCTTGAGTTCTTGTTCATAGTGGTGAAATTAATGAGATCTTTAAAAGGGGACAGAAGCTGATCAATGATCATATTAGCGAATATTTGAATACTCCATCGTTTGTTGCATTTCAACCGCTTCAGAAGTCCAGACACATACGGTCCTATTGATGCATCATGCCGGACGACTAGTCATGGACCAAAAAGCAAGGAATCTCAGGGGTGCCATGGATGTTAATTGGATAACGGAACCAGGGTGGGTAATGAAATATATTCACTGCAAACCAACAGAAAATAGAACTCTATTCTTCCTCGAATTCTTAAAAAAAAAGCTACTCTTCTTCGTTTGGTGGTCTGCGCTGCTCGAGGACAATCTCCTCTACAATTTTTAGAAAACTCCTTTATCTCAAAAACAATAGTCGATCTGACTCCAAAACCACAAACTCATTCCGGACACACCGGATATAATGAATAAGGAAGGAAAGACTCTAAATACGAAATTAGCATAACATGAGGGTACACAAGTCTCAATACATTCGTGCGATAGCCTCAATAACGGTAGTAGCATTCCTCTGGGAACTTCTTGTAGAGTGAACAATCGGACGATGATAAAGCCGAGGAAATTCAATCAAGGTTTGTAAGTTACCACAACAATCAGTTTCAAGTTGCGGCAAGGCACTCCAGCCGAGTCCATACAGAAACACCGGAGAGATTTTGTTATATTTATATTGAAGTTGCGATTTTTAAAGTATTGGAAAGACGATGATTTTAGGTATTGCTATGTGATAGGCTTAATACCGTGGTGAATTTCAGGATCTTGAAGTTCCCGAGTATAAATAGAGGATTTGACATAAGCTTAACTTGAGGCAATTGCTGGGCTGTGATTGTTTGTGATACGAATGAGATATAAAGATCACTTAGTACAGCAATGATTTATAATAAACTTGACTATATTAATCATACTGATGAAACGAATTATATAAATATACAGTATTAGCGTATTGCTATTAGCCGAATAACCTTTTCATATTAAATCTCAATCATTTTATAAAATTAAAATAGTTTTAATTATTATAAAATTATAATTGAAATCAAAAAATTGGATTATTTCAAATTAAATATATAATAAAAAATTAATTGATTATTTTTTGAAATTTTTAAAATAATATAATTAAGTTTGAAAATAATTATATGAAATTTTGATTTAATTTTTATAATAAAATAAGGAAAATTTCAAAATCTAAAATTTCAAAATCTAAAATTTTAAATTATAGAATTTTATCAATTAATTATTAAAATTTATAAAAATCCAAAAAATATAGAATCTTTAAATAAATCTTTTTAAATGTATTAAAGGATTTCTTTGAAAAATATTAAGTTCTTTTAATATTAATAAATGAAAAGAGTGAGTTTTGATGGAAAAAGGGCCTATGGCTAGTAGCAGTGCACGGTCACTGTATATACAGGGCAATCTCAGAAAAATCAGTGAAATCATCTTCACGCCTATGTCGCCGAACTTCGTTGGCACATTACCACAAATCTCATCTAAAAAGACCCGCACCAGGAAACTGTGAGAACCGGGAGGTATCAACCGAAGTCAATTGAGGACAGCTTAAAGGAGGCAAGACTTTAGAAACCGCAGAATTTAGCTTACTTAAAGCAGAAGAAGTGTTTTGGAATAAACCCTTAAGAATATCCGGTGCAGCTTGTTGAGCAAACTGGAATGCAAAACAAATAGCATTATTCCTTGCGCCAAAGTGGTAACGTCATATACAACACCTGTCAGATTCTTGAAGTCAACACCAGTAAAGAAATTGACTGTGCCGGTGTTTCCTCCAATGGAGAAAAACTCGAAATTTTGTAAACCTGCGGCAACTACATCGGCTACGAAAGGTACACGGCCATACTCGTCGCCAATAGCTCGTTTGTACCAGTTATCAGGAATCTTCTCGTGCCCTTCTGTCCATACAAAGCTACTCCGTTCTCTTGTGACGGAATAGAATGACTTCAGGACATCACCATTGAGGTAACCCTCAGGATATTGGGAAGATTTGTTGGCCATGTATTGATAGACAAAGGTATTCGCTGCAGGCTGTACAGCAATTCCAGAGAATGGCCCGTCGAAGAAATATGGATTGTTGTCAATGGATTGTTGGAAACGAGTTGCGCGGAAAGGGGTTAGGACCGATAAACCGAAACCGTTTGGACCCAGCGGCAAAGCGTACATTTCTTCGAATTGAGACATGAATAATTTGTAATCGTTGCCACTAGTAAATGTTAATCACCCGCCCCCTCAAATTTATGATATAGCGCAAGTTACTATTGATAAAGGTCTCCGCGTGCAGGTGAGACATCGCACTCATATTTATTATGTGAACCAGAGATTCCCTGTTGTTTACCAAGAAGTCCAACCGAGCTCAGCGGGCTTGCAGATGGAGGTCCTCCAATAGACCAACTCGCCAACTCGCCGTCAAAGACCGTGCCATATATAGAAAGGAAGGCTCCAAGATCAACTCCCATACCGAAGACTGTTACTTTGTTAGTATAAGATGTCCATTGTCATGGCGAAATAGCAACTTACCATCATAGGTTCCTTGGACGAATTGTGAAATAGTCGCTACTCCATTATATGGGATGTAGTTATGATTAGCCATGGTATTTAAACCAGGACAGGGACCACGTAAATCATTAGGCCCTGGTGCAACAAACGCATGTTCACCGTAGTTAGACATGTATTGATCGGATGCAGAGAATCCAAAGGAGCGAGTAGTTGATACACGCTTCTCGATTCCAGCTTCGATCTGGGCAGTGATACTTGCAAGAGAACGTTTCTCTACTTCACTCATTGAATGAGCAGTATCAAACATGCGAGAAGGAAATGCGAGGGCGCTGGTGAAGCAGACGGCGAGACCCTTTATGGCAAAATTGTACCTCATCTTGAGACTGTTTTAAATATTGACGAAGGAAGAGATAGAAGTAGAAGGTGTTGAAAGTAACAAATAGTTGAATAGACTGTATTTATGTTGACCTGAATGTCCAAAATCTGTGGTATGCTATTCCAGGGTCCATCACTGATTCAGCATATCATATAGGCTGTGCTAAACGGAGATTTCCTAAGTTGAGCTCGACCACAGTGCGGAATCATCGTGATACTCAAGTCACGCCAGGTGATGGTCTTTTGTGATTTTTTCCTTTGTGGACCCAACCTTCCTAGTTTCAAAGCTACATATGATGGGATCATGATATATTTAGTTTTCCAGTCATCAGACTGCCGTTTCTTTCAAAACTAAGATCTAATAAGATATTAACTGTCATGTTCGTGGTGCTATACGCTGTCCAAGGAGAGTGGCGCGAAAGGCATGGACGAGTGGGGTGTAGCGTGTTGAATTCGGGATCTCAACATAGCTTTAGCCTACTCTATAATCTTAGCGGCACCGATTCAGATATTCGTAATGACAGAAGTATAAGCAACAAGAGGAATGGGTAACCTGGTTACTAGGCTTCGGTATTTTATATTTTCTCGCAGAAGGATTTGGAATATGTGGCGTTTTACCAGTGTCGGTATGCCACTAGCGTCATTGACAGTTACTTTAATGAAATAACCTCCCAAAACCTTCGAGGATTGAGTCTGGTCGATACAGATAGCTATGGGACGATTTCATGGGATGGTATTTATTTACATGTTCCCAGTCACTGTTAGGCATGATCATAACGTGGAGCACCACCTTAGTACGAGGGAGGTGGCGTCGTTCCATTTTGATGGGAGATATTGCTAGCCGTGTAGATCTCTGATTAATCTATGGTGCGGCCAGTAATAACTCGCTGAAGGTTGAGACTGAGTTTTCGATATATGCCTCGACTTTCCTGATTTCAAAAGCATCGATAATATGCTGTTGTATAGAGCAGATGCGGAGTTGAAAAGGAAAACTCCTTGATCTTAGGATTTAAGGGACATAGTTGGGATCTCAATTGCGATCTCATTGAGGTGAGAGAATAAACAAACATTCTATTGATGTGAGCCAGAGAAACCGGTCCATTTCTCAAATATGCCTGGGGTTGGAGAGAAATTGCACAGCCGGGAAAAACAACTTTTGTAGACCATATCCTAGAAGCTGCATGTCATATTCCTTAGTAAAATGCAGGATCAATGCAGATTTCACATATATTGCACAATTGACGTCGAGAGCCCGCGTGAGCAGAAAACAACGCCTCCAACCCTGCAGTGCATGTCCATAAACCCGCACGATGCTCACCTCTATCCTATAAGCATCTGAGCCACCCAAGAACCAAACATCTAGCATTGTGAATGTGTCTCGTGCCTTCTCACGAATTGAATTCCATAATTTCAATCTGAACGCCATCCATGTTGGGGCATTCTGGACATCTATTACCATCAGTAGATCGTATACACCAACGTTGTGCCACCGGCACTTCAAAGGCCCTAGCGTCTGGTCTCATTAGCATCCCGAGTGGTGTGTGACAAAGAGCTGCTATCAGCAATCACATCGTGCATCCGGCCAAGAAAGTATACAAGTAGTTGGTAGGATGAATGATTTCAGCTGTTGGAGACGCACACCCCGTCGAAATGATTTGTCTTTGCGCACTTGTGAACCTGCTCTTGCTTCGCCCAAACATCAAAAATCACTTCAGCTCGCCGCTTCGCCTGGACTGTTGATAAAAAAAAATAAGCCTTACTAACTCACACTTAAGCCCCCTAATTTATTTTGATGTTTGTCTCGAATCAAAAAGCATCGTAGAGCCTTGACATCTATATTGATCTTGGACACTAGCAGCTAATGACTAGATTCACCTTGGACATAGGCTTCCATTACCACTTCTGTATCTGAGGCCATATCCTTTGCACGCGACCCCCGGTTGACAACAGACCATTCTCAGCGCCAGAGTAAATGCTGTTGTTGTAACGGATTTTGCGTTCATGGACAAGCTGAAATCGGAATGGGCTGGCGCCTACATACATAGGAGGATAGAGTAGCAGAGATAGATGGCTGTTTCTGCTATAAAGTCCATCGCAGCGCTTGAATGAAAGCTATTAATGTCGGGGGTGTTTTCTCATACACCCGCGCTGGTTTTTATCTGGAATCATTGAAAGCGAGCGATAGTCTTTTCACGGTCCGCAGAAAGTGCACGCCAGGTTCCACAATAGACAAGCCAATACTATCCAAATTCCCTCCTAGTTTCACGATCTCTCCTTGAAGAGTCTTGAGGAATCTTCTTTGGCCAGCTTCTAGATGTGTCGATTCTATCTCTCGGTGCCAGAACTTCGAGTAGCAGAAATAACAGGTAGTCGATGATCACACAAAGGCAAAAAAGTTTGCCTGCCCATATTCCGCAGCCATAGTATCTCTTAAGGCGATCAATCAAAGCGAAGCTCTGTACACCGGCTCTTCCTCTAGTAGCGCTCCAGCTAGCTGCGTCGGCTGCATCATATCCATAGAACTCTGCCTCGCTTAGAACGCCAAATATGCCATCATATATCCTCTCTGTTCTTTCTGCTACGTCTGTCCAGGAATACATCATTTTGACTTGATCATGAAACTTTTCGGTTCGAACTTTGTTGGCTCTCAAAGACGCAATTGCTCGACCCGTGGCAGCGACTAGATCATCTTCATCAGGCTTGGCAAAAACTGTCATGTGTGCTGGAAGCACTTCAGGTATCCCCCCCACCTGTGTGCAAACGACATATAATCCACAACTAGCAGCTTCAACTATCACAGTTCCAAAAGCTTCAGTCAAACTTGGATGTAAATATATGTGCCCTCTAACCATAACATCTCGGACCTCCTCATGTCTGACCGGCCCAAGCATCTCAACTTTATCTTGCAACACATTCTTCTCCAGCATTTGTTCCAGATCAATGGCTTTAGGGCCTGATCCTGCAATTATAAAGTGTACATTGGGATGACTGGCAAGAATTCGAGGAATTGCTGCAATTAATAGGTCGGTTCCTTTATTATAGAAAAGTCTCGACACCACAACGATTGTTATTACATCATGCGGACCCAGTGGATATGGAGCAGGAGGGGGGTGCTTTCCCGGAGGATCGGCCGGATATGAGGGGTGTGATAGAGGTCGAAAATTCTCCGCCACGACTGCATTTGGAATGACAGAGACCATGAGGGGGTCAAGAGAAGCGCGTAAAACCGTGTTTTCTTTGCTAGGATCGGTCAGAGAATTCTTGATTCATCAATGGCAATGGGGCAACTCTACCAAGTATGGCTAACACAAACTACATGATCAACGTCGCTCAGTGTGAACTTAAGTAGCTTATTGATCAATATATTGCCTGCATCTGCGAACCCAAACAATGAATGATCTGTAAACACAGTCCTCAGTCCCATCGTCCTTGCATGTAATATAGCTTCGTGGCACATGCTACTCATGCTTGCATGACCATGAACAATCTCAATTTGTTCCCGTATAACGATGTTGCGGAAGATTGGGAAGAATGAGAAGACGGTAGGAAAGGTACAGGAGCGAAACATAACAAAAAATGGGACATGATAAACTTTGAGGCCATTTGTAAGATATCTGACACCAGTTCTATCCTCATATGCGTGCGTAATTATTATAACTTTGTGTCCGCGGTCGATGAGCTTAGTAGAGAGTTGGTAGATGTGACTTTCGACTCCTCCTGGTTGTGGGAAGAAGAAGTCACTGACCATAGCAATATTATACGGCATTTTGAAAGTAATAGAAGATTACTGGTGGGAGCAATCGTTCTGAGAAAGGAAATATATGAAGTTCAAGGAGAAACCAGAACCATTTGTAGTTGTCATCGCAAATCCATTATAAAATGATGAAAATCGCCCAGTGAAGTCAGAAAGTCTCCAGCTCTAGAAGCTTTGGGCTTAAGGTTAGCCTTGTCAACTTAGCTTAGTGGCCGTTTGTTGCCGTAAAATGCCATTTTGGTCGCCAAGGGTCTCCGTAAATTTATTTTTATCGGTTTCCCAATTCTTCCCAGTTATTCAAGTAACTGAGAGAAGTTTTGTAAATCGCCAATTGGCACTCTCCTTTTTGAAATTATCATTCATAGCTTTCCAGATGTATTCAAGATATGTTCCTCCTTCTAAAAAGAAGGTAATCGTAGGGGATCAACTAAATCAAGCTCCTCTATCTCCTCTCAAATCATCCTCTCCTCCGCCTCCAATACCCGCACCTGCGATCCGACCAGATGCTTCCTCGTCCTACGCGCGATATATACCACCTTCTAAATCTAATTTAAAACTTGATGCGCAATTAGATATCCCCATATTAGGCCTCAAATCGCCTTCTCCTGCCTCGAAACGAAAACGCGAAGATGCTTTAGAGCCCAGTCCGGAACCTGTATTAAAGAAGGCCAAAAAAGATAAGAAGGGGAAATCTGTGAAAAAGGATGCGTCGCCCACTTTCGACGAACCGCATGTAGATAATGCTCCATTGGAAGAAGCGCAAGAAGTGACAAAGAAGGACAAGAAACAAAGGAAAAAGAAGTCGACCGATGACAGCATACCATTTGAGGAGGCTACAGAAAATCCGGAGGATATAGATGACAAAAGGCATAAAAAGGTGTTGGAAAAACGCGAGAAGTCGATTAAAAAAGCAGAGAGGCGCGCGCGCAAAGCTGCCGAAGAGGGTAGAGATGTTGAGGATGCCCAAGAACCAGAAGAACCGGTGGAAATTCATGATTTAGTTCCACTGCCACAACCGGAACCCATCCCCGAACTTCCACCTCCATCGCTCGAATCTACTCTCCCATCATGGCTTGCTTCCCCTATTCTGGTCTCACCAACAACTACTGCGCAATTTTCCGATGTAGGGGTCGAGGCAGAAGCAGCCACTGTCCTTCGGTCCAAAGGCTTTAATGAAGCATTCGCCGTTCAAGCTGCAGTACTTCCTCTCCTTCTCCATGGCACCCGGCAAAAACCTGGTGATGTGCTAGTGTCAGCGGCTACCGGGTCCGGAAAGACCCTTTCATACGTTTTGCCCATGACTCAAGATGTTAGCCGCAACATTGTCACTCGTCTACGAGGATTGATTGTTATGCCAACTAGAGAACTTGTATCTCAAGCGCGTGAGGTGTGTGAAGTTTGTTCTAGTGCGTTCTCTACCAGTAGCAGAAAACGTGTAAAGATAGGCACGGCCGTAGGGAGTGAAGCTTTCAAAGTCGAACAAGCAAACCTTATGGAAAACACATATCAATATGACCCAGCACGATACCATGAGCAAGAAAGGCGAAAGAATTCGAGATGGGAGAGCTCCGATGCTGGAACAGATGATGAAGGCGAACCTTTATTAGACGATGAGGCCGTCTCCCCATTGCCTGATCACATCATCGAACCGGTATCAAAAGTTGATATCTTGATCTGCACACCCGGAAGACTGGTCGAGCACTTGAAATCTACTCCTGGATTTACTTTAGAATATGTCAAATGGCTTGTTATAGACGAAGCAGATAAACTACTTGATCAAAGTTTCCAGCAATGGTTGAATATTGTGATGAGCTCCTTGGCGACAAGGCAGAAATCCTCTCCGAATAACAGGGATAGAGTAAGAAAAGTCGTTCTCAGTGCCACGATGACCAGAGATATTGGTCAATTGACTAGCCTGAAACTTTATCGACCAAAGTTGGTGGTTTTAGCAGGTTCATCTGCCGGTGATGATGGAAAGTCTTCACACGCACATATCCTACCGCCTGGACTTGTTGAATTTGCTGTCAAGGTGGATGATGAAAATTTGAAGCCATTGTATTTGATGGAAATACTGAAAGGGAATGACATGATAGATGATAGCAAGATTAAATCGGACTCTGGCACCGAATCCGAATCAGATTCTGATTCTGACTCTGATGGTTCATCTTCCGACTCTAGCTCAGACGAAGACTCTTCAGAAGACAGTTCTTCCTCGGATGACAGCTCAATATCAAGTTCTGATTCAGAGTCAAAACCAGATAAAGTATCGCCAAAGTCGAAACCAAGACTCAAGACAAATCTACTGCCTATCAGTCACGAACCTCATGGTGTCCTTATTTTTACCAAATCTAATGAATCCACTATGCGTCTTGGACGTCTAATTTCTTTAATTCACCCATCCTACACCAATATGATTGGCACTCTTACCTCCACCACCCGCTCTTCCGAACGCAAAGCCTCCCTCGCTTCTTTCTCCCGTGGCAAACTCCAAATTCTCGTCGCCTCCGATCTTGTATCCCGTGGTCTTGATCTTCCTGATCTTGCACATGTCATCAATTACGATGTCCCCACGAGTATCACAAATTATGTGCATAGAGTAGGTAGGACGGCGAGAGCAGGGAGACAAGGTCATGCCTGGACATTAGTGGGGAATAATGAGGCGAGATGGTTCTTTAATGAGGTTGCAAAGAGTGAGGAAATTAGAAGGAGAGAGGGCGCGAAGGTTAAGAGGGTAGTCGTTGATGCAAGGAAATTCGGAGAATATAAGAAGGAAACTTACGAGGAGGCTTTGGAGGAGTTGGGTCAGGAAGCTATGGCTGTTAGGGGTAAGAAGTAGGGCTGGAGTACGAAATTAAATGTATATGAATTTGCAAGCAACAAATCCCTAAAGTTAATGGAATTTTATTTTAGAGTATCTGTGATTCTCCTCACAATTCTAAATGTTGTGAGATATCCGAATCATACTTCAAAGTTATATACTATCGAAGAAGAGAATCTGGTTTCAGTGAAGGGTTTAAATGACACGAAACTCCTCCGGGACATTGTTACAACTTTTCAACGGTGTATTATATTATTGCAGAAGAGAATGATCCCATGTTGCCATTCTTCATACTGCTTATATCATAAATAATGAAATTTAAAATTCCCATAGTCTTTGCATAATTACCAGTCATTCATTTTCAGTGTTTATATCATTTACCAATATCCATCCATCTCCCATTTCCTTATCATACTCAAAAATTATTTCCAGTATACGGACTCTGTACACTAGCAAATCCCTGCGGGCATGCCCGCCCAATCGGCGCACTACCACTCCTTATATAGCACACCTTAGCCTGTGCACACGCATCACTCGTACAGTTAGGACTTTTAACCGAACTCTTCCCCTGATACGTATTGAAGACCTCCACTAACGTCCTATTAACCTCCATGGCTTCTGTAACCTGGTGCCAAAACGTTGCGTTGAGTGGTGCGTCTTCAGGCCAGGAAATAGAAGGCCCATACGTAGCTCGGGTTGAGTATTCGAATTGGTAGGTAGGACCAGTGCCGTTGAGATCAGAATACGAATTTACGTCTGAGTAAAAGGTGTATGCATCCATGACGTCGAAGGTTCCGGTGTCGATCTCGTACATTCGAAAACCGGAATTCAGATTGGTTAATGGGGTTACGCTGGGACCGATCCAGCCGGACATTAGAGCGGTGGAGGAGTTTTGGACTGTTGCGTTGTTTGTATAGTATATCATGACTTGATCTTCATGTGTGTGTCCAAAGAAGACATTGGCAATAACGTGTGGCGAAAAGCGGTCGACTATCTGATAGAAGAGATTTGTTGGATTAGGCAGTGGATTAGTTCCATCCCACCCAGACAAGACGTGGCCAATAATCCATACCCTCTCCCCTGCGTCTTCAGCCGCTTGAAGCTCATCTATCATAAATTTAAATGTGCCTGAGACGTCAGGATCTGTTGTATTTATGAAATTCAGGTAATTAGATCGGTACCAGAAATCGGTATTCATTGTGATTATTCGAAGTCCGAGATGTGTTTTAACTGAGTAGGCAGCGTAGTGGATAGCAGCTTCCTCCGCATCTGCTTTACTCAACCACCCCTCATGCTGCCATAACGAGGAGACGTGATCATAATTCCAGCTAAATTGTTTGCCCAGAGGACCAGGTAAGCTGTGGGGACTATCAATGTTCTCCGGGGTTGAATCATGATTTCCCAGCACGGGGAAGATTGGATTCTTTATGTATGATTTCAGTATTGAGAAGATGCTAGTCTCCGTATACTTGACATAAGCACGTGACATCTGGTTTTGAGGATCGTGGGAAACGAGATCACCTAGCAAAACGATTAATGAGAATTCTAGGGATATATTTGGTGGAAATACCTGTATATATTGTGAATGCAGGTTCAGAACCAGGAACACCAGTACCGGTCAAAGCTCCAATGGATTGTAGAGCTGCGAGCGCAAGGAAATATGGAGTATCGCATCTGTAAATTCGTTATTTGGTTGTTCCAATGAAGCTTGGCGACGAAACTTACTTGTAAGACCCGTATAATGGCGCAGGAAAGACTACTGGAGAGGTAGGCGCATTTGTGTATCTACAACACATACCGGAAGAACAACTGGCCTCTGAAGCAACTTGGTATCTGGGATCAAGGTGGAAATCTGAAAGATGGAGGACCTTCCTTCGCTTTCCACTTGGTTTCGGGGCTTTTGCCTTGATTGGTTTTGGTTTCCACAAGCTAGTAGTATTCAAAGTTATCGCTGTGGGAGTTGGACAATACGAGGTGCTTAGTGAGCTACAAATATATTGTCCGTCTGAGCCAGTAACGTTGGCTAATGATAGAACTTGAGTCCATATTGCACCCCAGCTCCCGGCTGCATAATTGTTCTTGCAGGTCGTGTTTTTTGCAAAACCCGTGGCCTGACACAACGAAACTAAAGCATCGGGTACAAACAATGGTGCTTGTTGTGCAAGTACTTTTCCAACTTTCAAAGCAGCAATGCATTTCGTACAATTGCTAGAGAACGCAGTATCATTAAAGATGATGTCCTTGATCTCATTTAGCGCATTATGAACCAGGGTTTCGGGAGGTGTATTATTCAGATTGCCGATAGCTTCTGGAAAATAAACTGGATCGTCGGCCGCTGTTGGTATGGTCGTAGGATCGGTCAGATTCAGAGGATAAGTGATGTTCAATATCGGATCGTAAAGAGCAGGCTGAGGCTCAGAGGTAGCAGCGGGCTTGAGGTAATAACTCGAGAATACTGAAGTAGGGAAGGCAGATGGAACAACAATAGATGGTGCACCGGGCAATTGAGCTCTTGCTTGTAATCCAGCTTGAGCTTGGGTTGGATTAAAGAGGTAGCTAGCCGATATCAAGGCTGGAAGAATATTTTTGGCCATCTCTCCCAGATGACAGATTGAAGAATATGAATGATCTGCGAATCCACTGTATGAAAAGTGTTTCAAAATGGTCAAACAATCGAAGTGGTAAGAACTCGACAGAGTACCGACTTCCTCACTTGGGGAGTAAAAGAGTTGAAGACTTTTACATAGATAACAACCAACCACTGAAGCTGCCAGCCACGCAATTTGAAGTTTGATAAATGCACGCACAAGTCGAGGAAAGAAAAATGCAGAAGATTAAGTAGTGAGACTACCGGTACCGGTACCTAACAGTGCGGAGTAAACGTGGGCTAACGATTGGTAGTCGCGGAGGTTAACCTACCTACATGCAGAAACTTGCCACGACGTCCTATCGGATAGATTAAAGATAGGACGTAGATCTCTGCAATCCAACATATTAATTCCCAAAAAACCCTTCATGAATTAAACCTACATTTTCTCTATCAAGAATGTGTATTGGCACAGTTGAACTGATTTTAACAGCTGCTATGAACATTGCAAGACATTTATATATTTTGGACATTGACAGTTTCCGCATAGGTTACCGTTGCTAGGGTCGATTCTACGGCAGCCTCATAGGGGATGAAAGCACCGAACGGGGGAGAGACTTTAAATTCTAATACCAATCTATAAGAGGCATTTAGCTTGTCAAGAAACCAGTTATCTCTTGACATCCGTTCATAAATAGTTTAGGGCTCTAAAAATCTTTTCTAGTATGATTTTAGTGTAGCTTTTTGAATAATCAGGATTGTTTTGTTTAATTGGTGGATTTGTTGATTTTCTTTTAAAATAGAAGTGAGTTTTAATATATTTTATTTATATCTATATTGAAAATTGTTTACAGATGAGTACAAAAAACAAAATTACTTCATTATTAAACGTATTTCTTATGGAAATAAAACTAATTATTTTCGATTAAAATGGATCAAGTTCAAATTTCCAAAGGCAAACCCTTTCGGGTGGATCAAGGAGATAGTTACCTTATCTTTTTACTAAATATCTCTATTTCGAAAATAGCTGGTTACAATACACGTGTGTCGATATGAGTTGTGTGCGTGCCATCTCGAAAGTCTTTTCCAACTCCGCAACAGCCGATCCACCAGAGCACAGTTTCTGGCGGCGAAAATCAAATCACATAAAAGCTAATCTTACATGCGGCAGGTCGATAAGTTTATGGTCAGTGTAGGTGCGGAAAATATTTTGCAGGATTGTGTACTAAAAGTCAGCTAAGAGCTTCCAAGTGCAAATGTGTTACGAAGTAATAGCCGACTTACCAAAAGCTAAGTCACGTGCATGAAACATGTGACTTGGATCCTTTGGAGCTTAGGATCCAAGAGGATCCAACTCAGTACGAAGATCTATATAATCAAGATGGATTTCCTTTATATAGAGCTTTGTGCTCAAAATCAATCATTTAATATAATCTACTATTAGTTACGAATAGCATATCATTATCGTTGTTACTTAAGTCCCTGCTTGACGCCTAGTTATAAACCTACCTCGAGAGCCTAGAACACTTTCACGTGATCTAGACAGCTACCCTCGTAACAAAATGCTATATATTCCTTTTTTTTCATCCTTCTTGTCCCATCAAAAACATCAGTTCTTCCAATGTCTGAAGTTACTGTGCAGGAATTTACTGATAATCATACCTTGTTAGTCACGAAGAAACAGTAGGTCCATCTCTATAGCTTCGAATCGTCTTCAAATTTTCTCAATCTATGCTCTGTCGGCAAGAACCAATTTGCATGCTGTTAAGCAATGTCCGTTATGATTTGCGTTGCATCACCACGGTCATAGTGCTACCAAAATCCGGGCATGGCCATATCAGTATGATATTTGGAATAATACACATACACGGGTTACTGTTGTCGATCCACTATATAGGTTCAAATTGCGTTAGATTGCCGCTTCTCTAGTTCTAGTAGCATGGCATTGTTCCGGAGCTTCCTGAGAAAGACCGGATTATCGAGCAAGTGCCTTATTGTACCACTCGCAAGGAGACTTTGCCGCTTGAAATGTGCTTTGAGAATTTGAGCTGTCCATCAACTTTGACAGCCTCTTGAGCGACAGATGCTTCTGGAAAACTTGTTGAATATGAGCGACCAAGAAATTTGTCATCCTCGACCAAATGTGGCGGCACCTAGAGCCTCTTGTTGACCACACTGTTCAGTCCTTGAGGAAAATCATCAAATGAATCACTTACCGATAGCGTGTATAGCATCGCGCATGAGAACTACGTTTCTTTTCGGGGACGACCGGCATTCCATAGTTCAACTACTAGCGATAGCCATCGCTAGATGCCGGAAGGTCTATTCAGGATGTACTATTTTGTGGCATCACTTCCGTGTTTTTGACGCAGTTTCTTCATATTGATATCAAATGTATCGCAGCATAATCTACATAATGATATAGCGCACAATATCTGCCAGCGCTGATAAAATACGGGAGGATATATGATTCACCCGATATTCAAACTTCCATTGTGAGGTTCATTGTCAATTATGCTTTGATTTATTAATAAATAACTCTTCTTTCCATTTCTTTTCTTATATTTCGTCTTCACCCTCACTTCATTCTACTCCAATGGTATCTGCTAGGCCCCATTTAATCAGACGTCTTGAGACATTCGAAATTCTTTCTATCCAAGCTCCCATTTATTCGTGAGAACGCGCACATCTAAGGGATTTGACTTTCTCGGCTGGTTTGCAAAGACTGTGTGTCAAGCGGCATTAGCATGACATTTTTAAAAAAAACCCATGTCGAACAAAATATGTACGATGCATGATGTAACTTACACATTGAATTAAGACACTCATGATTTATTGCTCAAATGCATTGAAATATTGATGACTTGGTGTCGGACTTTAGAGCATTTTATTTTTCAATTCTAAACTTGAAATTGATGACTCATTCAAACCAAAGAGCAACATTTGTCGTGCCGATTCCAGCTCTTGCCAATCCCTTCATTTCTCGCTTAGATGGAGTTTTGTTTCGTAGGAGAGCTTTGCACTGAACGTGAGTATTCCCCTAGCATTGATACTATTTAATGTGAGATTGAGACAAAGTTTCGAGGTGCATAAGGTATAATTCTGGCTCATGGAAAATACTCTAACTTAGTAAATTTGGAAGAAGTGATTGCAAAAATATATAGTGACGGCCAAGGATGACAGGGGACCACTGTGAGTGATACTTCATCTGGTCACGAAAGGTTTTACGAGACAACGCTCTTGCTCCCATGTAGCCTGCCATATACCACTTGTTAATTGTGAATCTTGTCGAACGATACAACATGTGGGAAACAAATGTAGCTGACTGATGTCTTCCACCGACGGTTGTGCGCTTAAGGGAAATCAGCGGTTTTAATTCGTTTCTTTTAGTGCCATTGGAGTTCTTCGTTCAGTTTATCAATTTTGCTACATTAGAAAAACCCGAACATAATCCAATGCAATCATCGCCATAAACCGTGATCGAGCCAAGATAAAACTATGGGTTTTGAGCTTCTGCTAATTACACCAAGAAAATATCCAGGGAAACGAAACTAAATTTTGTATATGAAGCTGTTGATATAATGGTTCACGCTGGCATGGTTTCTTGATATCGTTTCGCTGCACCGAGTAATTGATATTTAGCTCTATCAAATTATGCTACTGGGTTCGGCTATATTGCATTCTATATAGTCTCGATCTAGCATTATTCGGTATCAAGAAGCGGCTTTATACAAATTATACCCTGGACGTCCAGAACACTCACATTAGACAATTCCAGCCTTGAGTTTTTACTAAGCTCGCAATCCAGCAAAAGGACCGATTTCTTTTAATTTTAGTTCACTCTATATTCACTCTAATAGTCTTCGCAGTTCAATAAATAAAATCCCAGCCACAGAGACCGCAACCACCGAGCTCAGACGGCGGGACTGACGACACACTGATAAGTCAACCTAGCTCGGCATCTTCCATTGGGGATAAGCTACCAAAAGTTTAAATTGTGTGATATGAGGCGTCTCGATATACCACTCATTCTGCATTGGTGCACAGGAAAAGTTTGGGAAATCCTAACTTGCCCATGGTGACCCTGTCCTTCAGTACTCTCGAGGCCCCTGTCCGTAGCTCGTAGCTTCATAAATGGGGTTCTCGATAATTTGAATACATATTCCATGAAGAAATTTGTATTCATTTGGAAGTTTCAATAGTTTCATATATTAAGTCACACTAGGGAATATTCAAAGGTTTGATTGTTCAAATTTGCGAAGTAGCCAACACAGCAAAACCTTATTCGCAAATTTAAACTATATTCGTCAATAAGCTTTCGGTACGTAGTCTCGCAGCTTTTGAGTTTTCGGCTAAGAGCTGATAGATATCTCGCAATCCCCAGATTTACCGAGCTGCCGACTTCGGGCCGGGTGCGGTCTATTACTATCACCTTGGCGGGCAGAAGAACAACTGAGTTATCAATCTCCAATCCCTATCTTTGCTGGCATGGCTACGGGTGAAGGAATTTTTATGTCAGCCGCAGACTGCAGGTGATTGAACACTACCAATTTCGATCGTGTGAACTTCAGCAAGGGGAGGAAATCCCACAAATAAGCACTCTAGAATCTACTTGGAACTAATACATTGAACTTTTAGCTACAGGTATATTTTGCAGCGCTTGCTGGTCCCGACGTATACATTAACCTACTCATCTGTGGGGGGATTTTGAGCCCCGTCCTCACCTGACCCGTTCCCCAGACCACCACTTTTCTTACTCCACACGATGTAAGTACGGAGGTTACATATACCTCCGTATGATCCTTAAATGAAGCTACAAAATGGTTGGTTTCGGGGCCGAGGTCATTTCCAATGCTTTTTACCAAATGTGTTTGAATATCCTTAAAGCAGACAGCATCTACGACTGACTACTGAGGAGGGTGCTTATGTTGTTTATATATCTAACCTAATCTCTTATCAAAGAAGAATTCCATAGCCCTTGACCTTGACCCAAACACAGTTTCCAAAAGGGTCTGTATTTTTATCCCGTACCATAGATGAAGGGGATGTGTTAGTACCTAGTTCACGTCGTCAACCATCCACCTGCGAGATTAGCTATAGATATCTGTAGCCCGGCCTACCCGTGTTGCCGGAAATGATGAAAATCCAGCGTTAAAGCAACAACCAGGTTGTTCCTCCTGTATTCGACGATGTCATGTGCAGACAGTTGTATACTTTCTAGCTGCACGATTAGCCCACGGGCAAAGCAACCCATTTGAGCTACTTTAGCCACTAACCCGGCCACCTTCTTGACTATGGCCAACCCAGTCTAACCTTACCCAGCGCTGAAACGGGGGTAATTTTATCAGGTAACATGTACGCTAGTATATTTTAGATCTAGTGCAGAACACGGTATTTCTACCCTGTCTGTTCTATTCTTCAATCTACACCCCTATCGTCTAAAACGCATCGCTTTTCTAGCACTGCCCCAACTTGATAGATCCAATTCCAAATCTCAACGATATATATGTGATATGCTATATGCAAATGTACAAAAAAACATTGGGTTCTGCATGTATTCAATAAAATTAAAGCCCCAGTGAAAATTAGTGCATGGATTGTTCGGGGGGTGGTGAATAAGGAGTCGAAGATCTCATTGGTTAACCACTTGTTAAAAACTGGTTAAATACATTCGCAAAACTTTATGTGATCGTGATTTGAAACGGGCCAAGCGTCAAAGCTCGTACACCCCTGAATTTACCAGAACCTACGGAGTACAACAGACTCCATAGTGCGTACGACAAGAACAAGGAGAATATTTTGGCTCCTGGTATTTTCCTTTTCCGCCGCCTAGAACTTTAACAATGTGGACGACAATGGATAAACGCGTTGCTATCTTTCTTGCTACCGAAACGGATTATGTCGAAAGACTATGCCTAATACTGCCGGCGATTATCCGTAGGTTATTCGCGTAGTTCTCCAGCTACTATTTGGCTTCGACAATTCTTGAGATGAGGCATGCAAGGAGTAGACTTCTGGAATCCTGCCATCGAATACATTCGCGATATGAAAAAATACAGTCCTATCGAGAAGAATATGTCCCCGAGTTGTCGTCGGTAATTGAGCATAAAATTCCTATTTTAGATCGCATTTTCCGACTAAGAGAACCAATCAGGGATAGAAAATGGAGATTGCATCCCACCTATATTTACGCGATGACACCCCCACATTACCTCATAATTGCAATCACTTGCAATATATTTCCAATTTTGAAGGATATTTTTTGGATCTTTCTGTACAACGTTAATTATGGTTTATTACTGGTACCCTAAATAAGAAATATGCTAATATCTCTGATCCCATCATTCCTATAATGCGTTTTGCCAAAAGCTTGCGGACCGTACTTGCCGTTGCAGGAAACATGTGCTAATGCAAGATATAGTTTCCCCGCCTCTGTCCTTTGCAGAACCGTTGTAGAAGCAGGGATTTCGGAAATGGGAAGTCCAGAGGTAAAAGATCGTCCCTTGCCTTAGCTCTTTTATAGATTTAATTGACTAGTCTTGTGCCTTTTCCTCGTTGAACATCTGCATAAGGTTAGGTGAGTTCCAAAACGTCCACCTAGATAGTTTTCTTTTTCTCAATAGTAAGAGCATTATGCACCAAGGCTAAGCCCAGTTCGATGCATATACTGAAAAATGAGGTGTGCCATATTTTCTGGCCGCACGAGTAATGTTATTTGAGCCCTCAAGCAAGAGGCAGCAACAGCCATTTCATAATTAATCTGAAAATTCTAAGCTGCATCCATACCTTGCTTGCACTTGTACTTGGTTGGTGGATTAAAGTCATTTAGTGTATTTGAATACTAAATGGATGTTTACAAGGTGCTTCATCACATAAGAACCCGGTCTTGCCTATGCATGGATGATCGATTATGTTACAAGCCCACCTTTCAAAGAAGTAGCTAAGAAAGTAGTCCTTTCATCCCAACTTTGCAAGAACTGGTGGATACTTCGGAATCCTTTTAACGTGGTTTAGCTGTTGAAGGAATTCGAGGTCGCTCTGCAGTGCCGTGCCGGCACAATCGAGTCCTTTCAGTCCATCAAATTCCCCCTGTAACTTCTTGGCTCACTATATTTTGTAATTAAGGGAGCCAAATAACCATTGTTAGTATATCGACTAGTAAGTTGCTGAAAGTTATATAAACAGCATGCGATTCCTGTATTAATTTTATTTTTCTTCATCTCAACCATCTCTCTTCACTTCTCAATACATACTACAAATCCTTTGACTTTCATTATGAAGTCGTTCACTCTTTTCAGCGCTGCAGTTGCAGCATACGCACAAATCTCCGCCGCCATTGCAGTTCATGGAGCTGCCGAGGGATTCGCAAAGGGTGTTACTGGTGGTGGCTCAGCTACTCCAGTCTACCCAACGACCAATGCTGAACTTGTTAGCTATCTGGGAGATTCCTCTCCTCGTGTCATCGTCCTGAACAAGACCTTCAACTTCAGAGGAACTGAGGGTACCAAAACTGAAACTGGATGTGCTCCGTGGGGAACTGGAGCAGCCTGCCAACTTTCCCTTTCAGGAGGAACGTGGTGTGCGAATTATGCGCCAAATGCTCCAAAGGTTAGTGTCACTTATGACGCCGCTGGTCCCGAAGGTATCACAGTCGCTTCCCACAAGACTTTGATCGGTCAGGGCTCTACCGGTGTCATCCAAGGAAAGGGTCTTCGTATAGTTGGTGGTGCTACCAACGTTATCGTTCAGTGAGTATTCGGCCACAAAGTCTCGGTAGATTTGTACTAACCTTGGGCTTTTAGAAACATCAAGATCGAAGAGCTCAACCCCAAGTACGTCTGGGGAGGTGACGCAATCAGCATTGCCGACTCTGATATGGTCTGGATTGACCGTGTCACCACTTACCACATCGGCCGTCAACACATCGTTCTTGGTACGGGCCCTTCCAACCGTGTTACTCTCTCCAACAACTACATCAACGGTGTCTCCGATTACTCTACTTCCTGCAATGGATACCATTACTGGGGTATCTACCTTGATGGTTCTAGCGATATGGTCACCATGAAGGGTAACTACATTTACCACACCTCTGGACGTTCTCCCAAGGTTGCAGGAAACACCCTCCTCCACGCCGTTAACAACTACTGGTACGACAACGGTGGACACGCCTTCGAGATTGATACTGGTGCTTATGTTGTCGCTGAGGGTAACGTCTTCCAAAACATCCCAACTGTTGCCGAGTCTCCAATCTCTGGTCAACTCTTCACTGCCCCCTCCCCCAACGCCAACACCGCCTGCAAAGCCTACCTCGGACACAACTGCGAGGTCAACGGTTTCGGTTCTTCAGGTACTTTCACCTCTTCCACCACCGGTTTCTTCTCCGATTTCTCCGGAAAGAACGTGGCTTCTGCAGCTGCCTACACCACTGTTGTCTCCAGCGTTAACGCCAACGCTGGTTTCGGAAAAATTTAAATTATTTAGTACGAGATTCGTTGCCATTGTGCAACGGACAGGAGATATGAGATAGGCGGGCGGGGTGATCCGTCGACTTTTAAAGAATGATTTCTTGGGCTTGTTTTCTTCAACATGTATATTATTTTTAGTTATTTGTAAATATTCAATTCAAGCTTTTGCGGGCAACAACTTCCTATTGCTGTGTCAATCCATGCGTCTTTTGTGAGAACTCCAAAAACAGGGTGTCTAAAATTCCAACTAGAATGATTGATATAAATATTCCAATATGATTGATTCATCATTGAGAACAATTCGGATGTTTCAATACTGAAATTAACATGCCCACTTGCAATCTAATATAGAAATGTGGTTTTTATCTTTGCCATTAAGTCGTTCGTCCTTTTTAAATCTATCTTTGAACGAGAATTTTAGTATTGTGGAGTCCAGGATTGTCCGCAGGGCCCCATGTGGAAACAAATAGCGAAAACGTTGTATGAGTGTATAGCTTACAGCTTGGAATGTACTAATTGTAGTGTAGTAATGGAACGCTAGTATTTATGAGGGTCACAGTTGACCTTTATAATGTGAAGTGATTTGGAGGTATGCGAAGATTTTGGTGCTCGTTCACAGATATTATTAGCACGGCGGTGGGAGTAACTTGGCGCTTTGCTATTAATACGTTCCTGTGTCCCACCGATACCCGAGTACTATTTCACTACCTCTTCTCACCCATTGTTTCTCTTTTCCACATATTTTTATGAGATGCAGACTCATATCTCACAGCTCTTCAAACACACTGGCCTCACAACCTCCTAGTCTCCACCCCAGCACTTTCCCTTCCATTTCATCCCACATACTCTCACCAACAAATTCCAAGCACCAAATCCAATGCCCTACCCACCACAAATGCGACAATAAGGACATAACCCAACACCCCAATTCCAATAAATTCATCGCTAGCGACAAACTTCTTCATCCATCTCGAACACAGGCCATCCGAATCGTTGACCATCATCGACAAACTTGATCTCATGGCTATGAGCATATATGCAACTCCACACATAAATATACACACTGTAAAAAAGAGGGTAAATGTGAGTAGAATCGGACGTATGAGCTGCGGAACTGCAAGGAGCAGCTCGTGCGTGCCTGGGAATTTGTCAACCAAAGATCAAAATGGCAGAGAAATAATGGGCATAAAACATACCATGCAGTATGTGGTCCATACCAACGATTGCTAAAGTCATAGTTGCTATATCGTTACGTCGTTGCTTATTTGTAACTTCCCAAGTACCTGCTTGAGATTTCTCTCCTTACTAACCACAATGTCCGATATGTTGAGGTGATTTTGTTGAGGTCCGTCGTAAAGTAAGCTTCGGCTATTATGGTCGGCGAAGTCGGCTGGGTGTGGTTTCACCAGGGCTGGAGACATACCTGTCCACACAGGGAAGATATTTATGTAAATCCTTTGAGCCAATTTGAAAGGTTGCATAGATCATCCTGATATTCGGAACTTATCACATACAGATTGATGCTGGTTATGAGAAGATAATGCAATCTTCAAGCACAACGTATACTCACAGACCACAAACATACCTCCATGTACCCCCTCGTCACTAGCCTTCCATAATTCAACTGTAACATCTATTTGTTTTTCCGTTTTATCGATTTTCCTATGTAGATAACCCGCATAATCCATTCCGTGTTTCTGGTGCCAGCTTTCTTAACCATTCCAGTCCGGCTCTTTGCATGGATTGTTTTCAACCCGTTCATTGATCCTATCCACAAGCCATCCACTCTTCCACGCAACCTGTTCAGGCTTCCCATCTTCTTTCTTATCCTCCCCATTAGTAGGAGCCTGATATTTCCCCAGTCGAACAGAAGTAGATAACCTACGGGTCCTGTCGTGAAGACCGATGAAGTTGAAAATGAAAAGAAAATACTGGACAAAATTGAAAAGGCACTTGGTCAAGCGCAAAGAATGAACGCGGAAAGTGATACGGAGAAGAGAGAAAAGGCAAGTGGGAAACGAGAAACTACTGCAATTCATTCGTATGATGAGGGGAAAATGGAAGATTCCGGTGCTGCCGCTCTCCTATCAACCAAAGCCTCTGTGTCCAAGAGAAGGGAGGAAGTTATCAAACAAACTTTCAGAGCTATTCGATAGGGAGAACGAGGCTTATAAATCTTTTAAGGACTGTGGTCGTGCATGCGAAGACCAGAAAGAGTGTTTCCAATGGGTATACTACCTTTTTGTTAACTTTCAATTTTTGTGCATCTTCTTGAACCCCGGCCATCGATTTCTTCTGCTCATTTTCCCTTGCTTTTCTAATTTCTTCTGGCTCCGTATAAGTTGTACCATCACTCAAGTTACTCCAATTATCTTTCGACGGCATGATATGTGGCTCGACAAAGTGAGAGTAAATTACGGAAAATGTTGCTGCATTGGAAGAATCTCACATTCGCCATCCATCTTAACATCCCAGCTCGCTGCTAGCCCTTTTGGCTGTTCTGGTCCTAGCAACATATTCATGGCGGAATTTGAAAGAATATACGCACTGCCCCCATGGGCAAATAAGTTTCTTCATGGATTAATCCTGCGCCAAGGTAAAGAGGTTTTGTGAAGTCCATTTTCCTCAACCACTGTAGTAGTATCTGTCAGGTTATGCAGTGAAATGATGGGTGAAGGAAAAAGACTTCAGTAACTGACAGTGATTAAATTCGGCCAAATGACATAAGTATCTGTCTCAATAAAAACATACCAATTTGCACGTGGTTGCATGAAATACGCCTCTTCCACCATATGAATGAACTTATACTTGTCTCACCTCCATCCCCATCTTCCCTCTCCCTTTTCCTTCTCCTTCTCCTCTTTTAGCTCCGTAGTATCTTGCCCGGTACTTTGCTAGCGATGAATATCGCGATATATTTTGAAGTCTGTCTGGGTCTCGCGTGGGTCTCGCGAATCTTCTGATCAACTGATTTTAATGTGTCATGAATTGTAAATGGCCCGATGGTACCCTGCGAGTCGGAAAAGAACAATATATCCCTTTCTTGGAAATATCGTAGCATGGTTCCTAAGCGTATGGCCAACTGCTGAGCCTCTTGCGTGCCCGTCCTCAGCAACACTATAATTCCTTGTTTGCGCAGATCATTCATGAACTTTTGCTTAGAGGAGTCAGGGCCGCTGATAAGAGGAACATCTTCCACAGTAGAATCTGGAAATTCCAGCTTTAGTGAGTCGGCGGTTGGATAGGCTATCGGCTTTTGTTCTCGGCACAATAATCCTAACAGCCTTTGGAGGCGCTGCGTGGGATCGTTTGCAGTTGGGAATTCGTTCCTCACATACTCAGCTGATTCGGATGGGCAGTCGATTTGTGACAGTATTGCAACAGCTCGCTGGTGGAAGTAGATGAAGAGGACGAATGACGCAAGAACAATTAGAATGAGGGGCATTCCTCGGAGCAAAGACATAATAACGGCGAGGAACAACAGTATTCATCAGGCAAGAGGCAGGAGTTAAAAATAACCATGCAATGCATGAGACACAATCTAGGCCATATCGCGGTGAAAAATTTGCGAAGGGAATGCCGTTATTGGGAAAGATACACCAAGGAATGAACTCCCGCATTCCACGATGCTGGATGTAAATATGGAAAAGAAAAGGAAATAGATAGGGAGATTCTGTGACAATGTAGGACAAAATTTCTTTTCTTTCAAACAAGTTGAATTGCATTTTTAGAAAACTATCTTTTCAGAGTATTTCGACCTGTCTGAAAGATTCATAACCCTTCAAGCCACTCAAAGATTAGAGAATCATGAACTTTCGAGGGCTTTCATGGGATTGGTGGCAAAGTCCCAAGTCTGCCATTCCCCTTCAGGTAGTTTACCCCTTAGAGGTAATCTTCCCCCCTCCAAATTTCCTATACCTAATGTTCGATAAACTCCTTCTTTGATCCCTATTATTCCCCATTTCACAACGAACTCTTCTGCACGGCTGACGGAAAATTGAAGCGATAACAACTCTTGTAATTCTGCAGGTTCAACAGGGCGTTTTTTAGCAAGTTCGAACAAACGAGCAACGGTCCGAGGATAAATTGCGGCGAGCCCATCAATCACACCAGCCGCACCAAAATGCACAATAGGGCCAAGTTGTTGACCAAAGCCACTGAATACACGAAAGTTTTCGTGATCAATATCTGGCGTCAACGAGACTTGCAGATGGTGTGAAACATTCCCATGGGACATCTTGCATCCCACAATGTTGGGATGTGCAGCGAGTTTCGTGTATGTATCGAGACTTATTGTGATGTTGTTTGTAACTCCTGGATAATGATATCTGGAGAGGTAGCGAATTAGTTTTGGATGATTTAGCAATAGTGAGATAGACATTACGTTAAAATTGGAATAGGACTAGCATCTGCCACGATCTTGTACCATTCTTGAATGTTCTCTTGGTTCGCAGCAGGTCCAAAATACCCAGGCGCAAGAACAAGCCCCCATTGTGCACCGGCTTCTTTCGCATCTGCCAACCATTCCAATGCCTCATTCAGAGAGTTTGTCAACACACCTGCCATAATTGGGTAGTCTGGGAAGCCTGCGGAAGTAAGCCCATTTCGAACACCAGATATCAGTTCGGATCGTTCAGTGCGGGAAAGATGGATAGCTTCTCCTGTGCTACCAAGAAGTACAAGCCCACGGATCCCATTTTTGGCAAGATGAATGCTGTGTTGAACTTGAGCTGGAACATCTACTGCTGCTTGGTCTGTGGAGAGTGGTGTTGTCGAAGGTTTGAAGAAGGTTGGGACAGGAACAAAAACTCCCTCGGGAGGGACTTGACGTTGCTTAGTCATCTTGGGTTAATTGCTTTGTCTTGAGGATTCGTACTCCAAAACTTGACGTCAATATACTCATTAATACAAATGAAATGGGAACAGATGAGAGATACTTCTTATTCTTATTAGATTTTGACCTCACAACACCATCATGCATTCATTTCATCATTCGGATCATTTGACCACTTGCGATCACGGAACTGCGTATATCCCCTCTGCACCACCAATGCAAACGGAAAAGCATAAAGCATACCCGGTCTGCCAGCTACGGATAAATCAAAAAGACATCATTAAGGCGTTATTGTTGTACCCACAGTAGCTCTAATTTTGTCCTTAAATTCTCGAGTGTCTGCCACCATATCACCCTTCCTAAGCAGGACACATCAACAGTATACCAGTTTCATACATCATGGCTCTTAATCGCTCCGTTAAGCTGAATTCAGGATATAGTATCCCGGCTGTTGGCTTAGGAACATGGCAGTCAAAACCAAACGAAGTCAAGGAAGCTGTTGCATTTGCGTTAAAATCGGGATATCGCCATATTGATGCAGCGGCGGTATACGGAAATGAAACGGAAGTCGGAGAAGGGATCAAAACATCAGGGATAGACAGGAAAGACATATTTGTGAGCACTTAGATCTTAACGGTTCGCTTATCAGGTGCTGATTTAGATGCATAGATCACTGGTAAATTGTGGAATACACACCACAAGCCCGAAGATGTGGAGGAAGCGCTCGATACGACATTACGAGACCTCCAGACGGATTATCTTGACCTTTTTCTCATCCACTGGCCGGTTGCATTCCCGAAGTCTAAAGAGAGCTTTCCCGTTGATCCCAAAACCGAGGAAATCATTGTAATCGATGTTCCAATCAAAGACACATGGGCTGCAATGGAAGGTCTCGTGAAAAAGGGAAAGATCAGGAGTATTGGAGTTAGCAATTTCACCAGAGAAAAAGTCGAGACTCTGTTAAAAACTGCAACCATTCCACCAGCTCTCAATCAAATTGAGGCACACCCTTATTTGCAACAACCAGAATTGTTGGAGTGGCATAAATCTCAAAATATTGCAGTAGCGGCTTACAGTCCACTTGGCAACAATATCTACAACTTACCAAAAGGCGTAGATGATCCTACCGTGCTCTCTGTGGCGAAAAGCCTTGGAAAACAGCCTGCTCAACTTCTTATTAGCTGGGCTGTTCAGAGAGGTACCATAGTTCTCCCAAAATCCGTTACACCGGCGCGTATAAAGGACAACTTCCAAGGTTGGTGCTCCCCAGACGCTCAGATTTCAAGGGAGTTAAGCTAATTGTTTTCAGACTTTGAACTGCCAGAAGATGCATTTCAGAAAATATGCTCTCTGGACCGGAATCATCGATACAACTTCCCTGCACGGCTAGGAGTGGATATCTTCGGTGAGGTTAGCCCGGAGAGTTTGAGGAAGAGTGTCGAAGATTGGAAGGAAGCCCAGAGAAAGTTGCGTGCTGCATGAATAGAATACCAGTACTTGTTGAATAGCAGAATAGAAGCTCCTTATTGGCCAATTCATTGAAACAAAATTCCTGATCATGACCGGATCTCAAATTTGTGGATGCAACACTTACCCGGGCATTACCAGCTCTATTACGTTTCTACCCCACCATACATCCGGACTTCGGCAATGATAGCTTCCATTTAAGTTCGCATATAGTTCTTGACTGCTCATCCACAGTTAGACAATCGTCACGAAATTCATCATGCCGAAGATATCATCCATTGAATACTTTCGTGTACCACCTCGCTGGCTCTTTGTCAAAATCACCGACGATGTTGGCAACGTAGGCTGGGGCGAAGCCTCCCTTGAGGGTCATACACAAGCTGTTGAAGGCTGTTTGGATGCTTATATAGCCAGGTACACTGGCATGGAAGCTGAGTACGAACATATTCAATGGTAGATTATGAGTGGTAATTTCAGGGACTGACTATTGTAGTGATATTGAACATATATGGCAAATGTCTTGGAGGAGCGGATTTTATCGTGGAGGCCCAGTTCTTATGAGCGCATTGTCTGGAATTGATATTGCTTTATGGGATCTAAAAGGTATGCCTCATTCATTCGCGTCAAGTACTTGCACTGATTATACTGCCAGCCAGAAGATTAAATGTCCCCATCTACCAGTTGCTCGGTGGGAAAGTCAGGGACAAGATAAAGGTATACGCGTGGATTGGTGGCGATAGACCTTCTGATATTGCCAGCCAAGCGTAAGTTTACCTTAAACTCTTCTTAACATAGACTAATTAGAGTAGTCAAGCTAGAAAAGACCAAGGGTTCACAGCAGTCAAAATGAATGGCACAGAGGACCTCGGATGGCTTGATTCGCCATCTGCCTTGGATAGCTGTATAGAACGAGTCAAAGCTGTTAGGGAACTTGGCATGGACGTAGGGGTTGATTTTCATGGTAGAGTTCACAAACCAATGGCAAAGCAGCTAGCAAAGGCTTTGGAACCACATCGACCGATGTTCTTGGAAGAACCGCTACTTTCAGAACATATCAATGGCATTAAGGACTTGTCACAACAGACAAGCACGCCAATCGCACTGGGTGAACGCCTTCACAGTCGATGGGACATTCGACCATTTCTCGAGGCTGGTGCTATAGATATTTTGCAGCCAGATATTAGTCATTGTGGTGGCATCAGTGAGATGAAACGGATTGCTGCTATGGCTGAGGCATATGATGTTGCTCTGGCACCACATTGCCCTCTAGGACCCATTGCACTAGCCGCAAATATTCAGATCGCCGCGTCTTCCCCAAACCACGTTATTCAGGAAATGAGCTTGGGTATTCACTACAATGTTGGTGGGCAAGATCTTACGAGCTATACAACTAATCCGGAGGTTTGGAAGGTAACCGAAGGTTATATCAATTTGATGACAGGACCAGGACTTGGCATAGAGATTGATGAGAAGCAAATACGCGAACTTTCGCAAGGAGCAGTGCCTTGGGTAAGCCCTGGATTCATTGGTCCGGGTGGTGAGATTCGAGAATGGTAGAACCAACCATGTATGTATTTTAGCGTAGACGTAGAAGGTCTTCTGATTGGCCCCCCGCCAAAAATAAGAGAACAATAATTTCGATTTGTCAAACCGATTACAACTATATTATTTCCATTGTTCTGCGGGGCATAAAATTGATACGTTTCGTAAAAGCGCAAGATCACGAGAGCTACTCTAGTCTAGTCTCTAGCAAAGGCGGGGGCAGATACCAACCCTACGGAGTAGTATTCGTCCGAGTTAGCATGGTTTACGTATACAAAGTAGAATGAATCATGGAGATTGTTGATTGTTCCGGATCTTGTTTTCGGAAATGCAGCTGTAGAGTCTGGTGTCAATAAGTGGGAGATCCGAAGGCCCCTGCTCATTCGTTGTATTAGCCGGCTCAAACTTTCAAAGTTGGTAAGGTAAGGTTACGTAACTTCCCCGCACTACTCATCCTCCACACACATCCATGAACTATTATTCTGTGCATGTCTTCGGAAGCATTCCTTTTTCTTTCGGATCTGAGAGACCTACACTGCGCGGATCGTAATGGCGGAGGCTCGACAACCACACATTTTGGTGAATTCTCCGCCAACTATTGGAAACACTCATCAAAGGGATGAGAGCGCAGAATCTCAGCCGGTACCCACAGCCAAAAGACGGAAAAGAGACGAGAGTGAAAGAATACGCGTAAGTCGAGCGTGTGATCGTTGCAAAAGGTAAGGGAACAGCTCGGTCTTGCGGAAAACCATCTGATGAACGCCTTGTAGGAAAAAGACAAGGTGCAGCGGAAATCAACCTTGCAATCTTTGTACCTCTGCTGGATTGATCTGTGAGTTCACGGCAGCTTACCGACGTGGGAAGGTACCTCCTATCGCGACAGAGAAAGAACATGCCAGCCAGCCCGGAGATGTCCCTGACAATGCCCAAAGTCCAACTAACATTGAACATGAACACGTGATTGAAGTACCCAAAAGAGGACCCTACCAAAATTATCACAATGGATTTCATAGCCCATTGGCTACAGAGTTTTCCACTATACCACACGATGTAGCTGCAGCTGCATCAACGCTGACCCGGCTTCAGCCTACCAATGTTGAAAACTTTGACGCAAATTCCAGAATGCAATCCTCTCGAAACTCACCAGAACCTCCCCAAACAGACCTCCAAGGACACTACGTGGGCCCTTCTTCCGGTGCCTCGTTTCTTCTACGAGTGCAGAAAAAGTTGCACCGAGAAATTACTCTCTCCCAGAATTCATCAATATTCACATTTGGGGATGCTCCCCTGCCTGAATATGACCCTTCTTTTTTTGTTCTTCCTCCAAAATCAGATGCCGAGAACCTTGTTGCAAGGTATTTCGACTTCGCCGTACCGACGCATCGCTTTTTGCATCGCCCAACTATCGAGGCCTGGGTGCATGAGTTTTACGATAACTTGGGAGCTTTTCAACGGAAAGGTGGTGCGAAGGGTCGGACTGCTCTCCTATTTATGGTTTTTGCTCAAGCGAAGGATTATATGCCTGGCACTGATAGATCGAATGATATTGATACGAGGTAATTATTGTGGGCCTTCCAGTTATCTAAACCGTAGTTTGGTAATGAATGTTTCTCGGTTCTTTACTCCATTCACATCGGAAGATTGAACTTTCTAAATGTTAAGTGGTATTCAAGCATTGGAAGTTTGCACGTCTAGTCTGCTGATCTGGGCTATTGCACACCTTGAATAAATGTATATTATTCTATGTAGCTCAAGCTAACAATGCTGCAGCTCCAGATATTTCCACGCTGCGGATCGTCAACTGACATCAGAAACTGGAGGAGTGCTTTTAACTAGTGTCCAAGCCCGCCTTTGTCAATGTTTCTATCTATTGTCACAATCGAGGGTCAACCATTGCTGGAGCTTGTTTGGAACCACAGCTCATTTGATCCTTGCTCTTGGTATTCATCGCAGGAGACGCGTGGAGTCTCAAATCAATGTGGATATGATTGAGCTAGAATGCAGAAAACGAGTCTTTTGGTGTGCATACACCCTCGACAATTACTTAAGTGCAGCACTAGGAAGGCCTCGGACTTTTCACGAGGATGACATAGACCAGGTGAGTTATCTATACTAGATCATCGGTATAAGTCTAACACCTGATTCTAGGAACTTCCGAGCTGTGTTAACGACTCGGATTTAACTTCAAGACATATCCATGTGGACAAGTCAAAGGCCCAGTCAATCATGATGGCACCCATTGCTCATGGGATGTAAGTTTCCAAAGATCGATCACATCCTACTATACTAATTCCTCCTTAGGTTAGCTCAGATAATCAGCCATATTCTTCGAGATCTCTACTCCATCCGCCCACCGCCGTCCACTGTTCGCCTTTCCCTAGCGGACAAGTATTGCAAAGATCTTGATGAGTGGCGTACAAAATTTAGTGGCTTTCTAGATGCTAAGGGTGTAGATACGTCTCTATTGATACCCCTGTTTCAGCGCCAACGAAATGTTTTAAACCTCTCATATTGGCATGCACTGATCTTGATTCACCGGCCCTTCTTATTGCGAGATTTTGCCAGTCTTTACAAAAGAAATTCATATCCTTCAACCGGCAATGATACAAGCAAGAATGTGGCAAGTTGTTTACAGGCTGCAATGGAAATCACTAACATCGTTCATCATTTAATGGAGACGGGACAAATGTATCAGGCATTTTGGGTAAGTTCCCTTCCCATGGATCAACGGCAAAATTGCTGAATTGGTTAGTTCACTCACTACTTTGCATTCTGTGCAGTGGTGGTGCTCTATGTGTACACAATCCAACACCGATACCTCCCTCGAGAAGAATATGTCAGGTATTTCGAAGCTGCTGCTCGCTGTCATTTACAGATTTCGTCTAGGGCCAAAAATGAATCCTTGGCACAAAGATACAGCGTAGTTCTTGAGGAACTGAGACTCGAGGCTATTACAGACCGTCAGGAGCAGCGGAAGACTTACGGGTCCCAGACAATCCAGACATCAGGTAGCTCTCATTCGAATCGGGAAGATCGTGTTGCATTATCCAGCGCGGTCTCCGGTTTCGTGAACAATGGTGTTGCTACTGCTCGGTCAATCGACGGTGCTGATCGCGATTATGTCGAGTCAAGTCCTTCTGTAACTATGGATCCTCTAACCAGCTGGGGTGAATTTGATTCTTTGGTACGTCATCGTAAGGAGTTTCAATGGGAAATATACTCACATATACAGGTGACCGGTGGAGTGGGTGGCTTCGATTTTCTCTTTACAGGAGAACAAAATGGACAATGGGAAATGGAAATGGCCAACAGCTCCGGATATTAGCTCATTACCACGCCTCCTGGGTTGGTTGCTACTCTAAATCCGTAATTCGTCATTTTCCTAGTTCCGGATCTCGGATATACAAGGGGGGCACGGATGCTTGTGCAGGTCAATACAATTCAAGAAGAAATGTTTCCGCCAGTCATATATAGCGCATTGAATCTGATCCATTTGGTCAGCAAGCCTCATCAGACCAACTATCAATTTTGCCTTTCGTACCCATTATCTCTTTACAACCCAAAACCATGTCGGCAATAATCGAGACTAGAACATTTGCAGCACCACATGAGCTTTCGGAGAATTCGTCTCAGACAGCAGAGATTATGCCAAACCGTCCTCTATATACTGTCGACGACTTAATTCACAGTCGAAGTCAGACAATTCCAGATGTTCCTCTACTTGCATATCCCGGTAGCTCGAGAGGACGATCAGATTATTTTCATTACACAGCAAGGGATCTGGATCGATTTGCTGACCACGGTGCAAATACGTACTCATCTATCGGACTCATTCCAAATGTAAGTATGGGCGTCAAAACATTGAATTTAGGCTAATGTTTATACAGTCAAATAAGGATGGTGAAGCAGAAGTTATTGCTCTTTTAGCGCCGTCAAATCTGGATTACGTCGCTACCATCTTCGGCTTGACGCGTCTGGGGTTTGCAGTATTGTTGCTTTCTAATAGGTTAGCACTGGAAGCATACATTTCTCTTCTCAAGAAGACAAAGTGTAAACGCATTGTCGCTTCAGATAATCACCACGAAGTCATCAAATCAATCCAAGCTGAGCTTGAAGTGTCCCAATATCCCTTGTTGAAGCAATCCCAATATGACATCAAAGCTCCATTAACTCCCCGATTTTCTCGATCATTGGGAACCGTTGCAGATTCAACGCGCAATTCATTTATTATCCATTCATCCGGTTCAACGGGACTTCCAAAGCCCATTTTCCAAACGCACGCGGCGTGTCTTTCCAACTACTCAAGTAGTTTTGGCTATCGGGCATTTTTGACATTGCCTTTGTATCACAACCATGGACTTTCATCATTTTTCAGAGCGATCTACTCGGGAAAAGAGATCTCCATGTTCAATGCTAATTTACCATTGACGGGGAATAATTTAATTGAAGGAATGAATGCAGTGAACCCGGAAAGTTTCCATGGCGTGCCTTATGCGCTGAAGCTACTTGCGGAATCTGACAGTGGAATCGAAGCTTTGCGAAAATGCAAGTTAGTCTTATTTGGGGGCAGTAGCTGTCCCGATGACCTTGGAGATCGTCTAACACAAGCCGGTGTTTACTTAGTTGGTCATTATGGCGCGTAAGTTTCTGTTCATGACGTCGTCAAAAGACAAGATAAATATTAAGCAAGAATCTGACTGAGTATGTAGTACTGAGATAGGCCAGCTCATGACCTCTTTCCGTCCACGAGAAGATACAGCATGGAACTATGTTCGACCTTTACCATCATGTGTTCCGTACATTCAGATGGTACCACGAGCAGCCAATACATTCGAATGTGTGGTGTTAGATGGTTTACCGTCAAAGGTCACCTCAAATTCTCAAGATCCACCGAATTCTTTCAAAACGAGTGATTTATTCACCCCTCATCCTTCAATTCCAAATGCTTGGAAATATCTTGGGCGACTAGATGATCGTGTTACACTCGTGAACGGAGAAAAGGTTCTTCCAATCACATACGAACATCAGGTCAGAGAGCACGAACTCATAAAGGAGGCCTGTGTGTTTGGTGTTGGTCGATCATTTCCAGGCCTGATCATTGTTCCAAGTGATAAAGCGATTGGTCTAAGCAAAGAAACCTTGCTGGAAACGCTCTGGCCAGTAGTAGTTGCGGCAAATTCGAGAGTTGAAGGGTTCAGCCAGATTTCTAAAGAGATGGTACATATTTTGGATGTCGGTGTCGATTATCCCTGCACGGACAAAGGAACCATGATCCGACCTGCTTTCTACAAGAAATTTGAAGACTTGATAGATTCTATGTATCAAAGCTTCGAGAAACCACTAGATGTATCGAGCGGTGCCCTCCAGCTGAATCGAGAAGAATTAGAAGAGTTTTTGCTGGCCGTTTTCAAAGAACGAATTGGGATTCAGAATCTCGAAAAGGGCACCGATTTTTTCGAGGCAGGAGTTGATAGCTTACAAGCAATCGCAGCACGTGGCACCATATTGCGAGAACTGGATCTAGCTTCAAAGGTACCAAGTCAGAATGTGGTTTTTGAATATCCGAGTGTGCAAGCGTTAGCCGAACATTTGGATGCTCTTCGAGGGGGCAAGGCATCGGAGCAGAAGGACGAGATCAAGGTCATGGAGGAATTGATTAAAAAATACACCCATTTCGACCAACATGTTCCTGGCTCCAGAGTCGTAGATGGGGAGACAATTGTGAGTTTTTCCGTTCAATGACATATCTCTTGTTTGCTAACCAATGCGCAAGGTTTTGACTGGTGCTACCGGCTCACTTGGCGCGCATGTTCTCTCTCAGCTGATCCAGAAAGAATCAGTCAAAGCGGTCTACTGTCTTGTTCGAGCTAGCGATAACAAACAAGCAGAGGAAAGAGTTCGAAAGAGTCTTTCAAGCAAGAAGTTGTCACTCTCGACATTCTCGAAAGTGCATTGTCTTCCGTCAGATCTTAGTGGCCCAAATCTTGGTCTCGAGTCTTCCGTAATTCAAACGTTGCGAGATAATTTAACAACGGTCATCCATTGTGCATGGGCTGTAAATTTCAACCTGGGTGTCCAAAGTTTCGAATCTCATCACATCAGAGGAACTGTGAACCTGCTAAATTTGTGCCTTACTGTTCGCACTGCCTCTCCCGCCAAGTTGTTCTTTTGTTCTTCAATATCAGCGGCTGCGGGCACTCCTTTGCCGGCTACAATCGAAGAAACATACATCACAAATTTGAATCATGCCCAAAATATGGGTTATGCCCGATCAAAATTGGTCACAGAAACTTTAATAGGAGAAGCTGCGAAACAGACTGGGATAAAAGCGAAGGTACTGAGAGTAGGCCAAATTGTTGGGGATACGACTGAGGGAATTTGGAATAGCACAGAGGCTATCTCTCTGATGATAAGAAGTGCAACGACGCTAGGTGCTTTACCGGCTCTACAAGAGGTGAGACTATCCATTTTTTACCCACTTTGATACCAATACTAACAGCATATAGACGCCTTCTTGGTTACCCGTGGATATTGTTGCACAAGCGGTTTTGGATCTTGCAGGTTTGCAGGAGCCTTCGTCAAGGGAGTCCACGCAAGACTCGGATCCAGAAGACATCGTCTACCACGTGCAAAACTCCCACACATTCTCCTGGACCAATGACCTATTACCGGCATTGAAGGCGGCAGGGTTGGAATTTAGTGTTGTCGGCCAAAGAGAATGGGTTAAGCTACTAAGGGAAGGCGAGCAAGATCCAGATAAGAACCCAACGATAAAACTTCTGGATTTTTTCACGGAAAAGTATGATAATGATAGGCCTGGCCGACAGGGACTTGTATTTCAAACAGAAAAAACAGGCGAAAAATCTGTGGCTATTAAAAATGGATTTGATATTGTGGGTAGTGGGCTAGTCAAGAAAATTGTTGATAGTTGGAGGAAGGAATGGTGATTCCTCTGATGTACCGTTACTGTATTCTTCATTTTTCTAGATACTCCGGTTTAGTTTATGATTATCAATCCACGAATTTTAAAAGGACATTGAAATGTGGCACAAAGCTTCTCGTGTATTCGTCATCACACTTTTTTTATGCAACGCTGTTATCTTTCACGCAACCCCTCTTCTGCCCCCATGCTCTGACTTAACTATTGAAAAACTTGGCACCTTCTGTTCCCGTGCTCTGGCTTAATCACCACCACTGAAAAACCTGGCAGTTCCCGACGGGGTCGACGATCAGCTCCATTTTCCGGAGTTGTACCGGGTTAATGGATATGAATTGATCAGAGTGTGTGTTAGGGTAGGCCTGCGTTGTTCATGTTGCAATTTCAAATTCCCGCTTGTCGTGTTGTTGGATTACCAACTGTTAGACCCCGGAAGTTCTAACCCATGGTAGATCGACTTATCCCTTCTCCCGCACTGAACCATTTAACATTTCCGGGCCACACCGAATTCTCAATCCCAGCTCCTCCGTTTAAATGGCTAAATCCATGGCACTATCATTGCAATAGCCGCTCGGATATGCGAGTTCCATGGTAAAGTCTCTGGACGACCGGATGTGGACCCTTAGGATGACACTTGTTCCAATATATTCGGCTCCCAAATGTAGCTATGTATGGTACGCTAATACCATGTGCTTTTCCGTGTGCCATGGGGTAATGAGGAGGAAGTGCGGGGCCCCGCACCCACTGAGCTGTATGTCCCCATATATTTCCCGCTTTACAGCTACGACACCTTCGATTTTCAGAAGGTCTGAAACTCAATTGCGTCTAGCGCTGACGTCGGCATATTTGATAAAAGGTGGGTTCTCATGAGCCCCTATTGTGTTCATAAAAGCTGAATTTAATTTCGTAGAGCGACGATATCACTTCATCTCGAGCAGTTGATACCATACGAATTGTTTTTTACGAGCTATGGCTACCTCCAACGGTCTCCATTCCACAGACGACACCAAAATCAACTCCAACGAAGTAGAGCTCGTAGAAGATGTCTCTTCAACACCCGCTAAATCCAGTCGTATTCCGGAATACGTTCGCAATCTTGCTCCAGAAGATCGCCAGAGGATCGAAGCTACCTTGAGACGAAAAGTCGATACGAGATTACTCCCTATGGTGGTTCTCATTTACATCATGAATTATCTGGATCGCAACAATATTGCTGCTGCAAAATTAGCTGGATTGGAGACTGATCTGAACTTGAAAGGAAATCAATTTCAGACTGCCGTCAGTATTTTGTTCGTGGGATATTTGCTGATGCAAGGTAATTTCTCTGTGGCAGCAAGCAAAAAATTGAGTGTTTCTAACTCGAATGTAACCAGTACCATCTAATCTTCTCCTGAACAAACTTGGAAAACCGTCACTATATCTTCCTGGATGCATGGTAGTTTGGGGATTAATCTCAGGAGCAACAGCTGCGTGTCAATCATATGGTGGTCTACTTGCCTGTAGATTTATTCTCGGATTTGTCGAGGCGGCCTATTTCGTAAGTCATTATCCTGTCACGGTTGCTCCATAGCTACTACCATTTCATCATTTTAATCATGCATTTAGCCAGGATGTTTGTACTATCTTTCAGCTTGGTATACGCGCAAGGAACTAGTTAAAAGAACAGCTTTCCTGTACTCCGGGTCTCTACTCTCTGGTGCATTTTCTGGATTGATCACCGCGGGTATTACCCATGGTTTGGATGGTGCCAAAGGGCTCCGTGCTTGGAGGTGGCTTTTCATCATCGAGGGTGCAATTACAGTACGTGTTTTTCTCTCTCTCGTTGAATGATACTTTCCTTCAAAGACCTTCAATTTCAAGTCGCTAACGAAAACCAGGTCGTCATAGCTTTTTCTGCCTTTTTTGTCCTTCCCGATCTTCCACGAACAACACGTTGGCTATCCGAAGAGGAGAAAGAGCTCGCAGCTTGGAGGCTGGAGGAAGATATCGGACAAGATGACTGGGTTGATACTAAGCAACAGACATTCTTACATGGCGCCAAGCTTGCTGTGAAAGATCCCAAGGCATGGCTTTTACTCGCCACAATCTACGGATTTACATCCGCAGGTGCCGTTACAACTCTCTTCCCATCAGTTGTGAAAGGTTTGGGTAAGAGTAACATCGAGACACTTCTCTTGACAACACCGCCATATCTTATTGCAGTTATTGCCATCCTCTGCAATGCATGGCATGCAGATGCAACAGGCGAAAGATATTTACATATTGCTGTACCTCCAGTCGTGGCATTCATCGCTTTTGCGATTGCAGCAGGAACGACAAAGTTTGCACCAAGATATCTTGCAATGTGTCTTATGGTTGGATCGATCTATTCAGGATATGTAGTTGCGCTTAGTTGGATTTCAAATGGTAGGTCAAATCAGCAGTCCTAGACAAAAGCTTCGAGAACTAACGATACTTAGTACTTCCTCGACCTCCAGCCAAACGTGCAGCTGCTCTGGCAGGTATCAACGCGCTGAGCAATATTGCCCAGATTTATTCACCATACCTTTATCCCAGTAAGTCATTTACCATTCGTTGACGCTGCTGAAAGCTGTCAAATTTATCAAGTCCTAACTTTTGCCCACAGGTAGCGATGCACCTCGTTACGCCAAAGCAATGTATGTCAACCTTGCGATGTCGGTTATCTCAATTATATTCGCCACGGTACTGCGATTCCATTTGATGAAATTAAATAAGAAGTTGGATAGAGGAGAAATCGTAGAGGGAGTCAATGACCGAGGCCCTCCAGGAAGAAGTGTCGAAGACGGCGAAGGCGAGGAAGTCGCTGTTGATAGAGGATTTAGATTTTTGTACTGAAATACCTTTCAAGGTAGTATAGAAGGAATATATTTGGAAGTTTTTGTCTCAACTTTTGGAATATGTTGTCTTTTCCATGTTGATGGTTGGTGAAATCGCTCCTTCCAAAAATTGCAACACATTCAACCAACTCGGTCATTCTCTATAACAGCCCACTTCAATTCACTTTCCTCCTTTCAAGCCTTCTTCTTTCTTAATCAAGTATTCAAATGAAGACAAAAACCCCATCAAACGTGCCAAATATATCAAAAATAAACCCCGGTGACGCGTAAGTTGGCTCCAACTCTTCCCAAAGAAGTTCATACTAATGATAACTTGTAGAATGGTTAGCGTGTCGATCTTATATTGTTCTGATAACCCAGAATATTATGACCGTCGAAAGTTGTGGGTTCAAGTCCCATCCGGAGTATTAATTTTTAGCATTTTGTTTCAAATGATTTTCAGCAGTGGCTGATTCAGAAGATCCAAAGAGCTGAAATGCTTGTTGGTTGGCACTTGCCATATCAAGTTCATTGAAATAACAGAGCAACTGAGGATAGTAACTGAAGAATTTAGAAATATACATGATTATAAATGTAAATGAATACTTTTTGGAAACACATTTTTTCTCTCAAATTCAAAGGGAAAGTGACGATATTCCTGCACCAATTTCGAGGCTTCTGGCTTGTACACAATTTGTGTCGCAAAAAGAGGCATTCCTGATTTTCCCCGTAACATCATGGACATTTGCTCTGAGTTAAAGTGCAAAGAACAGAAATCGGTAAAAGACAATTTGTATTGTAGCAATACTGGCTAATAAAAATTGCGAGATGGTTGAAAGTTTTACCCGCACCTACTTTCATCACAAAGAAGCCTATCTTCCTTTGGACTTCCTTCATTGACCCGACCATGATGGTATTATCAAGAGAACCTCACCTTGAACCACCAGAAAAAAATGATTGAATTACTAGCAATCTGTACTTTCCACAAGATACCCGAAAAACTGTAAATTGTGACCTTTCGCACCGTAATCTCAAAACCACATCATTTTCCTGCTCTAACCTCAAACTCAGCGAAAAAGAAAGAACCTGTTTGGAATCAATCATCGAGGAGCGACCTAATACTCTTAGAGTCATAATTTGTCCTCATGTACCGTTAGTCGACATTCTTGGCTAAAATAATTCTCCAGGACTTACTGTTTCTTGGTAAATATCCCTTTCACCTTTTGCCATAGTCTACGTATTCCTTTCTCTGGGACAATTGCACCACTGGAATAGCCCGGTGAATAATGCGGACGGAAGCACACAGGCGGTGGATTTGGCGGGCCAAGTAATCTATGGACAGTGAAATGTACTGGTGCATTGGGTGGTCCATTTGATGGTGGCATGGGTGGTGGTGGTGGATACCACGGTCCGCGGTGCCCCAGCGCTGGCCGAATTGACATGGAAATCTCCCATCCAGGCTGCACATAGTCTTCCCAGACTTGAGGGAGAATGACATCTCCAGCAGGATTAAAAATATCGTAATGTCCCTCATTTACACGTTGACCGACAGTAACAACGTTCAAGAATGCTAGTTTGATGAGTTCCTCGGTTCCATAGAAATGTTAATTTTGCTTCAATAGATACAAACAGCAGACAGCGGGGATTTTACTTCCTGTCCAAGTTTCACATCGGTGATAAGGAAAGCTCAATCGTCTACCGACTGCGTCTTTAAGCCTGATTGGTTTTCTCATGTCTTTCTTCACACATGATGAATTTGTGTTTGCCTCGGCCTGTCGAGATAGCACAGTCTCAAGTCGTGAGATAAGTCGATCTTCCCGAGACGACTTTAGACGCCGAACTGCATGCTCAAGTTTGGAAAGGAATTCCTCAGATTCAGTATTTGGATTCTCTGTCGAATTCGAGCATAAAATAGGTATGGGAGAGATACAATCTTGTTTATTGCGTGCGTGGCTGAGCTAGCAAAACATGGTTTTCTGCTATTTCCTGATCCATTGAGACAGTCTTCGGACTTGTTGGAGCGGTTGAGTTTCTTTCGGAATCTATCTGGAGTATTCCAATGTGTGTCGCAGCAACATCAGCGTGATTAATGTAGGCAGGTGGAGGCGAGGATGCTTGTTGTGACTTTGGCATCATGGTTTGTCTCTAAAACTCGTGACACAGATAGTTCTAGATTTGAAGGAACGAATGACTTTTTGAGTCTTTACGATGTCCGTCTGATTCAGCGGCCTACTTATACATAAATATCTTGACAGCAAGATGAAGTTATTTCAAAATCTGGAACGAGGGAATGGGGCTTTTGGGGCATCTGTACTCGGCGAACACCCACATCAAAAGCCTGCTTACTTGGGACTCAATCTGAAAAGTTGTGTGCATGAAAAATTAAACAAGGCTGCAGACGATCATCCCGTGATTGTTTTGATTCGGTCATGATAACTGATGGTTGGGCTCACAGCATATGTGTAACAAACCGGGGAAAAATTCACTGCTAACTTGCTCATTGGCAGTCGCCCTGTTTGCCTTCCAATGCAGATTTTAGTCGAACGAAAAGAGAATTGCGGCTATATATAACCTGTCTTTTGCATACAGGGCATTCCTGCCCGAGTATGACAACCACAGTATCCTATAATATGAATAATCACGGTATCACTATGCAGGTATGTAGCCTAGACTTCTGTAAAACAAAAGGAGAATACACATTAATTTGCTGCTCACATATGTCTGATTGACAGCAGAATTAAGTTGTGAGCAAATATGGTTGCAAGTTGCTAAACGCAATCCATGGTCTCCGAGCGCTTGCATATTGTTATGCCATATCAGGACTTCAATCCAACATTGAGAATTTTGCTTGAGTCCTGAATCCAATCAGAATACCAAATAATCTGAATCGTTGAATCACTGAATCACTGAATTACGTCCAAAACGTTTGAAACATTTAAACAAGACACATACTTGAATAGTAGTCGACATGGAAAAGCCCCATTCAGAAGCTTGATGAAGAGAGGGTCGGAAGAAATGACAGGTGAAAATAAAAGTATACCGAATAGAGAAAAGACCATGATGATTGACAAATATGATAAATCTAGAAGACGACAGTCACATCTAGCATATGCCGAATGTTATAAACAATCATTGCGTAAAAGAAACCTTGCCACTTCCAAATCGTAAGCACACTATTCCTCCAAGTGTAAAAATGCATTTTGATTCAAACAAACACGATCCCTTGAATCTTTGATGCAAGTTGGTCTAGATACTAAGACTAAGACGAACAGTCGCAATACGGGTACGAAAGACAAAATCCTGGGCGCCGGCGATCAAGCGGGCGATCGATGTGATTTAGCCACCAACATCAATGACTAGGAATCAGAGAGCCACGACTTCCCTAAGGCTGAGCTTGATAGATGGTAGCTAGACCTTGCATTTGGCCCCGACGCCCGATGAACATCTCAATCTCGCTGGATTACCGCAAGCCATGCAATTCTCAAAAGCCGAACGCGGCATTGGAGACTGACTTTATGGAACACAACTGGCATCTATGCCGGATTGAAGTATGAACGCACTTGCTACGTGAACATTTTCGATGTCCAAACCATTTCAAACAATTCAAAGGCATGAAAGACCAAAGACTCTTTCAAACCTCGAGTATTGACATGGGTCGGTCTTACCAAAAAACCGCGTCGACAGTCAAGGCTACGTCGGTGTCTGGTGATGAAACTATGCATTAGTAGTACAACCATGGTAGAGGAAAGAAGCTCCAGGAAGAAGAATGGAAAATTACAATTGATACCAAATAGAAAATTATGACGATAATCGATATACAAGATGCCCTCCACCAAAAATACCCAACTCCTGTCGCTGTCTCAATTGTATTCTGCCATTTGATATCAGGCATTACCGTCCCTATAAATATGCATTCCCCTCTTTGCCTCTTCACAACCCGTTATATCATGACTGAAGCTCTTCCGTCATACTGCCGCATAACCACCTCTGCTTCCATCCCCTTGCACAGTACTCAAAACCCTTCTAGACCAGTCCTTTAATAAGTATGGAACGTCGCGGATCGTATCGCCGTGAGGAAGAAGGTCCCAGCCTCGAGCGCCATATCTGTTGTAGTTGAGCCAAGAACCAAAAATTAAATAAGCGGCGATGGAAAGGAATGCGCTGTAGAATAACATTAGTCCCCAATCACTAGCTTTGAATCGGACCTGAAAAACTGAAGAGAAAGGAGTGGAAACATACACAATAATAAACCAAGTGAAGAAACCCCAATGTGAGCTTTTCTTGTCATCACCATCACCACTATCCGTCGGTCCATTTTCACAAGCATACTTTGTGCGCCAGGTCAACCTTAGGATATCGGCATCGCCCTTATCCTTATCTAACCTAAAGAATTGCAGACTCGAGTCGTTACTTGGCGCTCCAATCACTTCATCACTACCATTTTCTTCTCTTTCGTTGAGATTCTCCTTTGGCTTATTTTTTGGCTCTGGCGGCACCCACAAATTTTCCAATCCAGTTCGGTTCGCATCGCAGATGAATTCTACAATAGCCTTTTGGGGTCTCTTATTCTTCCCTCGTCCGATGAATCCACCACCTAACTCTACACGCAATCCGTCCTTGTCTGCATCTGAATGTGATTTCGAGTTACTGAGTCGTTCCAATTTAGCATCGAGAGGACCTCCGCCATAATTTTCTAATTCGCCAGCAAAGGGAACGATTTGTTGTGTTGCATCTGATCCTTCTTCTTCGTTGATAACATGCGTTATTCCGCAAACTATTCCATCATAGATGTTAATAAATCAAGACTTTCTAGGTGGTCCACAGAAGACTCGTGGCTAATGTTCAATGAGACATGAATAAGGAGAGACATTACCTCTTGTCCCACCTGGACACTCATAGAACCCCTTCTTGACGATAGCTTGACAAATGTCGATTGTGTATGTTGTATTTGTCCATCCTCTTGCTTCACCAACATAATCTTCAACGCTATGTAATGCCGACCGAGGCCCCCCCAATGCCCCTAAATCAAAGTGCTTTCCGTCGACAACTATATTTTTGCAGTCCAGATTTCCAAGAGCGGAGGAGAGGAGTGGAAACAGGAGAGTTGAAAGGACTGCAGCTTCGGCTGGAAGGTAATGAAGACGCATGATTGATGTTGAATTAGAACGGTCAGATTACCGAACGAAGCCCAGGTAGGCGGACAATGGTGGTCCCAAGAAACGCGCCGGAATCGAATTATATTATGTGAAGCTGCTCTTTAAGGTGGGATATTCCAGAGAGATGAGGAGAGAAGAAGTCGATGAGCAAAGCTTATGCTCTTGATTGGGGAAAATAGGGAGAATGATTGTTTATAACTTTTAACTTTAATAGATTGAATTGTGTTTGTGACTTTGACTTTATGATGGATGCAACTTCTTCTTACTGTGCGTGGGAACTGTAAAATGACGGTGATTACCTAAGCCACCACAGCATTAAGCATTACTAATGTCATCAATCATGTGATATGATGATGTTTGCGGCGACAAGATTACTAACTCAACTTCTTTTATATTTTTATATTTTTATCTTTTCAGTAATTAATTCATGCATTTATACATCTACGTCGTCCCCAAAATATGACCTCAAATTCAAAGCTCATCATCTTGAGATGAGACCTGATTGACATTCATTTGTTCTAGATTACGTTACCGATAGTTATGGATACTCGGCTCTCTACTCTATGATAGCCAAAGTATCTTGCACGTCTTGTCGTCCAAATATCTCATCCACCAAGATTCGGACCTTGTGTTTGTTATGTGGGCGATAAGATTTTCAATTATCAAACGGCATTGATCCTTCAACTCCAGCGTCTCTTTGGTCGGAATGGCGAGTCACTGTATTCAGTTGGGGTTGGAGGGTCAAATGTGGCGACACTGGTAGTTTTCTTCCATGGGCCAAGTCAAATATTCATACAATGCGGACCAAGCTGGCCACGTTATACTGGATTCAATGCTTCATAAGTCTCTGCCTACCGACGAGTCGAAAGATAGTTGGTAAAAATTCGAAACGCCAGCACGGCTTTTCGAGGTCTCTCACGTTTGTTATGTATGATGAAAAGCTTCTTGTAGCCGAGACGTGCCCAAGTATGTAAAAGTATGTGGTAAATCAGTCATCCATCAAAGAAGTATCTGCTTCGGACTTGGGCATGATAAAGTTCAAATATTACTTAGCCTCTTTACAAGACGACTAGGTTGCTTGATAAGGCAAATTATTCTAAGCCGACAAGAAGCGGATTATCAATTGAAAGTCACGGTAGTTCATTGTCCAGACCTCTGCCACAATTTTATGGTTGATGGGAGATGAAAAGACGCAAGTCTGCCTATTTGCGAGGAACAAGCTGCGATTTCGGTCAATTTATGGATCATATATTTTCAAATTCGATCCGCTGAGAACCGCCCACAAAAACCGCCCAGAAAAGCCGCCCAGAGCTATAGTGGAGCCAGAGAACAATGTTGGTTTTCTAGGTTGGACCTACCAGATGTGCTGAGATTAGTGTCAGCCCTTTTTCTCCACTATGTTTTGTACTTCCTGGACGGTGGGCACAATTGCTGTGTTGGTGAAATTACGTTTACGATGAATCGGTAGGGCAGATTGAATCTATGGAGTTCGTGGCCGATAGCGACCTATGGAGGTAGTACTTATGTCGTGTCTTCTTACGCTCCCAAATCTTTCGTTTCTTTCTTGTCTCCTTAACTTTCATAACTCCATTCCCTATTCTATTGTTGGCAAAAACCACTCACTCATCGGCAGCGCGCTGCACCGTCTTGCTTTGCCTACCTCGATCTATCCATCTCCCGTTAACACATCGATCCACTACCTTCTCAGTTGTCCATTACCACGGATAGAAATTATGGTTGTGAATACTTTCACCCCCCATATTGCAAAGCTCGCTAGGTTCTCACTTGGGAGGTTCACAAATCGCTGGGCCAATGAGGAAGAACTAAAGTTAGTCTCACACTTTTCAATGCCCCTGTCCTTCCTACTTGCTTCTAGATTGGTTCTAGTAGCGCGTGGAAAGGGACACAAGAATTCGGGATCAGAGTAAAGAAGAGGACTAGACTAATCAAGCATATTTGCAGCAAGCCCTCAATCTTGAAAGACAATAAAATCCCCAAGGACGTACCAGCACAGTGGAATGTTTTGAGATGGCAATATCAAAGCGAGTTATTGATGGAGATCAAGAGTAGAGATATGGAAAGAGTACGGCAACAGCAACCGCTGGATGGCGTGATGTTGGGGATGGCGGAAAAAGCGGAGATGAAGGATGTGATGAGCGAGAACCATCTTTGGATGTGTGCTGTTTGAAGTGCTGCACTTGTGACATGGGAAGGTCGATTTGGGTGTGATCATTAATGCCATGGAGAGGAAGGGTTCTTATCTGTATGGCGTTAGATATCGGATGGAAGTCTTTGCACAATGCCGATGGTTTGAGGAAATATCAAGTACTCGCCGGATACCAAGGGCATCATTAGAAGCAAAGAAAATAACATAGACGAAGCTGCTGGCAGGTCACTTTTGTCTATCAGGTTATTCAGCAGTAAATATGATATGGAATATAAACACGACTACTCTCCACCCTTGCTTATGATACTTGTGGACTAGGAAGGCGATTACTTATCTCATATAAATTGCAAGGTTGGCGCCTCCATTCATCTAGGCCACAATGTGTTTAATAGTCTAGATTGTAATCCAACAATAAAAGACTTTGGAACATTGAGATTATTTCGATAATTGAACAATCACTTGAAACAATCAAACCATTTTCAAAGATTCAAAGCTTGATAGATCACAATCGGACTGTGATCCGAACCATTGACAACGACCCGATATCCTTTTCAATCAAATCACATTTGAAAAGATAACTCTTGAAGAAAAGTAATGATATTAACTCATTATGAATACATTGATGCAGCAAGTTCATGCTATCCCCCGAGATATGCTCCAGAAACCTATCGCTGTAACGATAATAAACTCCAAACCTAACGCCGAAAAATTACAATGCTCTTTAAATGTCCATGCCATCACCTCTTATAGAACGTAACCATAAATCTGACTTGACTCCCAGCCATAAGGACTAACTGTTCGAATAATCCGCGATAGAATCTACACGCGGTGTTCTTCAATTCTTCGTCTCCAATCCATGAAAGTAAGTGGTCGCCCTCCTCCTCTTTTTTCTAGTCAATCCCATGTACAACACATCCACCTCGGAGGAGGGCCATGATCATATTACAACCCTAATTTTTCAACGACGTATATTAAGAATCGGCCGCCGTTCAATTTCAACGGCCTCTGATGTTGAAGCTCCGAGCTCTCGCGTCTTGTCTGCATATATATTTTGTTCTGCATGGGTGCGGCGTGTCTGACTTTGAGGTTTGTTATACAGATCGTCTATGGCTTTCATGTTTTGATAGGATGTTTTTAATTCATCTTCTCGCTTGCGGAGTTCTTTGACGTGGGCTCGGCGGGCTTTGAGGCTGAGGGTGGTGTTAGTATTGGAAAGTGGACGGAGAATGTGAGGGCCATTGTAAGGGGTAGAGGTATGAAAGAGAGGAAGGATGTAATGAAAGAAGTTAGATTTTGACTACTTACTTTTGAATAGCCGGTACTAAGCTATACATATCACAAATTGAGTTCTTGCTGTAATTACTCAAAATAGAAGATAATGGTTTTCTGTATACCTAGGTATTGAGAATACAAAATAAAGTCTTGCAACGGTGTGGGATTTTGTGAGCGTTCAAGTAAATGGAATGGATTCTTGCAAATAGCACGAAACCTTAAAAGAAGTACTCACCGTACATATACATAGGTATCTGGTAATCAGCTAGTGATGACATTACTCAAACGCTTTGACAAACATCAACTTTTTTTAATTTTTTTTTCATCTGAAGTTTAACGTCATTTTGAAAGATTCGATTCAATATCGCCGACTTCACGGGAGTTGAAAAGTTTACTTGGTTTAGTTCCAACTTCTCTAACCAATTAACAATCGGTGAAAGGGGAGGGGACCTACCGGGTTTGCTCGGATACTCTGATCGCTGCCTCCTTGGTCTTGTCTGTGAACAAAACCTGGTCAGATCTTCAATCGAAGTCTTAGATGTAAGTTCTTCCTATACTGATGAAGGACCCGATCAAGATACCAAGATATCAAAGATATAATCAAGATATTAACGTTGTTGACCGGGATCGGTGGGGGCTACTCAGCGTTCTTGGCTTCGGCACTTGAGTGGAGATTTATATGTCTCCGGATGAATATAACTTGGGTAAATACTAATTCCTCGGATTGGACTATGAGTTTGGAAAATATAATGCTCTCTCAAGTCGCTTTAATATGGCGGCAGCTCAAAGTGCTGAGTATTGAGATGTATATCAGATCTAGGTAGGATGGGATAACAGAAAGTATCATCATTAACCAACGTTAGTGACACAAGAGATATCCACCGCTAAATGATCCAACTCAACGTATGCCACAGAAATCGTGTGAATGCAGAGTAGATAGTGAGGCTGCACTGAGTGAGTTCCAATATGAATTTCCTAGTCAGGATTGTCACTTGTGCATGTTGACATTTTGCAAGAGCGTAGAGTTAGAACTACGGTACTCCTGATTCTGATGTTTGAAGCAATGCGAAGGTCTTGCTAAAATCCAGCGGAATGAGGAATGTTGTTTTCAATACTGAGCTCAATACTGCGATGGTGAACCTGGCATTTCCATTTCCATGGAGACATAGGGAGGCTATTGGATGCAAGTTTTAAATGTTCTTAGACGGCCGAAGCTTACAAGAACTATTGAACTGGACCAACTGGTGAAGGGAGAGATGGATGAATGGTTAGATGGGGAGAGAGAGTAGAGTGATGCAACCTAGAGTCGATAGGACTGGATTGAACTCGGGAGCTGTTGCTGATGTTTGAATTGGATGGTTTGATGGAGGGAGAGGGCTTGGGGTAGAAGGTAGAATATGCACGTGACAAACTCAACTGAAAGCAATAAAGGCGGTGTCAAAAATATCCGAAAGTAGTAGGCGGTATAGAAATAAAATATGCAAAATATGTGGTGGAAGGGAAGGGTCAAAACTCAATAAACTCAACCATAAAATAATATTCATAGTTGACGTCACACGATTGATAAGAATGCCCCCATCACGTACTCCTACTGTCAACTATCAAGATCACTTTGGAATCGATAATACTGGCAGACGGAGGGGTATTCGTCCAATTGATCATAACCATGTCACTCCAGTCCCAGCATCTCTTTCCTTAGGCGGAGATGCACAAGATGAATTCGATTCGACCGGCACAGAAATTTTAAGTGAAGCAGAAGCAGAAGCAGAAGCAGAAGCAGAAGATGAAGAGGAAGATGAAGAGGAAGGGGAAGGCGAAGATGAATCTGAAGCGGATGATGCACTTGGGGAAATGGAAAATGGAGATGAGGATGAGGATATAGACTTGGAGGAAGTTCCAGCTGAAGGTTTGTCTCAATTCTTGTCTATCGCTCTTACTTTCAATCTTTCTACAACAACAGGGCAAGAGCGCAAGAACGCAAGTACGCAAGAACGTAAAGGAAAGAGCAACCATAATCATGACCACAATCACAACCACAAGCAATGTCACAATCACAATCTTCATTTTTCCCTCACAATGTCTGCTCGAACTTCTTTCACTCCAATTGCTCGTCAACTCGTGCCTGGTCAACCACCAGTACACGTTACAGCGCGGCAGCTTGATTGTACTTGATTTCCTGTTTCAAAATAAATGCTCTTCACCATCCACTTTATATCATCCATCTAACTTTCTTCCTATCTAGTCGCCATGGACAATACGCTGCCATTTGACCCTGCCGCACTCGGGTTGAAGGAGATTGGGAACTTAGCCAGCTGGACTGTTTCTAGTAGTAAACCTGGTTGCGGTGTTCTTGCGCTCAGAGACGACGACACCAATCTGTTTTGGCAGTAAGGACTTTGTGATCTTCTTAACTTCACCATCTCTTATCTAATGCGCACAAAGTTATGGGACATTCACTAACATGCTCTGCTGCAGATCCGACGGACCTCAACCCCACTATCTGAATATTCACTTTGCCAAATTCGCAAAGATCCGTGCCATTCGCATCTTTCTGGATTTCGAAGCCGATGAGTCCTATACACCGACGCGTATACAACTGCTTGGAGGCACAGGCTACCATGACCTAATTCCATTCTCTGAGCTATCGTTTGTTCAACCAAAGGGCTGGATCGATGTTAATCTTGACCATGTGGGAGGAGGCTCAGATGGCAAGACACTTCGCGCATTCATTATACAAGTCAAGGTGTTGGAGAATCATCAAAATGGTAAGGATACACATGTTCGTGGGCTGAAAATTTATTCTCACGATGAACGACATGAATCTCCCCCTCCATCGTATTTTGATGAAGAAGATGGTGACTCTTGCTCTTCAATCGATCCTAACGACTTCAGAGGACCTGACGATGATCTCAAAGGCGGAGATGCAGGTGGTGATGATGATCATTTCTGGAAGGATTTTACACATGCTAGAATGGGTGGAATTAAAATGCCAGATCTAAGTGGTTTGAGTGAACCTGGATTCATGTCCGAGCCAGAATTGCGGTAAATAAATTACGATCACCTGGTGATATTTTGGGAGTTGTAGGGAGTTCTTAAGATACCCTGGGTTTATATAACGGTACTGAATAATGACTTTATGATAAGAAGAGCAAATTTCTCGACTCTAGAGTATCGTGCTCTATCTGATGGAAATCCTTCGAAAGTTTGAGGGGCTTGAAGTCGGACTCTACACGGCGGCCGCAGCATGTTCTTTCAAGAGTGTATGCACATCTTTTCTGATGGTCAATTGTGATTTTCCAGTGAGATTCCATCTAACTATGTTCATGCTTGTGGAGAACAACTATCTACCATACCTTTCTTGTCAACTCCTCATCGCTCGGCTTACTCATATCGTTTTTTGACACCACATCCATCTCGCTGCACCACACGTACCCAAGTACACTCCAGTTTTTTCATTACCTAATGATATGGCGCCGCCAAATTTGCGTTCCATAACGAACATTGATGGTATAGACGCCGAATTGGCTGTTGTGGTTCCCGCAATATTAGCAAGAAAAGCAAGAAGATATGTTCCCATTTTCTGATTTTGATCAGCCTATACAACTCGTTAAGATTACAGAAGCGACTAAGCTATACAATTCCTTAGGATATTAGCTGAGAGGAAGCATCATTCAACTGTTATCAAGAACGGGGACGCAGATTCAGGAATAATGATAGGATTTCCTAAGCTTCGCTTTTTGAAGACACGCTATAGGCAGAGGAACTTGCACGCCAAGGTGGAGCTGTGTCGATGACCGCCGTGGCTTTGAAGCTGTTCATGCACAGGGATGTGACCACTACAATGATTCTCGATAGAGGATGGCACGCATTAGAAGTTACTAAACCCCGCTTTGTTTCCGCTTGCTTACATGGTTAGAAGCCATCTTTTCTTCGTGCGACTAACCATCAGGCCACAAGTGCAAAAAGAAACTGTAATTCTTTCGGAATTGATCCGATTTGGCCAGCCACAGAAATCAATTAGTATTATTGAAAGACCTTGAATGTGAAAGAGATTAGGAAGTTAAAGGATTAAAACGATGAATAATATTCTTCAGTAGAAGATGCGTAGAAGGAACATAAAGACCCCACCTGATATTTTGTCACGTTTTTAGACCAAGAAAATTCGAAAAGTGTGTTCTGTGGCATGAGCTATGCCTTTTTATGGTGCCTTATGTCGCTGAGAAAGACTTGGGGAGACCTGTGTCGGGAAAAGATTCACCATGAAAGAGGCTTAGCTTCGTCGAATTCTAGGAAGACTCAGTTATGAAAGATATCCTAGGTTGAAAAGTACCTAGATCCGAAAGCCTATGAAGTAAGTGCTACGGCACTAAAGGCTGATTTCGTAAAGAGGTGATTCATGGCTGAATATCCAAGAGTCATATCGTTGGATAGCCATGATGTTACAATCGAAATATAAGTATTGTGCACTCCACCCTCGCAGTACTATCTATGAGAAACTGCATCTCTTTTATTATTTGAGGAAGACTCAATAAAATCAAATCTCTGCATAACATGAGCTGTATCATGTGAGTCAATTCCCATCCCCCTTACCCGGAAAACCTAAGTAAGAAATACAAATTTTAGAGAGTGCCATATTCACATATAATGTGGCTTCTGATCATTTTACAGCCTGTGTTCAACCCGATTGTAACGCCAATCATCCCAAAATGCCTACCCCTGCCTACTTTTCTAAATGCCCACCTTTTCCCTCCAATATTCCAGTCGCAAACGTTCCTGCTTTCTCCTTCGCTAAGCTTGCGGCCAACGATCAATATGAGTCTCACGCTCTTTTCGAAGCGAGTCGTCGCATAGGCTTGTGAGCAGCCATAACCCTTTCTTTCTACAACTTTGCCAATCTCGTCTCCATCTTGGATAGTTTAGAGTGATGCAATGTTCGATACGCGCATAGCGTACAAAATCTGTCAATGAATTTACCACATGATTCAATATCGTACTGCACTCTCAGCCGTCGCAATGCTGGTCATTTATCCTTCACCACATTTGTCCCCATTCAAGCAAAATCACAAATTTCACTTGTGACCTCGGGAATATTCATTCACAGAAATTTACTGACTGTCAACACTTCAGCTTTTACCTTGACTTTACCGAGTGCCTTTTCGGCGATGAATTTCTCAAGGGCACGAAAGAAATGCTTGATTTAAATGCAGAATTACACGCACTGCCCAAGGAGAAGCTCACTAAATACGCATACAATCCTCCTATCTCACTATTTCAGTACTGAACCTTTTCATGATTGTTCTCCTTATATCCTCGAAGTTTTACGCTGTACACAAAAGCTTTCATTGACCACTATCGTTGTTAAATATCTAGCTATAAACCCTTAGGCTACCACAAAATTGGCAAAACAGGAGACAGAGTTGAGCTATACGGAATCAGTCGTGATGATATAACTGGAGTTTCCGAGCCCCTTCTCAACCCATTCTGTATCGAACGTTCTCGTCCGCAACTGAGAAATTACATCAAACAGGCCAATGCAGTCGTGTGCGTCATTCTTGGGCATTTGGAAAAGCATTTGAAATTACCACTGGGAACATTTTCAAAGCTGCAACCAATGACAAAACCAAGTGGAAGTGTTTTGAGGATGTTGAAATATGAGCCGCAAGTAAGTTAAATGTTTACTTGTACCGCTTTTCTATGGCCAGCGTTTGATAGGCTGTCAGGGATAGAATCGTGATTTACTTCTTCCCGTGAAGGATAGCCGAAGCCATGGCCTATCTGCTTCATTGCTAACTTTAATCTATGCTAAATATCTGTACCTCAAAGTGCGCTGATAATCAAATAGCCGCCCGATGATCGTCGCACTGCCATGATGGGACACACAGACATCACCGCACTTACCCTTCTTTTCAGTACAACAGGAGGTCTTCAGATCCTTAATGACGACGCAGGTATGAGTAACAGTTCACAATATTTTCACTTCTCTTCAATCTTGTAACCGAATAGTAACTAATTAAAACTCGATTTAGACCCTCATCTTGAGTCATCTTGGACTCATATTAAACCGAGGCCGTCCGCTTGTATAGTCAACTTGGGCGATGCAATGGTCGAGTGGACCGGTGGGATTCTTCGCTCCGCTATGCATCGTGTTATCTCTGCTCCGGGTGACCAGGCAATCACGACTCGATATGTAGTTGGCTATTTTGCCCGCCCCGCTGGTGATTCTCTCATGAAACGTCTCGCGCCGCCCGAATACCCCTCTTCCCTCATACCACCAGTCGAGGACGAAGAAGACTCTGGAAATGATATGAATGCTAGAGATTGGGAGTGGCATAAACTCTCGTCGGTAAAGGCAGGGAATCTTGGAGGAAGCTTAGGCGGTAAACCGTTTGAGCCGGAGAGAGATTTGAAAGAGTTGTTCCCAGTATCTATTGATGCTGCTTGAGGAATATGGTGTTGAATTTAACATTCGAGTGTGGGCGTTGTTATGGCAGAGGACCTTGAAAATTTGCTTGGTTCTACTGTCTGATTCCCCCTTATTTCAACGGTCGACTGTCAAAGACCTATAGCACTCATTTTCTATATTTCACTCTAGCTACTTAATGCAGCCAAACGATCGAAACTATCATGGCTTTTGCTATCTACCTGAAGTCTGAGCTTAGTTTTGGCAAATCGCTACATGATGTTGCATGTGAATATTTACCTTGGGAGTATAAAAGTTGGTGTGTACCTACTTAACTTTGATATTTCGTAAAAATAAATTTATCTCATTTATCACCGCCACGGATATCATTTGGTTTCTTCCTTACGCCTGAAACCTTCCTAGATATTTGCTGTAGACATAATTAACAGACTGTGAGCAAGTGGAAATATAAAAACTCTATCTCCATTGTAAATCTTTGTATCTTCGAATTTCCTCAGCAAGCCTAGCAGGCCGCTTTGCTTTAATAGTTCAAAACTACTTTGGCCGTCTGTTTTCCGCTCGAACAGTCTCCAAATTTCTTGCTCAAGACGCCTGGCTCGATTTATAGTCCATTCGTCCCGCCTATTTCTTCTTTCCATGGCGTATTTCACACTTTCACATATTCTGTGTTTAAGGAATCCATTCTCACAGTGCGCATGCCTAAATGGTGGAGAAGACTTTTATTGAAGTTCTGAGTCTAGATTGCTGGATCACCTTATTTTCCGACCGAAAATATTTCTTACTGGTATGTGCTAGGATAATCTGGGAAGAGAATGTCTACTGCTGAGGTTTCCATGAAGCAATCAACGTTGCTGGCTAATACAGAACCAGATTGTCGACTTCGAAATTTATATGCAAAGTTTTTGTGGCGGATATAGTGATGAGTAGTATCTAGATGCTATATCGATACATTCTTTCAAGTCGCTTCTGCTGACATGATGATGTGAGTCAGCCACTAATTTCAACATGAATCATGAGCGAGTCTAGGGCCGAGATGATATACTAGTATCTATCTACCAGGAGTATCCGTGAAACCATAAATTTATACATTGGGATAATATCCATGATTCTAAAAAAACAATAGTCACAGATATTGAAGTTAAACTGATAATTAACCGAAGGTCATTTTACACCAAAACTTAATTATTTTAATAAATTATAACAATTTTAATTATTGAAAATATTTAATAATAAATTAAAAATTTCAAAAATTTCGATATTTGTTGGAATTGAGACTACCATGGGATTAGAATTGAGGTCACATGACCATAATGGTGCACGGACTATATTTGGGAATAACCTCAATTCTACTTCTTGTAACGATCTGGTTGAGGCAGCGGCTGCCTCAGGTTTTCGTTTGGTTGGTAGTTGTAGGTTAAGGCTAATAATCACTGGTTATTCATTTGAAAGTGAATTCGTTACTAGATCAATCGGAATGTAGGTAAATTAATTGATAATTAAGTTGAGTACGAAGCTCCTAAACTATGAAACTATTCTGATTATATACTACTCTCCTTCCTTATGCTAGCTATGCTAGCTGGGCTAGCACAGCTAGCATTCCTGTGATGCTAGCTTTGCTAGTTGGGCTAGCAGAGCTAGCACATCACATGATTGATCCTAAGGCCTTTCATATCCCAAAGCCTTTCCTTTCCTGGAACATTTATCCCAGAAGCTTTCCTTTTAGAAACTATAGCCCTAGGATACAATATCCTTTAAGATGATAATCCTATTACAACCAATTAGATAGAACACTTATCCTATTCTACTATAATTGCCTAGGATACTTATCCTAGGAATTTTGGGGTTCTAGGCTTAGGTAATCAGGACCCCCGAAAGCAACGGTTAAATCATACCCCCCTTGTAGTCGGCATATAAATCATCGACATCAATAATACTACTATAATGAAAACTGTGAATCGTGATACTTCTATTGTAATAATATATCCTTAAGGGGGTTTTTGGCCTACATAGTCAATTATACTACTACTTCCCGCATCAAATTTCAACAATATTGAATAATATTTGAAATTTTTTGATTTATTTCTTGGAAATTTATATATTTAGATATCAGATCAAATTTTGATTGATTAAAAGTTTTCTTTATTTTTATAATAAAATCAATGAAAATAAAAATGTTATTTTTAAAATTATATTATTCTTTGTTTGACTTTTTTTAAGAATTTAAAATTCTTATTTTTAGATTATTTTATTGAAATTCTATTATAAAATTAATATAAATTCAATAATATAGTTTTTTTTATTACTAAAATATATAAATAAAATAGTTAAGTTTTGGTGTAAAAAGACCCTCGGCTAATTACCTGTGCTCTAGTACAAAGTAGGATATCTAAATTGGAAAAAAATACAGTAACTCCCTCGCATCATTCCAGTGCTACCATGAATACTTTGGAATGGCGATAGATCATGGAGGTTCCCATTCATTTGGAACGCCTAGTTGAAATGTACGAGCAGTAGAAACCTTAGTGAGGACCTTTGAAAGTTCAAACATCAGGTCAAACTGGTTTCTCATTTCCCACGCTCACCAGCGACAACTCATCTTTTTGAACCCATGAATCTGGCGCAGTAATCGTGCTTTGATGCTTGTACGCTTCTATTTAATTTTTTGTGTCAAATTGCGGGCATAACTTTGAGGAAGCAACTAAGAAGACTTACTGTTGAGGATATCGAGTAAATCTAAACATATCAGAGCAAGTAAACCAAGGGGTAGAATTTGCCCAAACCCCCATGTTGACTCATCTCCAATTACTAAACTTTGGTTAGATAGCTTCGTGTCGATGACATCAAAAATGTTCCATGCTGCCAATCCAATATATCCAATAACTATTAGTACTGATCCGTTATCACCCCATGCACACAGTGCGATAATTTGCCAAAATACATGCCAGAAAATGTAAAATACAGTTCTGAAAGCATGTAATATAATTTTCAAAGCAATTGGCCAGTGGTTGGTATGAAACTCCACCGCTGTCCAGAAGTTCAATGTGCGCTGCTGACTTTCATTGGACAAGTTATTCGAGGTGTTCGCGATCAAGTCCAAAAAACCCCTCAACCATTGCCATTTGTTAGATAGGGACTTCGTAATCTGTTGCATAGAATAAAATAACATATACACAACTTCGAAAGAGATACCCACGATCCAAAAGTACTGCGAATTAGTTGGTGATGGTTCGTTTGAGAGATAACAATGACCGCTTTCTTCGGAATCCCAATGGTTCGCGGCTTCGAGAGTAGTGCCGATTTGATAATAAATGGACAATAAATCACTTATCAGAATAAAGACCCAACGTGTCCAAAAATAAAAGCTCCTTCCGTGCCCGTAATGCTCCGAGTTAAGATACCCCGCACGAGCAGCCCAAAATGCGTTGAGTGTAAGAAGCCAATAACTGGTAATGAGAGACTGGTGATAGAATGACATATGATGAAACTCAGCTATTCCTGCAATGATTATAGCGGTTCCTGTAACAAGCTGGAGGTCGCACAATCGATCCAATGCCATCTGAGAGAATAATTGAAGTCGTGGTTGGGCATCGCGAAAGAGACTTAGAAACATAGCCAGCAGGCATCGGACGGCATAAAGGCTGATATGAATGCCCCTAATACATCTTGGAAATCTCCGTTCGACAGATGATGATATATAGACTCTTGTGAGCTTGACCGTATATTTGCCAACGTGCTCGGCAGTGGTTCCAGATACCGAAGAAAGAAGTTTAAGACGGAATCTTGATGACATAACGCAATACAATTGGATACATGCCACAAAACAAGTGACCCAGGCTGTGGCCAGAAAACTTGTTATAACCTTCAAGATCTGTCAGAAAAGATGTGATACGATATCATAAAGTGACTTACTCCAGGTCCCGCAATATCTGGATCCGCATCAAACGGCGCGAGACACTCCCACTGATCACGAGTATTTTCCGCCATCAGTGTTACATTGATATGATGCAAAGATGGAAATTCTAAAGTTTGCTTGAATAGAGCATTGAGGCTGGTGACTTTTCCCTGGAATGTATCAAGCCACACGACAAATTAAGATGAAAGCAAAGTAAATGATGAAAGAACTTTACTGTGCATCATGGACTTGTCTTTTCAAAGCAATCAAATATTTGATCAATAAGTAGCGCTGTTGTATCACAATCCATTATTGCTTCGTATAAGTTGAAAGTGTTGTCCTGAAAATGCTGTGATAACACTACTTCATACTATATGGATCTGGAGGAAAGAATTCCAGGGAGGCACGTATTTTTAAGTGACCTTGGCGGCAATGTCGCTGTCAAGACATCAATTCTTTCGCTGCTTTGCTTACTTTCACAATGTTTAAGTAGAAGGGAGGAAGTCCTCACACCAGCGGAGTATTTTGGTCCATCCACTGTGGTGTTTTATGTCAGAATATTTCTCAGAGTATCTAACATTAATCCTGGGCAGGAAAGAACTGGGGAATAAGCTGACATCTGATAGCTCAGAGAAATCCAAATAGGAAGATCGCGTCGCATTTTCTAATAGAAAATGCTACTTTAAGGATGCATAAATCTGTCGCTTCGACGATCTAAATACTTATATGCTGACCGGAAGAAAAAAGAAAACAATATGATTGAAAAAGTTTGAGTAAATATTTTAGGAGTCGTACAACGGTACCTCATTAAATGTCAAACCACATACTATATATTTTTACCCATATTTGACCCAAATGTTCATAGTCGACATATACGTGCATCAAAGCTAATCATTAAACCAGTTTCACACCAAAAGACCCCGTTCAATACGCTCACTTGTGGACCTAGACTTCTTCAATAATCCTAGAAGGTCCACCAATTCCTGTCGCCAATTTGTCCTTCTCCAAGTTCTCTAATTCTTTGATCTTTCGTTGTTTGAGCTCCTGACAAAATAAACTCCCCTGCCTAATACGATCACCCTTCCACATAAACAACAGCGGTATACCGCACATAAGCAGACTCAGAAAGGCAAGCAGACTACTTGCCCATGGCACTCCTAGCCTGGAGTACATAGGCTTGGCCGCAAATGGCAATACCGCACCAGCTAAGCTCCTACAGCAGCTCGATGCAGCCATAGCACTTGCGGCGAAAACTTCATAGGCATCCGTCAAATAGTTGATTAATGCGACGAAGATTAAAATAAATCCCATTCCGAATGGAATACCAGCCAACATTGGAACATAAAAGGGAATTGAGACATGAGATGTCCAGCCTAACCAGAAAAGCGAAATGACATAAAGAGGTCCACCGAAAAGGGCTAGCGGAAGTCGCCGTGATTCTTCTCTCTTAGTCCAAGGTTTATTGGCTGCCTGAGCTTTGCGGAGAAATGTATCCCACCAGAGAAACACAATGGTAGCTAGAACGGCACCACCAGCAATAGGAAGGAACATAAGACCAGAGACACCAGATGATTGGCCATAAATTCCTTCAAAGATAATGGGAAAAGCCTCAAAGTACATGTAGAATATCCCATATGCCAGGGCGAGGTAGGAGCAGGCGGCCAAAACAATAAGTTCGAAAAATAGCATGCGGACAGGCCGCGTGAATGTCACCGTTATCATTTGTTTTAGATCTTGCTTTTCCAGCTCGATGGGCGCGAAGATTTCTGGATTACCTGTTTCTTTGCGCAATCTCTTCGCGCGTTCAAGGAGTAGAACAGGACCATAGGTTTCCGGAAGAAATAGGAGAGGAATCCAAGATGCACCAGCGACAATCAAACCGATCCAGAAAGTCCAACGCCAACCCAGTGCAGGAGATATATATCCCGATATGATTGGGGCCGCTACAGGACCTACGCAAGTGCCTCCAGTGAAGACCGCCATGGCTCGCCCTCTTGTGACTGGATCCTTGTATATATCTGCATAGATACCTCCACTGACAGAAATAGGGCTACTTGCATTGATACCGGCAAGAATACGAAACGCTAATAGACCTCCCCACGTTGGCGTTAAGGCGCAACCTAGTGTGAAGGCGTTGTAGCCAAAAAAGGTTGCCAACATGATATTCCTTCGCCCATACTGTTCTGATAATGGGCAAAATACCAAAGGTCCAAGGACGTATCCAAAAAGGTACATTGAGATTGGTAAAATTTGCGCAGACTCGGATGTTATGTGAAAGTGTGGAGCAATATATGGGATTGCATTTGAAGGTAACGAAGAACCCATGGTACTATTGATTACCACAAGCATTCCTACGAGAACGATGTAACACTTCCGTGCCTGTGCATCAAAGTCAGTTGATGTCTTCAATTTCATTTTCCTGAACATCCCACTGAATATTTTGTTGAACAATTTCCAAAACAAGACATTAACGCACCGAAGACCAATTGTATGGATTTTCCGGATCATCCTGCTCCCAATGTATTACTTTCTTCCGGGAGCCCAAGATGCTAGATGCGGATGAATCCGGTTGAGATATTTGGTTGCCTTTACCCTCAATATCGTATCGTATCTCCGCATCGTCATGGTCAATTCTGGAGACTATCCGAGAAAGTCTACTCTCATGTCGTTCTATTATTTTGATTAGTAAATGTCTTCAAATTCTGAGTACTGAAGGATGCAGTTACCAACTGGTGCATGATCTGATTCTGAATCATTTGCAGGCACCTGGTTCTTATCAACCCCCGTTGCGCCAATTGCATTCTCCCGGTCTACGCTGGACATCGTTGGTTTCTCCGCTGCCCTCCTCAAGCCAGACAATTGAACCTTGACTTCTCGTCGATATGTCCTAGGTAACCTTGACGAAGTCTGAAGTCATGAATAGGGTCAAGTATTATATTGTGTAGAGGAAAGAAAGAGTAAAATGGATTGATGTAAATGTAAAAGAGAGCAGCCTATCTTGTGATATACTTAACTGAAAAAATAGGACCGTCGCCGGGCCTTAAAATTAATCTGCCCATAATTACACTGGATCTGATAAAAGAAAGATCATTGCTAGCGTGTAAACCCTGAATTTTAACTTTTTAAAAGTGCAACTCTCTCCACTGTCAAATGTCTACTGCGGGTCCACCGCATGTCTTCAATGTTGTTCTTGAAAGAAAAGATGGTGCCGTCACAATCGCAAGGATTGCTGTTAACTTGAGCGGCAGATCTCCAAGGGAATTCTTCAAGCTGGTGACAATCCCTCAAGCTTATGTAAAGTGCCGATGCTTCAAGGCGGGTGGACCACACTCAGTACTCTGTCAGATGATTTCGGATTAGTTCTATGCGGTGCACTGAAAATGGTCGCGGTGAGGGAAGAAAATGTGGGAAGCAGCTTCTGATCGGTAAATATTTCGGGTACGCAAGAATATGCTTTAACCCTATACAGAGGATGACACTCAACTATATGCCGCTCAACTGTCCCGGGCTACTTGTTGTTGTGATTGGGTCACCTCGTGGCTATGTATGTTGTGGAGCTTCTTTGATGGATCCTTGGGGTTTCCGTATGAAAATTATTTCGACAATCTATGTTTCCAGATTGATACTTCGACCAAATCTAGCATATAATTCCACCTTCAATTGTGTCATTTCCTCCCTGATTGTACCAAGCTTTTCTTCGACCAGTGTTACTTCCTCCTCGATGTTCTCTGTCGATTTCGTGAGCAATTCTTGAACTTCTGGTAGTGGTAAGGAAATAAATGAATCTCCGATTTTGTAACTTCAAAATGTCAGTGTGATTCGACGTATGGTATCTGGCCAAATGAAGGAGGATGGAGGCTTGTCGTACGGTATCAGTTCATCCTCGTCTGCCAACTCAAGTTCACCGGAAACATCATCGAGGTCTTCCTTTTCTTTCTATATAGGATTATGATCAGCAACACGATCTGCAGAATGTTTTGCGGACTATGAGGCCCATTGATTGATGGTGGATATCTTAATTGTACTGACATGTTTTGACTTCAACTCCTCCTCCAGACCAATTTCCCTTTGGTGTAGACGACTGAATCGATTGATTTTGTCTTGATCCTCTCTCCGTACCTCGACCTCATCTGCGCCGACTGCAGCCTCATCTTCTTTTGATAACTGGATAGATTGTTAGGATATGATATGGTATGTGTTATTTGGAGGGTAAATATATGAGGTGGGCATATTACCATACGACGTTGCATGTTTGCGGTAGTAATGGTTGTGGAAGTGGATGTGGATGTGGAAGTGGAGGTCGAAATATTCTGGAGCTGATTTATGAACTGCAATGAATGGGTTATCTACCTAAGTAGGCGTGCGTGGGGAAAGCTTCAATGTTCTGACCTGAGGCTGTATTATTATTTACCCCACCAACCTTTAAGGTATCTTCCTCTGTAAGGTCTTTACCTGTATATGTCTATTTAGATATACACAAAACACATACCCAGTAACGATGGCAAATTTGCTATTGATTGCAATTGGAATCTTAGCTCACTGATAATTCAAATAATTCATACAATACCTGTGAAAACGATCTATATGTATAACCTTTTATAAAGAATTAATTATACCTTTAATAATAAAAAAGTTCTGAATAATTATCGACTTACTGATATTAAAACCTTATTGTATATATAACATATTATAAAAGTAATAGATTGAGATATATATATCCCGATAGTATATTGTAAGAAGGGAATTGAAAGAAGAAACTAAATTAGATTATATTGTAATATATTATTTATAGAGAAAATAAGATTTATAATAGTTTTAGAGTTGATATTATATAAATTCAAATATATATATATATAGAAAATTGATTATTCTTAAAGGAAAAAGCAAAAGTTTTTCTTTTATATTTAATTTATAATTTCAATTTTCTTATACCTTTTCTTTTTAAGAAATATATAATTTTTATGATTTTTTATTAAGGAAAAAGGAATTGAATAAAGATTTAGAATATAAAATATATGAAATATTGTTGTTAATAGTTTTTAGAATAAAAATAAAAAATGAATTATACAAAAAAAGAGGTTTATTGAATATAAAAGAAAACTTTTTATTTATTAATAAATAATTGAACAAATATTTCTTTTTTATTTATAATTATATTAATCTTCGAATATTTGGTTTTTGGTTTTGAAGAGGTATTCAAGAAGAAAAAAGGTTTATCAGATCCTGAATAAAGATATTTGAAGATTTGAGAAGGTAAAGGTAGCTTTTTGTTCGATTTTATAGATGACGAAGAAAGATATTTTTTCTTTTTAAGTTCAAGTTTTATAGATGTTTTTATTTATTGATTTTGTTGTTTTTGATTGAGAAAAGGAAATAATCTTTGTATATTAGAAAGACTAATAGTAAGCTTTTTTTGTTATAGAAACCTTTCTTGTTTTGATTATACTTTAGGGATCAAAGAGAAGTCTTCTAATTCAAATTTAATTTGATAAACAGATTCCTTTCTTTTTCGAGATGGTTTTCGAGGAATTAATTGAAGAGTTTCTTTTTTTTGAATAAAGATTTTTAAATTGATAATCTTCTATTTTTCTATTAAGATTTTATTAATGAATTTATATATCTTTAAATTCTTATTTTTGAGGATGATCTATCTTTATTTATAAATTGGATTTTGTATAAAAAGGAAATATATTTCTTAGATTCTTTCTTTCTATTTTAAGATTATAAAAGTTATATTTGTTCTAATGAATTTTTTTTTAAAATACTTTGTATATATTTTTATAAAATCTTTGAATTTGTAATTAAATATTATATAAACTTTATTTATTATTGTTTTTGAATTTCAAGAAACTTTTCCTAGAAGAATTTGTGAAATAAAAAATAAAAAAGGTAATATTTTTATATCAAAAAGAAATAACTTTAATATATAAAGTTCTTCTTTATTAAATTCTTAAAATATAAAAAAGATAGATTGATTTTGAAGCGATTAATAAAGGTCTTTATAAAAGATATTATCTTTTATTTCATTATTATTAATATCTATAATAAGATAAATGATTGATATTATAATCGAATTATGATTTTTAATAATATCAATAAATTAAAGGATTATATTAAGTAATAGAATAATTATATAAAAGTTTCCTTTATTTAATATTTGTTAATAAAATTTTTTGTCTTTTTCAATTTGTTAAAAAACTTCCTTTTATATAAACTAATCTAAATTGTATTAGAGTTAATAAAAAAATAAATATTTTTTAAAAAGTTTTTTAAATAGAAATCCTTATTAAGATTGATGAATATTAATATTTAATATTTTTGATATACTTCAATTAATATTTTATCAAATTTGAAAAGGTCTATTAAAATAGTAATCTTTAAGAATGGTTTTATACTTTGATATTTGGATATTAGTTTAATTTAACAAAATCGATAAAAGAATAATATAAAGTTGTTTTTCAATTACAATTTGAAAATCAAAGGATAAAAAAAGAAATAAAAATAAAACGAAACTTTTTATTTGTATATATAAATATTATAAGAAAGTTGGAATTATAAGCCAAATATATAAAGGTTTTAATTAGTCAATCATATAACCTTCTATAATTAAATATAAAAGAAGAGTTTTTTGCCTTTTCTTTTCACAATAATCAATTTTCTATATATATACATTTGAACCTATATAATATCAATCTCAAAACTATTGTAAACCTTATTTTATCTATAAATAATATATTACAATATAATCTAATTCAGTTTTCTCTTTCAATTCCCTTCTTATAATATATTATCAGAATATATATATTTCGATCTATTATTTTTATAATAATGATCTATATAAGGAAATCGAGTTATATTATTTACAAAATATATAAAATTAATCTATAAGGATATTATATTGAAAAAGAAAATAGAATTAATTACTTATTGATAAAAAGATAAAATAAATTTTAAAAAAATGAATTTTTCAAAAATGAAAATGTTAAACAAAGAATAAAGAAGATTTGGATTTCTAATTATCTTTATTCTTGTTAATTTATTATATTATAAATAAGCGATTTATTATTGATTTATTTATTTATATTTTATATAAAAGGTTTGTATTAACAAAGTTTTGTTTAAAATTAAATCTTAATAATTTATAGAAATAGAAAAGATCTAATTTTGAAATAAATTTGATAAAATATAATTAATTAAATTAAAGGATTTTATATATCTTATAATTGAACAAAATATCTCATTATCTATTTATAAGATAATATTTAGAAAGATTAAATTGTAATATACAAAATTATTATCCCTAATATCAATATTCAAAAATTTAGGATGTATTCTAAAAAACTTTTAAATAAAAAATTTAAATTCTATATAATCCTTTTATAAGAAAAGATATTTTTAAAGAAATTATTTAAAAACTTCTTTATTTTTTCTGAATTTTATAAAAAGAAAAATATAAATAATAAAGATTATTAAAAATCTAAAATTGATTTAGATTTAAATACATTTGATATATATCCTTTAACTCAACAATCATATAAATCAAATCTATCATTATTCAAAATTCACTATTATCCTATTATTATAGAAAACCCTGATCAATCTAAAATTCGTTCAAAAGATACCCCTCAAAAGTTTTCGGAAGTATCTATTTCTTATAACTTTAATAAAGAATCTTTTATTAATCTAAAAAAAGATTATATTAGAAAAAATGAAGATAACTTTAGGAAAAGGAAAACCAAGAAAATCAAAAACAAAGATAATATAAATCAATTAACAAAAACCTATATATCAAATCGAAACATTATAAATTATATATATATATACTCTATTATATCCTATACAAAAAGTTTCAATATTCTTACCTTCAATAGAAACAATATCTTTAATTTTTTTATAATATAGAAAATTTTATAAATTGATTATAATATATTCAATAACGAAATATAAATTTATCTTTCATAATATTATAATAAAACTATTTTGATCCAAATAAAGTTTATACTAAAGTATAATTTTATTAATTATAATTGAAAAAAAGGATTTTGTTCAATTCTTTTTTATTGTTTCTATAATTTCGATATTCAACAAATTACTAACACTCATAATTTTTTGGATTAATTTGTTGATATTCAATAATCCAAATATAAAATATCTTATAATACAAATCCAATTTTGATTAAGAATTATATTACTAAATTTGTTCTTTTTGCAAATCAATTTATTGAAAACAAAATGATTATTGAATTTGAAATAAAAAGATTTTTTTTATATAATCTATATATACAAATTGATAAAAAGATTATTAGAAACCTCAAAATTGATTTTAATAATTTTATTATTATAAATTATAAGAAAATAATAGATAAAGTTTTCAAATAATATATATCAAAAAATTTTATTGTTAGGATTTATAAAAGATTTAAACAATATCAGATTATAATTATATTTGTTATAAAAGAATATATAAAAATATTATTTTCTAAAAAAGTTATTTCAAATTTCGATATTCAAAAAAGAATTGAAAACGAATTAATAAACAAAATGATAAAATTCCTAAATAAATTAAATATAAATTATTTATAAATTTGAATTGAAAATATTAGAAATATAAAAAATATTTATATCCTTTTCCAACAACAAATATTTCAAAAAAAAGGGAATATTAAGTATAATAAATTCCTAACTTAAGAAAATTATAACTTCATTTATATAGATATAAATATTATTAACAAAAAAGATTAATATTACTTTTATTATTTTGAACAAACTTTTTATAACAATAATCATAATATTAAACAAAATTATCTTATTATATATAAAGATATTCAAAATGAATTATATTATTACAATAATTATAAAATCTTCAAATTTGAATTAAAAGGAAACTCCAATATATCTCCGATCTTTAAAAACAAATTTCATTTTGAAAGATAACAAATTATAATATAATCTAGAATATATAACAATATTAAATTTCGATAAAATAATACAAAACCATTAAATAATTAAAAATCTTCAAAAATTAATATTTCGAATATCGATATTATTAAAAATATATCTATTAATAACTTTATATATAAAAAAAAACAATTAATTGATATCAATACAATTTTTCAATCAAAAAAAACAATTAGATTATAAAATCGATTTTCTAAACAAACAAAAACAATAGAATAAAATAGAATTGAAAAATTATCAAAACCTATTATTTTTGTATTACAAATCCTGCAAAAATCGATATTATTAACTGAAAAAATAGAATTGAAAAAGGATTTTCAAAAACAAGATAACAAAATAAATATTGAAGAAAATCTTAAAAATAAAGATAAAAAAGGGAAAGGGTTATCTAAATCGAATAAAAAAAAGATTATAAAAGAAATCCGATCTTTTTATAATAAAACTTCAAGAATCAAAAAGCAATTATTTATTTCGATATATATTATAAAGACAATAATAGATTTATTAAAATATATTGTTTATATCGAAAT